CAAGGATCGTTCCAGCGTCCAGTTCCGCTTCAAGGCGGACAAGGACACGGCCAATGGACTCCTGTTCTTCTACGGTCGCGATAAGCACTACATGTCCATTGAAATGATTGACGGCGCCATTTACTTCAACGTCAGCTTGGGCGAGGGTGGAGGCCTGGTGTCCGCCAATCAGAATCACTACAACGACAATCAATGGCACACGGTTCGAGCGGAACGTGATCACCGCGATGGACTGCTCACGGTGGACGATCAGGTTCTTTCGCGTCAAACAGCTCCTGCGGAAGCCGATGAGGAGTTGCCCAGGCTCAAGAGGTTATTCTTTGGCGGCCATCCGAGACGTCTCAACAGTTCGCTGAATCTGCAGCCGAACTTTGAGGGCTGCATTGACGATGTGGTGATCAGTGGACTGGTCGTGGACCTCACAGAGTATGTAAACGGCACAGGAGTTGAGGAAGGCTGCTCAGAGAGATTCTCCACGGTGCTCTCTTATGCTCCGCACGATTACGGCTTCCTGCGGATGAACAACATCAACTCGGACAATAATCTGCACGTGGTGCTGCACTTCAAGACCCGCCAGCCCAACGGCGTGCTCTTCTATGCCGCCAATCATGACCAGAGCTCGAATATTGGTCTTAGCTTGGACGAAGGAGTGCTCAAGCTGAACAGCATGGGCAGCCAGCTAATTATCGATGAACTGAACCTTAACGACGGAGAGGATCATGTGGTTACGGTGCAGCACAACGCGGGAGAGCTTCGCCTTTCCGTCGACGATGTGGAGACCAAGAGGTTGGTAGCCGCTTTAGTTCTCCAGTTAGTCTTATTAATCTTTGATTGATCCTTCCAGGCTTGGAACTCCTCAACCGCTGATTCTGGAAGGCGGCGACATTTTCTTCGCTGGTCTGCCGGACAACTATCGCACGCCCAGAAATGCCTTGGCCTCATTGGCCTACTTTGTGGGATGCATCAGTGATGTGACCGTGAACGAGGAGATCATTAACTTTGCCAACAGTGCTGAGAAGAAGAATGGCAACATCAACAGTTGTCCTCCACATGTCCTAGGTAAGAATGGGATAAAGACTCAAGAAATACTCAAGAACATCACTTATTGAATGCCTAAATTCTCCAACTAAAATCTTTTTAAAATCTTTTCCAGCCTATGAGCCAAATCTTGTGCCGACCTACTATCCCAGTGGAGCCAATGATGTGGCGGAGAACCCTTGGAAGCCCGATGATTTGCCGCCCCTCAAGCCAGCCACTTTTGCCCCTGCGCCACAGACCACGCCCACAACCACTACGACGACGACGACGACGACTACAACCACCACGTCTACCACGACTACGACCACCCAATCTCCAATACCCTTGGACGAGGATCTGGACAGGGAGGAAGACAAGGAGAAGGAAGCCGCCAAGCCACAAAGGCCCTTGACCACGCGGCCACCTGCCAAGGTGAATCTGCCAAGCGACAAACGTTGCAAGCTCCCAGAACAACCTAACTACGACGTGGACTTTGCTGAGGCTGGCTACCGCTTCTACCAGAACAAAGAGCAACGTCTCGAAATCAACCCGCTGCCGGCGAAGCTGCGTCGTCACCACGACGTGACCTTCTCCTTCCGCACCGATCACCCCAACGGCCTGCTCTTCTACGCGGGCAGCAAGCAGCATGAGGACTTCATCGCAGTCTACCTCCTGGACGGTCGGGTTTACCACACCGTTCACGTTGGTGCTCTCCTCCAGGCCAATGTCAGCAGTGAAGTGGAGCTCAATGACGGCAAGTGGCACACCGTGGAGGCAATACGCACCAGCCGCAGAGTAAGCTTGCTCATCGATCGCGTGGAGCAGGCCGGAACCTTGGAGTTGAATGCAGACCGCAGTCCGCCGGTGCTGGCTATTGAGGCGCCGATCTATTTCGGTGGCGTCAATAGCTTCATCGAGTCCAAGGTGCGCAATACCACCGGATATAATCCACTGGCACCGTACTACAACGGTTGCCTCAAGGACTTTAAGTTCGATAGCGTGGATCTTGAGCCCCCGCCGGCTGAGTTCGGCGTGGTGCCATGCTCTGAGCAAGTGGAGCGCGGAGTCTTCTTTAACAGCCAGACGGCGTATGTGAAGCTCTTCGACCGCTTCTCTGTCGGCGCTGAGATGACGATCAGCTTCGATTTCCGGCCAAGGGATCCCAATGGTCTGCTCTTCTCGGTGCACGGCAAGAACTCGTATGCCATCCTCGAGTTGGTGGACAACACGCTGTACTTCACGGTCAAGTCAGATGTCAAGAACATTGTCACCACAAACTTTACGCTGCCCAATAACGAGAGCTTCTGTGATGGCAAGACCCGCAATGTCCAGGCCATCAAATCCAAATTTGTCATCAATATCGCCGTGGACTTTATGAGCTCCAATCCGGGCGTGGGTAACGAAGGATCTGCTGCGACCAAGACAAACCGACCGCTCTTCATGGGCGGCCACTTGGCCTTTGCCAAGGCGCCGGGCATTAAGACCAGGAAGTCCTTCAAGGGTTGCATCAGCCGCGTGGAGATCAATAAGAAGCTGGTCAACATTACACCGAGCATGGTCGTCGGCGACATCTGGCAGGGAGTCTGCCCCCTCAACTAGAAGCGAAAAGGACCTATGATACGAACAAGTCTACGTTAAGATGCCAGGGAGAAAATTACAAGTTGATGACAAATCCGCAATTCAAAGGACAACGAACGAACATAACTAAATCGAACAAAATCGACGGGTCGTGGTTATAGTCCAGGGGCTCTGTAGATAATGAGCCTTCGGCAGAGACGACAGTCGTAAATATTTTAAAACTTTAAGCGAAACTATTGTGCCAATCTATTAAAGCCATATCTACATTTGAACTATCTGTACTCTTAATACTTTCTCAAACTCCTAAAGTTTGCTCCTTTTAACTTTAAATTTTTGCAAATCAATAAATATATCATATCATTTGTATTCAATTAACATGGAGTATTTTCTTTTGGTTATTGGTAAATAAATAAATAAATAAAAAAGATTTCTGGACTCACCCGATGTCTCTTGTTGTGGAATTATGCTGATTCTTCGTTGTTTCATCCCAAAGGCTTGATGTTATTTTATATCCAGCAATTGGCGTTGATCTCTCGATTGCTCCTTTGTATTATAACTGCTTCTTTGTTGTGGTGTTACTATAGAAATCTTATGACTAGGACATATATGTACATAAATAGTTCCCTCAAACAAATTGCTTTTTTGTTGGTAATACATACATATTTATTCAGATATATATATTCTTTTCAATTTACACAATCTCGTTAGTTGAATTTTTAAATGGAGTTGCAGTTAAACAAATATTTAAACTCCAGAAGGATAATCGCCAGTTGGCCAATATGCTGCGATACACATGCAGCTAGATGTAAGGATTAAGCATATTCGCATGTACTTTATATATGTATATATGCATATGATCTTTATAAAGTTTAATGTACGCATGAATGAATGGATGATTAATTTAGTTAGACATTTGGAGAGGTCTATTGCAAGAACCGAGTGCGTTTGAATTTAAGAGCGGATTTTAAATAGACCGTGCGTTTTGTCCAAAATGAAAACAATATTAACTAATATTGATAATTGATTCTGTTAAATAAACAACAAAAATGAACGATTGTGTTGTGTGACTCAAAACAATTTGTTTGTTCTTATCAATATCAAAATTATGTATTACTTATACACTTGTAAATGTTGTAATAAATATCAAATAATATTTCCCTAATGCTGCACAATTTTTTTGTTTTGATTTCTTTTCATTTTTTCTTGACCTAACTTGATCTAACATATTGTGTTTATTTAAATTTTTCCCTACTCTTAGTTGGTTTTTTACCCTATACACATTGTGGTGAAAAATAATAATATTTCATTTAGACCAAAAAACCTATGCTGCATAAAATCTATAAATATATTTTGTTTATATATGTAGTTGTTTTGTATGCATTTGTGTTTGGTGTGTGGTGTGTGTGTGTGTGTGTGTATGTGTAGTTGTTGTTGTGTTTGATTCTGTTATTGTTGTTGTTTTTGTTGCTTTTCTTGTTTACTGCTTAAACGCTAATCACTAAGATCACCCGAGAGAGATACAAACGCACGCGAACGCGACCGGATTCCGCGATGAATCCGGATTAAGGTACAACGAAATCACGATTTTTTCATTTAGTTTAGTTTCAGCATTAGCAATTGCTTCACTTTTTGTTTTAGTTAGACCGATTTTATATTATTTATATACCTATCAAGTGTTGCGATTATTATTATATTTGGGACTCGGGGGCGAAAGTCCCTTGTTGTTAGATTTTATTCTTTAGTTTGAGTTGAGTTGAGTTTACCGCGACGCGAACGAACGACCCGAAGTTACTTTATTATCACACGTTCCCCCATTTTCAAAAGTTTAAAAATAAAACGAAATAAAAAACACAAACGTAAACATGGTTTGCATTATTACATAATACTATTACTTAGATTTACCTGCTTTTGTTTTTCTTGTTTCGACTGAGTTTAGTTTAGTTTTTCTCTAGTCATATTTTTTCGTATTTTTTTAAGTTGTTCCGCGACAATTTCAAAGACTTTTGTTTCCGTTTAGTTTAAACTTTACACCTAATCGTATAATTGTAAAAAATTTGTTCTGTACAATTCATTAGAGAAATGATAAGGCCTATACAAATTATAGCAAAATAGTTTCAGTTTCGATGAAATAATAGTTAATGATTTCATTAATTACAATTGTCCTTAAACAACAAAAATTATATAATAATACTTTAAAAAGTGATCAGTCAATGGTTGCTTTTATATTCAGTTAAAGTATCGTACAGAAATAAATAGAGCATGATGCTCAACAAAATCCCTAATCTCGAATATTTGAACTTTCCCTATTTTCTCAAATAAAAACTAAAAAAAAACACCTAATTTTGTATATGAATATCATCATTTAGTGTATAAGTAAATTTGTATCAGTAACAGTTGCAATATTATCGTTATCCTTGTATTATTTTCCTTCCCGATTTTCATTTACCCGACGAGTTATCACGATGATACGACGATTACGAATTACGAACGAACGAACGAGCGGCGAATACGCGAACGCGAAACCGTTATAAACCCGAAACGCGACGATTTTTTTTTCGAATTTTTATTTATTTATTATTAGTTTGTTTTTACGAAAGTGTTGGGTTCAGTGGTGAAATTCAAATCTTTTGTTTTTCTGTGAATGAGTGTGCTGTCTGTGGTTTTGAACGGAGTTGTTTTTCAGTCTTTGCTTGCTTTCAGCTGAAATTTTAGTTTGTTTTTACATTTGATTTCATTGTTGTTGTGTTTTTCATTTCACACTTGACCCAACGCTTTCATTCAACGATTTTTCTTTAGTTTTTAATTACCGCGACACGAACCCGCTATATTATTTCTCTATAAGACGATGTTTTAGTTTCTTTTATTATTAGCTATGAGAGAAACACCCGTGTGTTCTCTGCATAATTAAACTCTATTTTAGGTTTTTTGGGTTTGGGTTTTGTCTATAGCACTTGAATCCGGTGAAGTACAGCCGGAACATTTTCTTTCATTTTATGTATCGGAAGCGGACAGACGATGAAGAAATTTTCTGCGGATCTAAGATCCTCTAGTGTTTTGTGTGGGGCTTAGGCTCTTCTCTATAAGGTATATATATATATATATATATATATATATATATATCGATATATGTTTCTTTTATGGTTAAATGTACGGTTATGCTGCTTTTTTTTAAGTTTTTTTTTCTATGTTAAATTTCAATATTAGCATTCGAACAGCATCGAATCGGATAACTTAACAGGCTAAAGATTAAGACGACGACACGCTTACTACGCATACTTGTACATAATTGTCTAGATAAGATGTTTTGCTGCTTGGGTGGTGGGTGTTTATTCCTTAACTCGCCTTGCCTGACTTAGATGTTGTACATGGTGGCCAGGCGCTCGGCCAGAGTTGGCGGGAATTGATCCACAAATCGACGCCAATTCTCTTCACCCACTTGGGTCTTGAAGCCGTGGAGAATCTGTGAGAAAAGTATTTATCATGTTTTTAATAATTTTATTTTGTGCTTGGGAGACGCCAGTAATGCGCTCCAAACGGGTTTCGTGTTCACCTTTTGTATCATCTGATGCAGATCCTGCGGGGGATTTACCCACGACGCAATGGCATCGCAGAAAAATATAAAATCGGGCACCACACCAGCTGGATTTACTGTGATCATATGACACATGCCACGGAAGGCAGAATCCTTCTCATCGTTGTCTCGTATGTGACGCAGCGATGTGCACCTATATTTATTTGAGCAGATCATTAATAAATGTAATTAAATAAAAACAACAATAAAGTCAGCAGGCCAAGAAACACAGAAGTTGAAAAGCAAATTTGAAATTCCAGTTAAATTAAGTTCAAAAGTACATGGATGAGTCCAGAGATCAAGAGAATGGAAGGAATGAATGTGTTAAAGTATGGCAAGGTGCGGAAGACAGGAAGGATATGGGGAAAGAAAGAATAAGCTAGTTTAAATATAATAAAACGTGTTACACACCACTGTCGTACAAATTCGGGCAAATAAGGAGCCACTTCAACTGGGCACACATAACCTAGACGACCGATTGTTATTGCTAAAAGGAACAGAAAAAAGTAAGAGCAATAAATCAACTGAATAAATCAATATCACACTTATAGTTTTATTTTGCGATAATGTCCCCCTCTCTCAGCTGGCTACATCTAATAAATTCTATGCATGTTGTATGGGAATGAGGTTTGATTTCGTTTCGTTGCTGCTCTCATGCAACAAGTAACACAAACTAAAACAGAAACAAATGTCCAAAGATCCACATACACACATACATACTGAATTATATATTTAAATATATATATATATATACATATAAACATATCGCAGACATAGAATTAAAACCTATGCTAATTAGCCCCAAAAACGACTCACCTGTATTCTCCAGCAGAGTCTTCGGCGTGTTGGGTTTATTGATAATGACGAACAGGTCGGCGAGTACCAGGTGGATGTACTGCTTGGTTTCCTCACCTTTTATGGGGAAAATAATCGTATACTTTAGATATCAATCAATATTATCATGTTTCAATATTATACTTATATATATTTGGTCAATTGGGTTTTTTAAATAATTATTTTTATTGTTTTAGAACTTTAATTGAATATAGTTTTAAAAATGATTTTAAAACGTGTGATTGAAATGAATATCCCCTAATTTTGACTCGTTTACTTAGTTTATTTATTTTTACAAAATTGTCGATGTCGATACTATCGCGGTAACATCTTTAGTGTCAGTAGGGATAGTTAGTCAGCCTAGTGCCATGTCTATTACCTTACATCCCATATACTCACCCAGTTTCATACAGATCTCCCCAATGGCCCAGGTGGCATTGTTGCATACCGAAATTAATTCGGGATTTAGATTCTGACCCAAAATGGGAAAGAATTCTGCCATAAAAGGATGCACATGGGGAAAGCAGGCCTTGGTCAAGTCACCCAGCAGGGCAAACGAGGATTGGCGCACCTGGAATTAGATTTAATTTAATTTTGAATAATATAATAATAGCTAGGACACCCACCTCTGGCAAAACATCCTGCATGCACTGGTAGAGCAGGTGCATGATGTTGCTGTTGGCCACCAGCGTCTCAATGTGACGATCCAGGCCCTCGGCCAGGCCAGACAGTAAATCCAGAGCCACAATCATGCGCTCCTTGTCGGTATGCTCAAATGTCTGGTTTTGTTTGCACAACTATAAAAATTTTATTGAATTTAAGATTAATAAAATACAATAAGAAACATCGTTTTTGCACTTACCATTTCCTGATTAATAGTCTGCTCTATCAGGGAGATGCATCTCCGGTAGACCGGGTCGCAGTAGGGCAGAAAGCCAGACTGCAGGGCAGTGGCGATGCTAGACAGGCACTCCAACAGCGGAAATAGGTCCTTATCGTCGTCCTTTAGCAGATTCCACTTGTCAATTAGCGGCGGCATCAGGATGTCAATGTACTGCGGCTTGTTAAGATGATGGCCCACGGAATCGGCCAAAGTGCCCACGGCATCGTACAGAATCAACAAATTCTTGTGCTGGTACTTGGAGAAAGCAAAGACGAGTGTCTTAAGGATATACTCCAAGTATGGCACCAGCTCTGTGCAGGCCTCCTCCTCCAGCGTGGCAAAGGCCGAGCATGCCGCCTCCTGGACCCGCTTATTGGAGTCTAGGATGCGTTTTAGCAGTTCCTCCATCAGTGGCTTCAAGTACTGATCGTGCGGCTGGTTAACTACCCAGTTGGCATAGCGAGACAGCGTCCAGCAAGTGATGGAGCGTACCAGAGCCTTCTTGTCCGAAAGGCAGCTAATCAGATAGGGTATCAGCTCGGGCAGGTGTTGGATCATGCCCTGCATACAGCCCTCGGCGATGGCTCCCAGGGCCAGGACACCGCTCTCCTTGATCACCCACTCTTGATGGAACAGTGTTTCCTTGAGAATGGGCAAGACGACAGGCAGACAGTCCTCGCGGAACACATTGGCCAGCACATCCAGGGCGGCTGCGCTACACTTGCGCAGATTCCATTCTGATAGCGAGCTATCGTCATCCAACCCGTCGTCGAAGTCGTCGTCGTCATCCTCTCCAGAGGCTCCTGCCTGGCCGCTTGCCTCCTGTCCGCTTTTGATTGTGTGTGTGCGGGACTTGTGGAAACGTGGCCGAATATCTTCTTCGCGATCTGGCACCATGTCATCTTCCTCCACGTTACCCTTAAGCAGGATTATGTCAATCTCGGAGTAGCGCATGCCGCGTACCAGAACTGGAGCCAACTGGGACAAGTAGGGAGCCAGCACATCCTTGCAGATGCTCTGCTCGGCAAGCGACAGCCAGAATTCTGAGGCTTCCAGGGCGACGCCCTCGTCGGAATCCTGAGTTCGCAGCAGCATGTACTCAATGATCTGCGACATGTGCGGCATCAGGCGGTCCATTCGCACCTCCAGCAGCATAACCAGCCCGTGGCAGACATTCTTGCGCACCTCGTGATCCTCGTCGGAGGACAGGTGGAACAGATTCTCTATGAAGGTGTCTATGTTCAGCATGAGCGCCTGTGACCGGTTGATGATGAACTGATTGATGCAGGCAATGGCATGTGAACGTATCTTGGGACTGCTGTGCTTGAAGTACTGCAGGAATTTGGGAATCATCACATTGAGTGGCCGGTTGAGCGCCGCCGAGTCCAGGATATCGGCAGAGTCCTCACAGATCTTCTGCAGCGCACTAAAGGCGCCCTCGCACACATTATAGTCTTGGTTGTCGAGCATTTCGCAGAGCGAGGGCAGTAGCTGCGGCCAATTGTGGAGACCGCCATTGCTGGCAATGGTAGTGATCAGAATTCCGACGGTGGCACGGATCAGGGGCGAGGCATCGCCCACGGCCTGCAGGCACTCGTGCTTTATATACTCGACAATCTCCGGCTGCAGAGTGCTGCCGTGCATGCGGATGTTGTTCTTGAGGATTAGGCCGCTGAGGGAGCGTGTCGGCTCATCCTCGGTCTTCAGCTTTGTCAACACATATATAAGATAGTTGTTGAAGTCTGGATAGCGATTGAACTCTTCAAGTTTCTGTATCGAGGACGGAGCAGTATGGATTACCAGAGTTCCAGGAAAACAGCTGTGTTTGGCCGGGAATAACTTACCATTTGTACCGCCATCTGTGTGGCTGTGTCTGGTGACTGCGATTCCTTGAGAATCGCTATGATCTGCTGCAGACCTTCTCCCTGTGGCTCCCACGTCATCTTGATGCTGGTCGTGCTGCTGCAGAAGGGAAGGAGATCGGATCGAGTCAGGTTAATGCCCTCCGTCAGGGGTAGCAAAGTAACAAGAAGAAGAGCGACCAACGAGAGCGCGAGCGAGTGGTCGAGGCCACTCACGCACACAGGCGCACTTGACAGCAGCAGCACATAAAAGCACATAGAATGTCGGCTGATATGATATTTACATCATCTGTCCACATCTGCCATGTAAAACTGTCCCAATCTCGTTTATTTTCAGTTCCCGACCGACTCTGCCTGCGGTGAGGGGCGAGCGAGTTTTATCCCAGAAAAACCCCAAACCGAACCGTGCTCGCCCGCCTGCTACCGCCATATTTCACATTCCTCGTCACGCCTCTGAAAAAAAAGCTTTCCCAGCACTGCTTAACGCTAATCCAGCCCCCAGACTCACCTTTGGGTTTTTAAAACTAAAATGGGTGGAAATATTGCTAGTTTTTCAACTATTTTCTTCTTTTTTCACTTTTTCTTTGCACAATTAGTAGAGATGTGTTCGGTATGACCGTGGTACGAGCTGGGCAATTTGCCATAAAGATGGGAGCGTGCCGTCAACGTTGACGAATAATCGCACGCATTCGATTCGCATTACTCAATTTCTTTTATAAATATACAGTTGTTAAAATGAGAGGAGAATAGGTGTCCTACATTTTCTTGCTATTTTGGGACTAGTTAATTATAATTTTGTAATAAAATAATATATTCGAGCAATAACTAACTTCTCGCTGTAATCACGGCCGTCGGCCATCTCTAGATGCACTCGCTAGGACGGCCACACTATCCCTAGCTTAGAGTGCCCGCATTCGCCACCCTGGTGTCAATTTTGTTTGGTTTGAGGCCAGACAGAAGAGTCATTAATTTTAAACAAAGGACCACGCTCAGGACATTCATCCCGAGGTCAGACAAAGCCGCATCTCGCTTTCCCCACGGTGAAGTGAAAGTTTCTCGCCTGTCGCGTCTCAACATCCGAAGTGACCGGACATGAACAAGCGCAACCATGTGAGGAAACTCCAGTTTGGAAACAAAGCAAAGGAAACTAATATGTGGAAAACTTAACTTCTTTTGCAGATCCGCCTGCCGCCAGAGGTGAATCGGCTGCTGTACGTGCGGAATTTGCCGTACAAAATCACATCCGATGAAATGTACGACATATTCGGCAAGTTTGGAGCCATCCGCCAGATTCGTGTGTAAGTAAAAGAAGTGGCTGTTATGATGTGAATCCTCTATAGATTTGTTTGTATCCTCCCTAACAGGGGCAACACACCGGAGACCCGTGGCACTGCCTTCGTAGTCTACGAGGATATTTTTGACGCGAAGAACGCCTGTGACCATCTATCGGGCTTCAACGTGTGCAATCGCTACCTGGTGGTGCTCTACTACCAGTCCAACAAGGCCTTCAAGCGAGTGGACATGGACAAAAAGCAGGAGGAGCTGAACAACATCAAGGCCAAGTACAATCTGAAGACGCCGGAGGCTCCGTAAACCATCCAGCGGCAGGCGGACCATTTCCATCAAAAATTTTCCACTGTTTAGGGAACTTCTTGCTCTATGCTATATACCTATACGTATACAAAATTTTTGCTATCTACTTGTAGATTTTTTTGATCGCATTTTGTATCATTTGAATCTAATCATTATCATCCATCCATCACTCCATCTATCATATGAGCGGCCGAGCATAGTCATCTGCGCAGCCATTTGTGAGGTGTCTGCCCGGTTGTTTGCAATCATTTTACAACATTAAGCCCACTCTCTCATCAAAAATAACAAGCAAGTAAATGTAAAAATACAAAAAATTGAAAACATTAAGAAGGAAAGATTTTAATTATTCCTTATGGATGCTTTCCTGTTACTTTAATTACTTAAAACTATGATAACAATTAGGAAATAGTTAAATATTAACCAACGATTGATGTCTACCCATTTTGGAAGACATTGAGCCTTAAGATTCCTTTTCTGTTCCCAGATTAGCCTGGTTGACTGCCGCTGCCTGATACTGTTCATAGGAGTTATGTTGCTTCTCTAGGTTCCGCAGCTTTGCCAGATCCTTGAGCTCCTCCTTGGCAGCATCGGCTATCTCCTGGCGCAGCGCTTCCACTTTCTGTCGGCGTTCACTTTTCTGCATCGCCTTTTGGCGAGCTCTATCTGTGATTTCCTTTGGTGGTTTTGCCGGCTTTGGATGCTTTTCGTAATGGACCTTCTGGTGGCGGATGAGAGCCGCCTCCTGTCGGAAATGAGTACTGCACACCTTGCACTCGTACGGCTTCTCACCGGTATGTATCCACTCGTGTTGCTTCAGAGACTGCGAGTTTGCGAAACGGCGCGCGCAGAAGCGGCACTCAAAGTCCTTAACCTTTTCATGGACGCTCTTGTAGTGACGCTTCATGTTGCCTAGATTATTGAAACCCTGGCTGCAGCCGGGGCAAAGGTGCATGCCCTCTTTCTGGACGAATTTCGTGCGGATCTGGGCCTCACTGGGCGGCAGTTGAACAGTGGGAATGGGATTAACCACAGTGCCTGCCAGTTGGGACAGATCAACACGCTCTACACGACGCGGATCCTTGGGTATGGTCGCCACCGATTCGGCGCAGACTTTAAGCAGCTGATCCGCATCCACTTGGACGTCTCCGGTTTCACCGTCTCCTTGCCGTAGGCGATAGGTTTCCAGAGCTCTCTCCACACTCTTTTCATGGATCTTGAGATGCTTTGTCAGGCTCTCGGTGTACAGGAACTTCTTGCCACAGACCTTGCACTCGCAGCGCTTTTCTCCGGTGTGCGTCATTTCATGGATCTTGCAGGCATGGGACTTTCCAAAAGTTTTCCCACAGTACTGGCAAGCAAAGTTCCGGATCTTCTCATGCACAATCTTGACATGGCTGTCCAAGGCGCGCTTCGTGTGGGTGGCATGGGCGCATATGTGACACTTGAACTGCTTCTCCTGGGTGTGCGTAAGGAGGTGCTTGCTCCACTCCTGCCTCGTGGTCTTCCCCACGCCGCAGTAAGGACACACGTAGTTCTTGATGCCCGCATGCCGGAGGAGATGATTCTTTAGGGCGCTGTTGATGTGGAAGCCCTTGCCGCAGATGTTGCAGGGATACGGCAGTTCCTCGCCAGTGTGCTTATACATGTGCTTCTTGAGGGCCACAGGACAGCGAAAGACGAGTCCGCATTCCCCGCATGGCTGCTCCGCCCGCGGAGCACTCACTCTGGTCTGGTTGTGCACCTTCTTCAGGTGTATCGTCAACAGGCGAATGCGAGGAAACATCAACCGGCAGCCCTCCACGGTACAGGGAATCTCATCCGCCTTCTTGGTGTGCGCGTAATCTACATGCAGCCGTAGAGCACCGGCTGTGGTGAAGCCTGTAATCGGAAGGAGAGGATTGGGGTACACCTTAAAAAGATCTAGAGATAGGATTACCTTTCCGGCAATTTTTATCTGCGCACTGAAAGGGCAGCAGGTCATTATGGTGCTTCATGTGCTCCTCGAATTTTGACGACTTCTTGAACTTTTGCTGGCAGATGGGGCAGGTGATGAGTTGGTGCGGGCGACTCTTAGGGCAGTGAGTCTTTTTCCGCTTAGCCAAGGGTTGTTCGTCGTCGCTGGAGAAGCTCTTCTGCGCCTCCTGCTCATCGTATCCACGCTCTTTACTTGAGGAATCGTCTCGGTTATTCTCCTCCGGTTCCCTGTCCACCGTTTCCAACATCTTAAACACCTCCTCCTCGTTGTCAATAAGTTCCAGCTTGTGGTTGAGGAGAGGATCATAACTGGCCTGCTCCTCTTGTCTGCCCAGCATGTCTGTTTCCTCCGCCACAGGCTCGAATTGTCCAACGGGAAATACTTGGATCTTGGCAAACATTTCCTTAAGTCGCCTCTGGGAGCCCGCACACTGTTCCTGGAAATCGTGCAGCTCGTTCAACTTCCCAAAGCACAGGTGGCAGATGTGGCTCGGGAAGCCATCCTGCGCATCCAATTCCATTGACGTACAAGCAGTCAGCTTCTTGGCCAGATTTGGAATCTGGAACAGGTCGTAGCCTGTCCCCTGCTCCATGTGGACCAGACAGGTGCGGCACAGCGAGTGGACGGATTCCTGGAGCTCTTTGGTGCCCATTTCTCCGGGAACAAGGCAACCCGAGCTAAGAAAACAAAACAAATTTGTTGCAGTGTGCTGGATAGTGTGACCACCCATCGCTTACTATATTTAACCCATTTCGGTGATATGGATCTGAAATCGACCAAGAGTTTGGCTATGTATTCGTATACGAAAGCAAATATGTTGGATATTTATTGTTTCAGGTATTATCAATAATACATTATTAAACGAAGAAGGAAAGAAAGAAAAAATCTGTTGTGTCTGTAAATAAATACTTGTAATAATTATAATACCCGGCAAATGTGTCAAAATAAAGTGCAGATAACTTTTGCCACAATAAGGGCTAATGTCGTCTCACGACCAAGGTACCCAGCGAGTCCCCACTGCCAGCGAGTAACTCGCTGGAAAGTCGTTCTTGCCTTATTGTTCACTCGCCCGTTCGAACATTGACGAGTATACAATTTTTTCTGTGTCAATATTATTTTTTTACTGCTGGCTGGAGGGACGCAATAAGCAGACGAAAATCGCCCAATCCCGAAGTGCCGCTCGCGATAAACCCATCATGGACGTGGCGCGCACGTACTCAATTCACAGCCTTTGCAGGATTTGCCTGAACCACCTGCAGAACGACGCCGACTTGTACGACCTGTATCTGGTGCCAGGATTGGCCAAGAAACTTTGCTTCTGCACCTCGCTGTCCGTGGAGCAGAACGATGGCTTCCCCAAGAACCTGTGCACCCAATGCTACTCGAAGCTCACCGAGCTGCACGACTTTCAGCGACTGTGTGTGGACTCGGTGCAGAAGTTTCAGGACCTGGTCGCCAGCAACGCCTTCGCCTGCCAGAGCAACTTCGATGTGCTGGACCCTAGTGTGTCCGTGCACGACATCCCTGGTGAGGAAGAGGAAAATATAAACTACGATCCTCTCTTGAACCATAAGATGGAGCTGATCGAGAACGAGGAGGATGTGTTCAAGATGCTGGAGCACGTGGACAAAGAGGCCGAAGAGGTGGAGAATGGCACCAAGCAGGAGGAGCAGGACGATAAAGCCGGCGTCAGCCACATCAAAATTTTTAATGACGACTCCTCCATAGAGAGCGGCAACGACAACGACCGCGATCTGGACTTTGAGCCGAACAGCAGCGACGACGACATTCCGTTGGCCCAGCGCCTGCGAGGACCTGGTGCAGGAACATCCCAGCAAGCCCGCCAGGCCATATACACTAAGGCGAAGGGCAAACCGCGGGGCAGGCCCAAGAAGATAAAGCCGCCGCCGGCGGACGAAGACGAGTTCACAAGTGCCTCCGACGACTCAGATGACTCGGAGGAGGACAACGCCGACGGAACGCCCAGGGAAAAGCCGAAGAGAAAGCGCATTCCCGCCGACGAGCGCCATCTGCACCGCATCATCGACTGCCACATCTGCCACCAGAAGTTTAAAAAGGCGATCCGCTACGAGGAGCACATGAAGTACCACAACGACCTGCTGCCCTTCCAGTGCAAGGTTGAGACCTGCAAGAAAGGTAGGTCCTGGCCTTAGTATTCCTTTAACAACGATCTAACACCCGCACCAACTTTCAGGCTTCACCACGGCCAATGGCCTGCGTATCCACATTGACCACGCCCACACCGAACTGTCGGAGGTACACACTTGTACCGCCGAGGGCTGCGGCAAGACCTTCCCGCGTGTCCGCCTGCTTACCTTTCACATGAAGAAGGTCCACGGCCTAACCAAGGCAGCGGCTCCACTGCGAGACTTCCCCTGTCCGGAATGCGACACAGTCTTCCGCTGCCCCACGGCCCTCAAGAAGCACATGTACAAGCACACGGGCGAGGAGCTCCCCTATCCGTGCAACATCTGCGGCAAGAGGTTCGTGATCAATAGCGCTCTGAGGGATCACCTAATGCGGCATGCGGGCATCAAGAACCACGTCTGCCCCTACTGTGGCGTTGGCAAAACGACGCGCCAGGAGTGGAACGCCCACATACTTACGCACACTAAGGAGAAGAAGTTCAAGTGCCGGCAGTGTGACCACGCCTCCCACAACAAGCAGGCCCTTTCCAACCACGTCAAGGTGGTTCATGAGAAACGGAAGGACTTCGCGTGCCAATACTGTGGCAAGACCTTTGGCAAGTCGCATGCCTGCAAGGTACATGAGCGGAGCCACACGGGGGAGAAGTGCTGCGAGTGCAAGATCTGCGGCAAGATCTTCCTCTGTGAGAAGAGCCTCACAAAGCATCTGAAAACGCACGAGAAGCGCGACCTACCGCCAGCGGAGCCCCTCCGCCAACAACTGAACATTCCCATGCCCGGCCAGATGACGGGCCAAATGCCCGGCCAGATGCCGATGCAGATGCAGGGTCCGGGCGATGGTCTGCTGCCGCAGATGCAGCCTCCCAATCAGATGCCCAGTGATGACATGCTCAAGGCGTGCGGCGGCGGGTCTGCCGCAGTGCCTGCTGCGAAACCGAAGAACTCGCGTCGCGTACAGCGGGTAGACATTGCTCAGCTGGCGGGCACTGCCGTCAACCCTATACCCTCCGTCTCGGTGCCGTCATGGTCGCCCCAGGTCAACTTCACCAAGAAGGAGGGCCAGCACATTTGCCCGGGCTGCGGTCGTGGCTTCAATAATATTGGCAACATGAAGCTCCACTACAAGATCATCCACGAGAAGGTCAAGGACTTTGCCTGCCGCTTCTGCCCCAAGCGGTTCTCAAAGGCACAGATCCTGCGCCATCACGAATGGATCCACACCGGTGAGAAGCCCTTCGAGTGCAAGATCTGCGGCAAGCACTTCCGCCAAGAGACGGCCCTCAAAAAACACATCAAGACGCACGAAAAGCCTAACCGTCGGCACGTGCCCGAGCGCAGTGCGCCCACCCAAATCACGTTCCGGAAGCTGGAGCCGGACGCCGAGCGGAACTTCGATCAGTACCAGGATCCGGCGGTGGAGCGGGCGGCGGCTACCGCTGAGCTGTTGGCCCACCAGCTGGAGGAGAACGAGGCCAGGCGGAAGGCGGACATCGAGCGTCAGAAGATTGCGGCTGCCGCCTGCGAGCAGCTGACGAAGCTGCAGCAGCAGCAGGACATCATCAAGGCGACCACCTCGTACGACGGCTACTACGCGCAGAAGGCCCAGGCCGAGGGCACCAGCGTTGATGCCCTAAAGATCGACCATGTCTAGGCCTGAGGCTGGGCAGCGGCATCATCCAGGAATTGGCTTTATCTTATCTCGAGCAACATTTGTATCCCCACTTCTACACAGCAGCTATCACTGGCCGGAAAGTCCTTAGACATGCCTCGAATTGCTCTCTAGCTGGATCAGATTGTAGGTTTATAGGGGCCCTAAGCCCTCTTAATTAATTAATCGCGTACATATTACAATATGAACACTTACTTTATACATAATATTTTATACTTTATACCTTACCTTTATACATACATGCAATATATGTATCTTGTGTTTTCCGTGTAATGTCTCCCGTGCTTACTTAGAGTAAAGGATTAAAAACTACATAAATATTAAATAATAGTGTTTTATCTTACTTAAGGACTCTATATATATGGGATTATTATATTTTTGTTTATTTATTTTCCCAATTTTAAATGGCTTATTTTGTGTTCTTATATTACGCTTCAGTTCCTGATAAACCTATTTAAAAATTATATTTTATTGTCCTAATGGAAACATTTCCGACCATATAAAGTATATATATTTATGATCACCATCAACAGCCGAGTCTATATAGCCATGTCTGTTTGTCCAATTGTCCGCCCTTCCGATTGTCAATTTATTCCCTCAGTTTTTAAGCTACCTGAATAAAAACAGATCTGATTTTTATATTATAAAGCTGATGTAGAAAGAATTCTAAATTTTTAGAAATAAATATTAGTTTAGTTTAGGAAAATCTAGACCTGCAACTATGTTCATAATTGTACTGAAAGTTGGCATTACTTTGTAGTTTTTCACAATATATATTATAATATATATTTCAAAACTGTTAGATTGGTTTTTATACGTTTTTAAAATAGTGTTTTTATAATATAAAAAAACCGGTTTGTTATAATATTTAAATGCTACACATCCTTTTGTTTTTGTTGTTCAGTTTTTAAATTTAATACCAAGCAATCCTTTTAAACGACATGAATAAATTAAAGATTTTTTGTGATGTTTTTATTTATTGTTTTTTTTTTTATTGTGATTTTAACTTCAACTATATTTTAAATTTGTCATTTATTGATTGCTCAATATTAATGACATTGACTGTAATGACATTATTTGAGCCGCGACTGTAATGTACTCGCTGAGACGGTTCGCCAGTGTGGCCAATTATAGCGAATTTGGTATTATAAACGGAAAAGCCAGCGGTCACACTGACAAGTGTTGTATTCAATTTTTCACGGCATAGAATATTTATCTCGGCTGCAGTTTTCCGGATCTCGGCAAGATGTCTATCTCTGACGGCAGAGAGTACTCTATCCACACCGTGTGCCGCACCTGCCTGTCCGCGCTGGACAACACGGCGGCCTACGACCTCTTCCTGGTGCCCGGCCTGGCCAAGAAGCTGTGTGTGTGCACTTCGCTGTCCGTGGAGCAGGCGGACGGCTTCCCCAAGAACCTGTGCACCCTGTGCTACACCAAGCTAAACGACCTGCACGAGTTCCAGAAGCTGTGCGTGGACTCGGTGCAGAAGTTCCAGGACCTGGTCGCCAGCAACACCTTCGCCTGCCAGACCAACTTTGATGTGCTCGATCCCAGCGCCGCGGTGGCCGACTTGCCGGGCGAGGAGGAGGACAACGTCCACTTCGATCCGCTGCTCAACTCCAAGATCGAGATCATTGAGAACGAGGAGGATGTCTTCAAGATGTTGGAAACTGTCGAGAAGGAGGTCGAAGAGGTCGAAAAGGAGGACCTGGATGTGGAATTGGAGCAGCCTTTTGCCGAGTTCTCGGCGGAAGACTCTTTCGAAAGTGGCAACGACAATGATCAGGATGCGGACTTCCAACTGAACAGCAGCGACGACGACATCCCGCTGGCCCAGCGTAGCCGACGAGGAGCCGCCCGCGGGCGCAAACCGAAAGCCAAGACCAAGGCCAAGCAGGACAAGGAATCCGACGAGTCTAGCTCCTCGGAAGACTCAGAGGATGGCTCCAGCAAGGGCAAGGCCAAGCGCAAACGGATTCCAGCGGATGAGCGCGATCGACACCGTCTGATCGACTGCCACATCTGCCACCAGAAGTTCAAGAAGGCCTTCCGGTACGAGGATCACATGAAGCACCATAACGATCTCCTGCCCTTCCAGTGCACCGTGGAGAGCTGCAAGAAGGGTGGGTACTCTGAAGGCTAAGCTTTCTCGAAGATTGATGTAATAAATCTATTGCAGGCTTTACCACCGCCAACGGACTACGCGTCCATGTGGAGCACGCCCACACAGATACCTCGGCTATGCATCCGTGCACTTACGAGGGCTGCAATAGGTCCTTCGCCAGGCCCGTGCTGCTCAGCTTCCACATGAAGCGCGTCCACAAGGTGGACACCCCACAGCGGGACTTCCCCTGTACCGAGTGCGACAAGGTTTTCCGCTGCCCTACCGCCCTCAAAAAGCACATGTACAAGCACACCGGTGAGGAGCTTCCCTTCGCCTGCGAGATCTGCGGCAAGCGCTTCCCCATCAACAGCGTTCTGCGCGACCATCTCCTCCGCCACGCTGGGATCAAGAATCACGTTTGCCCCTACTGTGGAGTAGGCAAGACGACGCGACAGGAGTGGAACAAGCACATCCTCACACACACCAAGGAGAAGAAGTACGAGTGCCGGCAGTGTGATCACGCCTCCCACAATAAACAGGCGCTGGCCAACCACGTCAAGGTGGTGCACGAGAAGCGCAAAGACTTCGCCTGCCAGTACTGCGGAAAGACCTTCGGAAAGTCGCATGCATGCAAGATCCACGAGCGGAGCCACACTGGGGATAAGTGCTGCGAGTGCAAGATTTGTGGCAAGGTGTTCCTCTTCGAAAAGGGTCTCACCAAGCATCTGAAAACGCACGAAAAGCGGGATCTGCCTAAGACACAACCGCTGAATCCCCTGATGGGTGATGCTGCCGCCACCGCCGCCAGCACATCGACGATTGCCAAGCCCAGTCCGCATCTGCGGGGCCGCGTTGAGCGCGTAGACATCGCCCAGCTAGCGGGAACGGTGGCCAATCCGATTCCCTCGGTCAACCTGCCGTCGTGGTCGCCCCAAGTGAATTTCACCAAGAAGGAGGGCCAGCACATCTGCCCCGACTGTGGTAAAGGCTTTAACCACGTGAGCAACATGAAGCTCCACTACAAGGTGGTGCACCAGAAGGTTAAGGACTTCTGCTGCCGCTTTTGCCCCAAACGGTTCGCCAAGAAGCAGTACCTCCGCCACCACGAGTACATCCACACGGGCGAGAAGCCGTACGAGTGCAAGGTCTGCGGTAAGCACTTCCGCCAGGAGCAGGTCCTCAAAACGCACATGAAGGTGCACGACAAGCCACCACGTCCGCCCGGCAAGCCCAAGGAGCCAGCGGGGCCCAAGGCCGAAACCAGCACTTCCGTAAAGCGCCAGCAGCCGAAGAATTTCGAGCAGTACCAGGATCCGGCGGCGGAACGGGCGGCCGCCACCGCCGAACTGCTGGCCTACCAAATCGAGGAGAACGAGACCAAGCGGAAGGCGGAGGCGGAGCTGCGGAAGATCCAGGAGGCCGCCTTTGAGCAGCTGAACAAGCTACAGAAGCAAACGGGCACGTATCAGGGATTCTCTGCCCAAAAGGCCGAAGCCGAGGGCACCTCGACTGACCACCTCAAGCTGGACCACGTCTGAGCGGAAGGATCAGCACCCCAGCCCGCACCCGATCCCATTTACTATGTGTTTCTGTGAAGGACATAAGTATGCGTTATAGGTCTCTAAGGATTACCATCTAGTTTCCGTAATTTTGCAATCCTCCTGTCCGCTATTTTGTATGTAACTCTACCCCCTTCAGTCTCAGCGGCTTAAGTTTGTATTTTATTGTATTGTATTGATTTCTAATTTCATTTATAAATGCAGATTTAAATATAAATAAACAAATAAGAATTAAGAGAGCGATTCTTCAGTGTTGCTAAGCGACGTTTGGAGTGCGGGCTATGCGCAGTGCTGTAAAGTTTGCTTTTCCTTAAAAAAAACTAGCGGGATTTGTGCCTTTAATTGTTGTTAAATATTGTCTAATTATCGTAAATTTACAGTTTTACCTGTTTTATATGTTGTTTTTTATCTAGTTCCCGATCGTTCTTATGGCAGCAATATGATGTAGTCAGTCGGCCGATCAAGCCTGCTCCGACTTGTATACTAATACGAATAAAAAGAAAATCTGCATAGTCTCATTCAGACATCTTAAAAACATCTGAATATAATTATACTTCACTGCAAGGGAATAATTATGTAAAGATTTGAGTAATTATAACTTAAATTTAATAAAAATATGTTTAGATACTATGTTTTAAAACATTTTAATTATTATTGTTTCAGCAACACTTCTAGCTATTTTCCCAATTGGCTTTTATTTGCAACTGAGAGCATCACTGTCACTCTTGTTTTGGTTTTCCTGACGCGTAAAGTTTTATCTCCGCTTAAAACATATAATTCCCAACGAAGGACCCCTTGATTAACCCTGGAGCTGGCACCATGGAGCAGGAGGGGGCCCAGTACTCGGTGCACGCTGTGTGCCGCATCTGCCTGAACCGCCTGCCGGGCGACGGCGCTGGAGCCGGATGCTTTGACCTATTCCTGATCCCCGGCCTGGCTAAGAAGCTATGTGTGTGCACTTCACTGGTAGTGGACCAGTCAGATGGCTTCCCCAAGAATCTGTGCACAACCTGCTATGCCCGGCTGGACGATCTGCACGAGTTCCAGAGGCTGTGCGTAGACTCGGTACAGAAGTTTCAGGATCTGGTGGCCAGGAACGTTTTCTGTACGCCTTTGAGCGCCCAGATCAAAACCTTTGACGTGCTGAATGTGGCCGGAAATGGGGCTGACATTGTGGGCCACGAGGAAGAGGATCGCATCAACTTTGACCCGCTGTTGGATCACAAAATGGAGCTGATCGAGAACGAGGAGGATGTTTTTAAAATGCTGGAGCACGTGGACAAGGAGGCCGAGGAGGTCGAAAAGAAGGTCAAGCACGACGAGAACGAGGTCGACGATTTAATGGCCCTCTTCGGCGCGGATTCCTCCACGGAGAGCGAGAGCGACCATGACCAAGATGTGGACTTTGAGCCCAACAGCAGCGACGGCGACGATGACCTCCCCCTCGCGCAGCGCATGAGAATAAGTCCGGGTCAGGCCAAACTCAAGGCCAAGAAAGCCTCTGTTAAGGTGGAGGAAGAGGAATTGCTTTCCGGTTCCGAGGAGGAGGATGACGAGGAGAGTAAATCGAAGTCCAGGCGCCGAAGAGTACCGCCGGGTGAACGACACCTGCACCGCATCATCGACTGCCACATCTGCCACCAGAAGTTCAAGAAGGCCATTCGCTACGAGGAGCACATGAAGCACCACAACGACCTCCTCCCCTTCCAGTGCAAAGTGGATACGTGCAGGAAAGGTATTTATTGAAGCTACTGCTGTTGGAGGCATATACTTCTATACACTCCCCTTCCAGGCTTCACCACCGCTGGCGGCCTGAGGCTTCACATTGACCACGCCCACACGGAGCTGTCGGAGGTGCACAATTGTAGCTTTGAGGGCTGTGGCAAGTCCTTCCCGCGCATCCGCCTGCTCACCTTCCACATGAAGAAGGTACACGGAATTACAAAGGCGGCGGCGCCGCCGCGGGATTACCCCTGCTCCGAGTGCGAGAAGGTATTTCGTTGCCCCATGGCCCTCAAAAAGCACATGTACAAGCACGACGGGAAGGAGTTGCCGTTCCCCTGTAATATCTGCGGCAAAAGGTTCGTGATCAACAGCGCCCTTAAGGATCACTTGATGCGCCACGCTGGTATCAAAAACTACGTCTGCCCATACTGCGGCGTGGGCAAGACCACGCGCCAGGAGTGGAACACGCACATCCTGACGCACACACAAGAGAAGAAATTCAAGTGCCACATCTGCGAGCACGCCTCGCACAATAAGCAGAGCCTGGCCAACCACATCAAAATAGTTCACGAGAAGATCAAGAACTATGCGTGCCAGTACTGTGGGAAGACCTTCGGCAAGTCGCACGCCTGCAAGATCCACGAAATGACGCACACCGGAGAGAAGCGGTGTGAGTGCAAGGTCTGTGGCAAGAAGTTCCTCTATCCCAAGAGCCTGACCAAGCACCTCAAGACGCACGAGAAACGAGTGCTCAGGGCCATCGAGACCTATCGCCAGCGGCAGGTGGAGATGGGCGAGACAGCTAGCGATCAGCTAGGAACAGCTCCTCTAGAACTCCAGTCGGGCATGCCAGCTGAGGGCTTAGTGACCAGCGAACCAGCCATCATGTCGCAGAATGCAGCCGACGAACTGCTCAAGGTTTGCGCCGAATCGGTGGCCACAATACCCAAAGATCCGCGCCGCGTGCAGCGCGTAGACATTGCCGAGCTGGCCGGCACTGCTGTGAATCCCATACCATCAGTCTCGGTGCCATCTTGGTCGCCACAGGTCAACTTCACCAAGAAGGAGGGCAAGCACATCTGTCCGGGCTGTGGACAGGGCTTCAACAATATCGGAAACATGAAGCGACACTACAAGATCATACACGAAAAGGTCAAGGACTTTGCTTGCCGCTTTTGCCCTAAGCGATTCGCAAAGGCCCAGACTTTACGGCACCACGAATGGATCCATACGGGCGAGAAACCCTTTGAGTGCAAGACCTGCGGAACGCATTTTCGCCAGGAGACGGCCTTGAAACGTCACCAACGTACCCACGAGAACCGTCCGCCCGTTATCTCGCCAAAGTTCTATGCCGCTCGCGAGGAGCTGGAAGAACAGGAGCGGAGCAAGCGAGAAGCAAAACGGCAGGCGGAGGTCAAAAAACGGGAAATAGCAGAGGCGGCCAAGGAGCAGCTGTCTTCGCTGCACAAGCTGGAGGGCGCCAGCGGTGAGCATCGCAGCTTGAACTCCTACGACGAGTACCAGGAGGCGGCGGCGGAACGTGCCGCTGCTTCCGCCGAACTCCAGGCCCAGCAGTTCGAGGAAAACGCGGTGAAGCGACGGGCGGATGAGGAGCGTCTAAAGATACAGGAGGCTGCCTACGAGCAATTGCAACGGCTGCAGCAGCAGCAGGAACTGGACAAGGCACAGACCTCCTACGATGGCTACTACGCGCAGAAGGTGAACGTGGAAGGGAGCACACTGGATGCCTTGAAGGTGGACCATGTGTGAGAACTGTTTGTGGCGTTTAACGCAGGCAGCGTAGGCTTATATGAAAAGCAATACTTTATATTTACAGTGTGTATAAGATGGAATTAACTTAGATGTAAGCTTAAAGGTATAATGAAATTAGATTAATTCTAGAATTCTAGAAATACTGTCCATTGATCAGGAAGAAAAAAACAATACATTGATTCTGTACTGTGAAACCCATTGAAGGTTGCGTGAGTCAGTTTAGATTTAAACAAGTTTGTTAGTCTTCTTTAAGAATGCTTAGTCTTACCTAGCATATACTCGACCCATTTGGGTCCAGATCGCCCCATACCTTTTGGATACCTGGTAAAAATAATTAAGATGTGGGGAATGTGTTATACCCTTTGTCAGGGTATCTAAATTCATCTTTCCTACTCCTTATCCTTAAGTATGAATAGCTTCTTGAGGCTGTCCAGAGTCATATTCTCCAAGTCCCAGTGCGTGGACAGGGTCTCGTTGTCGTCGGCTGAAGTTATAAGCGAGAGTATGTTCTCCTCGATGGTGCCATTAACTATAAAGCGATGTACCTTTGTGGGTCTGCAAAATAAAGATAATAACTTAGTCAAGCTACTATATATTGAGTCAGTAAGCTCACTTCGTCTGGCCAAAGCGATGTATGCGTCCTATGGCCTGGCGTTCGTCGCCTGGATTAAGTATAGGTTCCACCAGGAACACATGTGTGGCTTCGATTAGATTAAGACCCTTAGAGCCCTTGGAAATGGGCATCAGCAGGCAGGTGATCTTTCTTTGAGGATTCTGGAGGAAGTTAAACGGTTACTAAGAGAACTAGGGTTAGTTACCAAGAAGCAAACCTTGAAATCAGCAAATTCCTGATTGCTGCACTTGCTCCGAAATTCAATGCCATTGAGATGCAAAGCCCTGGCTATTTGCATGAGTATTGCCTGCCATTGCGAGAAGATTAGGACCTTTTCCGTTTCATTAGCTTCCCGGATCTTAAGTACAAGTTCCACAATATTCGCAATCTTTGTTGAAAAGTCACCAACTATGGACTTGTGGGCTCCAGGACGCACTGAGTAATACAATCTTAAAGGAAAGTTATGTTTAAGATTTATGCGAGACAATTTGTGGCCAAAAAGCTTACTGTGGCGAGTCTTGGCGACAAAGAGGACACTTGGTCACGCCACCCCTGTCAGATCTCCTTCGCATGGTATCTAGGCAGTGCTGGCATACGAAGTGGCCACAAACCATCATCACGTACTGAAAAGGGGTAACCATTTTACTCAAACTGAATTCTAGTTATAAGCAAGAGCTCGCTCACCCTCACATCGTCCTGCGTCTGGCAGATGGGACATGGCTTATCGGTGGCATCCTCCTTCAGATGCTTTAGGTACTTCAGCCTGCCGCAGAGCCGCGTAAAGTTGAGCTGCGCCTCGTTCAGGTTGGACAGATTAAACTGCTGCTGCTCCTCCAACTGGCAACGGAGTATTCGGTAGTTGGACTGCTTCTCGGGATCGTCGGTGAGCAGGATCCGCATTCGGCACATCTCGAGCTCATCGAAGGCTTTCACCATATACTCTACTTCGATCCAGTACTTGATCTGGCACTTAACCAGGCTCTGCAGGCAAGAGAGAGTATCGAGCTTATTTTGGCACTCCAGTTGCCATTCGCTAAAGTCCGGCTTGGTGCGCACAAAGGCGAAGATGGCTAAGGGATGGGCAACGATAAAATGAGATTGTGCTTTCTTTATTATAACTTACTTTTTATTAAACAAATCTCGAGGCTGGGCTTCTCCAGACCCTCAGCAGCCAGGGCCTCTTCTTCGAGCTCCTTGGCAAAGAGCAGGCACTCAAATTGGTTCAAGGATTCCCGGATCTTGCACAGGCGACAATGACGTCGCTTCCTGGGCTTTTCTGGTTTATCAGTGGGCTTGTCTTCCTGTGAAATTTTGCGTTATTTTTTAAGGTATGGACTTCCTCCCCTCTTTACTCACCAGTATATCCGCCAAGTGGCAATCGGTGACGCTGCCTATAAAGTTAATTATCTCTTGCGATAGGCCATCGCCTGCTTTTACGGAACCCCAAGCCGACTGCATTACCTGTTTAAGGTACTCGAACTCCAAGAGCAATGACTTCTTCAGTTTGTGCAGTTTTTGGTACCAAACATCCACAAAATAAACCATGCCTGCCATGGTGTCGACATCCCTAATCTTGTCCGAGGCTATGTTCTGGCGGAAGAACTCTTCCAGCACCTTGTTCCACATGGCATTGTGCAATGAGGGTTGGTGGTGCACCACCGTGGCCAGTAGTTCGACGCAGTTGCCCTGAAACTCATCTTCGAGTTGGTGGAGCTCCAAAAGCTTCGCTTTGTAGGCAGTGAGTGCCGCCTCGAGGACGGCTGTATTGTCCTCCAGATACTTCCACTCCAGGCGCTTCATTTGCGCCAGATAGTTGAGCTTCTCCGGCTCAGACAGCTGGTTGGGAGGGGCGGCAAGCTCACTGGCCTGGATGAGATTGAAAATGGCATGGATTTGGAGTACGCTGTCCACTCTGCAAAGAAAGGAATGAGCAGGCGAAAGAGGGAATATTCTGATACCTACGATATATTCTCCTCGTTGTAGTCCTCTGCCAGCTTTAACAGGAGCTTGTAGTACCTGATGGCCTGGGCAAAGTCCTCGCGTATAAAGTGAATTGAAGCCAGGCCGTTGTAGGAGGAGGCCCAGCTGCGCAGCTCCGTCTTGCATTCGGTTTCGTTGTTGGACTTTAACCTCGCCAGCAGCTCCTGGGGATTCAGGTAGCAATTGCTGGCCACATTGCTATTGAGTACCACGGGCACGGAACAGGTCTGGCGGATGCGCAGAAAGGGCTTGAGGATAAGACGCAGCAACTGAGGCGATATGGTCGCCAAGCAGGAGCTATTGTCTGCGTTATGACGCGTATGCTTTGCCACGGCGGTCAGGAACTGTTCGTGGCACTTCAGGTGCTCCTCCCTATAGTACAAGGACTCCACGTTGCTCAGTTCCAGTCGATGCACAACTTGAGTCTGCGGGGGAATACCCAGTTCGTGCTCTACTTTGGACTTGCAGGTGCGCCACAGGCTGTGCTCTAGCACCTCCAACAGGGGATCAACCTTAAAGTTCAGCTGAAAGGCCTTGTCTATGGTCTGCCAGGCCTCCGGCGGTCGACAGACTTCCGTTCGACCCACAAACTCCAGCAGGGGCTTTAGATCATCGATGGTGCCGGTCACCGCCCAGCGGTTGATAGCTGGCAGCATCCTAACCATCTCCGCAGCCTGCGAGGTGTTGCTCTCCACCATCTGTGAAGGCGAAGGATGACGCTATCAAGATTAATCAATTATCAGAGTAAGCTTACCTGCGCTTCATCTAGGCAAACGCGCCACCAGTTGACCATCAGGAGCGGGCAGCTGGGCCGCATGTACAGCTGCTGGTGCCGCATCTGGCGGTCGGACTTGTTGTCCGCCGTGTGATGGATCTCGTTGCGGAGTATACCATAATCGGTGAGCACAACATCGTACTGGGCCAGTTCCAGGGGATTCACCCAGCTGCCTGCATGCAATCCCCGATATAACAGCACCTTTAGGCCCGGCGAGATGTGCTTCTTCATTTCGTGAAACCACTGCATCTTGATGGCGCAAGGTGAGACTATAAAGGTGGCTCCAGTTTCCACCAGGCCTTCGCTGGACTTTGCCAGCTCAGACCAACAGTCGGGACACAGATGAGTGCGGTCGGTGGCATCTTGGTTGCCCATGCACTTTATGTGCTGCCAGCGGCGACATCTGCTGCATTGTATCCGTGCACCGCCCTTCCTGATGCAGATGCAGAAATCCTCCTTGCTCTCTTTCCGCTTCCGTTTCAGCGGCAGCTCATCGCCTATGTCGTCCAGGAGCTTGAGCCAGTACTCGTTTCTGTAGGCGTCCGTGGGTCGGGGATTTAGTAGCAACATGGCCAGAAATTCCACTGTCTTGCCCAGACCCATTTCGTCAGCCAGAATGCCGCCAGGTGGAAGGAAAACCTTTGGCAGCTCCTCCTCGTACGGGTAAAAATGCATGCAGTAGTTGTGCTTGAAGACCCGACTCCGCCCATCGACAGCGTGCAGAATCGTGTACTTGGCTGACAGCTCCGTAAGCCGCTGCTCCCGACCCAGCATCCAGAGGACCGTTCGCTCCTGGTACTTTCGTAAGCGCGATTGAAATCGTTCTGGCAGATCCAATGCCGCCGCCCGGTCTGGATCCACTGCTTGCGCATGCCTTTCGTAGAGAGCATCGAAAAGCTTGGTGCTAACATAGGTCTTGAGGGGTTGCTTGTGTTCATGCTCTTGTCGTGCCACCTCGAACTCCAGGCTGGTCTTGTAATCCTTGAACACCAGCGGTAGTAGAATGTCAGCCAACTGCAGCTCGACGAGACGGATTCGGAAGTGCGTCTGCTCGTGGCGAAGCACCAAAATCCACTGCCCGGTGTCTTGCTGGATGGCCTTGAAGCTTAGCTTCCTGGTGCGCGCTTCCTGACCTACAATGCATCATTTAACTATTGTTTCTTAAATTTCTTTCGATTCTTCTCACATCTTTGCACGGCCATCACAATAACGTCGGCGTGCTCGTCCAGAAAGTCCTTGATCTGCCATCGCCGCTTGAGGTAATTAAACTGTGAAGGATGCTCTTTACCCTCCAAATCAGGGATTTCATCGGCAATTTCACATAAAACAATGCCATTATCCATTAAAAATTGTATATTTAAATATCTTAAACCATTTATATGCAAATACCAATGAAAACAAAAGACTTGCGTGGAGTTTCCAAGTATTTGACCAACGGTCACACTACAAATTTGCTAGTTTGTCCTATCGGTAAGTACTTATCGTTATCGATTGCTAGCCGAGGTAGTCGAAGATTTTCCACCTCTACGAAGCAGTGAAGAAAATTATAGCGTGGTTTTTTCGGTAGAAAAACAATTAAAAGTGCAACAAATAGTGAAAAAACAAAGTCCAACCAACTCGTAAGTGCGTCCGCCACGCCCACGCATCCGATTCAAGGGTAACCAGGGGGCGCTAACTTGTTTTTCGGGCCGCATTTGTAGTGTATATGTGGGACCTGCTTGGCATAATTACAAAAATTTACGCATTACTTTGTTGCTTGTGTCGACAGTGATTTAATTGAGTGACTCCGCTTCTGGTTCTCCTCCACTCCCGTTCCGCAGAGCCGTGCATGCCCAGTCACCGACCCAGCGCCCGAGCCCAAGCGATCCGCGAGCCCAGCGAAGAGATATCTCGATTTCCCCCAGCCTGAAAGTGTCACCGCCAAGACGTACGTGCGAAAAATGTTTTGGGACAAGGGTTATGCGCCCTCCGCGAATATAGAGGCGCTGCTGGAGAAAGAGGTTGGTGTTGACCACTGTCTCCTGACGAAAGCACTCACCCCCTTACTTATTGCTCTTAGAATTCCACGCTGGAGGAATTCCTGGACGAGGAGGACATACTGCAGGAGTGTAAAACGCAAAAGAAGAATCTGGTCAACTACTTTACACGTCCCGAAGTCATCCGGCGCCTGGTGGAGCTGATCACAACCGAGCCCTCTGAAGATGTGCCCATGGCACAGCGTTTCCGCTATGCCAACATGTCCTGTGAGATACTTACACTGTAAGTATTAGCCGAAGAACTGGTGCCCTGCATCCTGCATCTTGTGTTCCCTGTGCTTGTAGCGGCCTGCCGTCCCTGGATGAGAAGCTGCTGAACGATGCGGAGACGCTCCAGCTGCTGTATTCATATCTGGAAAAGGAACCACCGTTAAATCCATTGCTATCATCGTTTTTTAGCAAAACGTTTAGCATGCTCTTTACCAAAAAGCCTGATCAAGATTGGTTTTTGTATCAACACATGTGCCTACAACTCCTGGAGTATATTAAATCGCAGAAGACCTTTTTGGATTTCATTTGCAAACACTTTGACACACCGGTTATACCTGATCTGATAATGCAGATGATGAAGGACATTGAGGGTGGTCAGCTCAAGCGGAATCTATTCGAAGTGAGTTTCAGCTTGGGATATTCTCTCTTATACCATATGCTAAAGGAGTATATTTCCTTTCCAGTGGCTAACTGAAGATAAAATTGTTGAGAGACTGATTGCAATATTGCGTAATCCTCAAGAAACCGACAAACATGCGAATGTTGCCGACTTTTTCTGTGATCTTATTAACCAAGGGCGCCTCATGCGCCAGACCGAGCAGGAGAACGATTCGTTTGAGCCAGCCTTCGATGGCTCCAATCCCATACTAAAGACGATCGAGTCCGCGGACACAATCGAAGCCTTGTTAAATGTGATTTTGGAACCAAACGCTCAAGAGAGCGCCATCTTATCAGGAATATCGGTTGTACTTACCCTCATCAAGCCAATTACCTTCAAGTGAGTTCTGGGCTTCAGCTAGATGTTAAAGGTGGAAGCTTTCTTAAACCCTATTTCCTCTTTGTTTGCAGAGATGAGCCCAACTTGGATCGGCAGATTCTCTTGGAGACGCGCGAGCTTGAATTTCATCAGGCAGTGCAGGAAACTGTGATCACTGTTATGGCTCCTCGGCTCGAGGAATTTGTTCATGTGCTCAAGAACCCGCCTGCGGTTAGTGACGGTCTGTTTATCATGAAAAACGCCTATATTTTATGGCTTGCTTTGCAGAAACCCACGTTGGAGACCACAGCTGCTGTTCTGACGCCCCCCTTTGGCAAGACCCGCCTCCAAGTGTGTCGCGTGTTCACTGCCCTGCTGGAGACCAAGCACGAAACCATTCAGAAATCGTAAGTCCCTAATCCAGAAAGAGATCACATTAACTAAGAGATATTTTACAGAATTTGCTCGACCGAGTACTTTAGTCTGCTGCTGGAGTATTTCAAGCAGTACTGCTGGAACAACTTTCTGCACACTGAGCTGGAAAAGGCCCTACATTTGGTGTTCAACAACGAGCCAACAACGGCCAACAACATGACGGAGCCTAACATCTTTCCCATGAGTTGCGCATGGATTTTTAATGCCGTTCTCGATGGCACGGAATTCACGCTCGAAGAGCTGAAAGATGCAGTGAACAAAAGCATTGATGGCGGCAAAGAGGAAGTGCAACAGCAGGAGGCTAACATTGAAATCGAGGTGGCAGCGGCTCAGGATGCTGCGGCGGCTAATGAGGAGAAACAAGAGTCAACAAGTCCAGTTGAAGTCGCTACTGAAGCTAAAGCCTCTCCTGCAGAAGAAGTGGAAGCTGCTCTTAAAACGCAGGAGAATCATGTGGAAAATAATGAGGTAGAGGTAGATAGAAGTGGACAAAATGCGGAGCCTGCGCTCAATGATCTCGAAAAAACTATGACTCTGCCCAGTGCACCCTCCGAAATGCAAGCCCATGTAAGTTACTATAGGATTTCATTCAGATTATATTTATTAATTGTTTTCTCTTCCTTTCAGTTGATTGTCAACTGTCAGTTGGTTTCCAAGCTGGTCGACTATTGGCAGCACAATGCGCAGGCGCAGTAAGTCACCAAGATTACTCCTATATCTAACAGCTTAACTCATGGTTTTTCCTACAGATCTGCTGAAAAGGGTCGCCGTCTGGGCTACATGGGACACCTCATCAAGATTCTGCGCTACGTTACGAATTGTATATCTGCATCTGAACATATTGCCGCCCTCATAAAAACTAGTTTGAGCGACGAGGGCGAGCAAAAGATTTGGCAGTCGCTTATCGATACCGAAGCCGGCGAGTTCACTCTGGCGGTCAAGCAGCAAACCAAGCTGTTGGCCGACTGCAATCCGCATGATGAGAACGAGGATTATGTAGGCGAGATGAATGCCTGGAACGTTACAAATCTATCGTACAGCAACATGGGCTACAGCGATCTGGACAATACGTTGCAGGATATCGTTTTTACCATGGACAACGATCAGAATCTATTTCAGTTTGGACGCAACATCGACGACGAGGACGATGATGACGATGAACATGGCGGTGAACACCCGGGCTCAGGCGATGGCCATGGTCACGGGATGTTCACCAAGAACTCCATTACGCTGAACAACCTGGCAGATCCGTGGGACATGGACGTCCAGTTCTCCGACATTCCCGGCGTGTCTGCACAGATTGACACGGGCACCGCCAATTGGGGCACGGACTTTAATGCGGACAATTTTGCCGACTTTGATGCGCACTTTAGCACGTTTGGCAGCGATCTGGGGAAGCCTTCCACTGCGCTGCCTGATGATGAAGATGATGAGCAGGGAGAGCGGTCGCCCCCTTTCCAACAGGTGCACCCGCCGAAGAGCAACAGTCTCCGGAGCGGACTACTCCCAGCATTAATGATCAGCAGGCTGAGTACGACAATAATGCTAACGTGGAGAAGGCCATCAGCGACAAGTTATTGGCCGAGTCTAGCACTGTGGAGACCGCATCAATTGTCACAAGGCTGCAGTCGGTGCTGCTGGACGGAGAAGAGGACTACGAAGACGATGAGGGCATGTGGACCAAGCCCTTGGGCGGCGCCGATCGTCAAACGGAGGCCACGGAACAGCCAACGCCCATTTCAAATGGACCAACCAGCAAAGTGAATGAATTGTAAGTGTGGGGAGTGGATAACTATCGTATTCAGCATATATAAAATTGAGCCAAGTTCGATATTTAATTATTTGTAGGTATCATTATGTTTAATTTAATAATATCTTTGCTTCTCTTTTCCTATTTCAACGTTGCAGCAACCATGCCAACGACAACAGCAGCAGCAATGTGGACGGACAGCAGCATGTCCACGAGCAGGCCAACATCACAGCAGAGCAACAGAAACTGGCCGCCAGCGCCAAGACGAACAATGTAGAAATAGCCACAACAACCACATAAATGCATCTCACCAAATGCATGTCTCACCCCGCACGCACCAACGCAATTTGTAAAAAAAAAATGCCTTTGATTTGCTCTTTGGTCATTATTCTACAACATAATCATGCATACATATTTATATGGATATAGATACCACATACTACTATATACTACCTATACGTACATATTTAGCAGGCTGCAAAGTACAACAAACAATTTGTATTGTATTAGCAAAAAGCCGAAGCCCGCCCAAAAAAACCAAAAGCGAAAAACACAAAAAAAAAATGTTAAGAAAACAAAAAATAATGTTCAAAGTATGTTGTTGATTCCTTCTGCTCCTCGCTCATATTGCCAATTATTTAAATATTACTCCTCCTTCGTGTTTCCTAATTAAGCCAACTTTGTATTTTGTTTGTAACTATCTTAGTCTGTCGTCTTAGAGCGCCACCACTTTCAATACTCTCCATGTGTTGGGCAACGAATGAGCATTACTTAAAGTACCAAAATTCACGCAACGTCTTAGAATGCTTAGTTTATAGTTATATTATATTATATGAGGATTATCTACCTATAAATATAATATTTTAAAATGGGGCTGTCCATACATCACAATCGTCGATATATATTTGTCCTTTTGACCTCATTTTTGTTTCAAGAGGGAGTCTGAGTCCCTCCTTAGCATGAGAATAAGAGATATATAGACAGCCCCTCATTATAACCTTGTATTTTTTAAATCGGAGACTTGTATTTATTGTATTTTGAGAATGTGAAAGCAAGGGCAATACCAAAATACCAAACTAACAACCACACACACACACACACCAAAGACCATATAATTACAAGATGGCTAACGCTCTTGCAACAAATTTTTGATAGTGTGAACACAGATCAAGCAAGTTTGTCGAAAAAGTCCAAGCAAAAAGAAATATGTAGCTTTATTCATCTTGTAAATATACGGTCTTTGCACACATGCTGCAAGCACAAAAGTACGCTATACGCCTTATGTATTAGAGAGAGGTTAGCAGATCTTTGCCATTATATATGACTTTGTTCGTATACAAATCGGTTTAACCAAAAAATATGCTTTGTCGAAAGTACAAAAAACACACTGAAAGAACCTACAAAAATAGCTGAAATGCATAATTAAAAAACGGAGGCAAAGTAGGGACTTGTATGACATACCACACCCCCGATCTACACACGCCACAACAGCACTACCTATATATGACTACTATATACGATTTCTATATATTTGAAACAAGAACCAAACGAAACGAAACGAAACGAGAAATTCAAATGAAGACTTTCCAAGAAGACATTTTAAATTTACATTTATTATATTATTTTTTGTGAACGCTTTTATTTGCTTGACGACGCAGAAAGAAATATGAGAAAGGAAAAAGAAACAAATATGCCATCTTTTGCTTCCAAATAATTACAATTTAATTATGTTTACAAATAAAACAGAAACTACTTTAAAAGTAAAATCGATGTTTGTTTTACACGAGACTTGCTCACCAAATAAAAAAAAATAAATAAAAAATTATATATAAAAAAATAATAAAAAAAGAAATTTACAAAAAAATATAGACATGTAGCTAATAGTTTAAGATGGTCAGCATATCAGGCATAGATGTGTGGAACCTTTATAACACTAAAACTCTTCTACCCCACACATCCTAAGCTAAAATCCTCGTTTGCTGGTTTAAATAATAAACTTTGTTTAGGAAACAGTAAACAAGGCTTAGTTAAAGAACACTATTTTGCACAAATTTCAACTGGCTTGCCTTTTATTTTACATAAACAAGAAAGAAACAAGAAAATTGATTAAAAACATAACAGAACATAGAACAAAATAAAAATGAAAATGAAAGCATATTGAAACGTTTAAACTATCTCTGATGAAAAACTGTGATAATTAATTGAAGTTGCAGGGTATTTGATAAAGCAAACTTAATTTAAACAAAAATTGTAAAACATCAACTAATAGAAGTAAATGCGAAACACAGCCAACACACACGTGACACTCACTGGCAGATCAAGTTTATATACGATTCTTCAGCATCACAATCAGGCAACAGGACACGTCTTTAACAAACCAAGAACAGCAATAATGAGAACTGCAATGAAATCTAATTAAACGAGTTTAATGTGTAGTCTGTAGCAGCTCCTCCCCCAGTTCCCTGGCTTCTCTCACAAAACTTAGTACTAAACTACACTTAACTAGAGTTTAACTTAAATACTCATATCAAGCAGCGCCAATTGTAAACCTTGTACATAAGAGAGCGTCAACAATTGTCCCCAGTATTGTCTTCCCCCTAGTTTGGTATCCAGAAAATCCAACGATAAGCGACGATGATCGAGTCCTTCCCTTGTGCATATGCCTTACTAAGAAGATCGAAAAATAAAATCACTTAGAGAGCGTAGTTTAGCCTGTATTCCCATAGATATATAGTTTCACCTACATACTGTGTGTCTTTTAAATGTTAAGCAGCTGCAGCAAGCTTAATGTCTATACGAATACGAGTAAAACCAGAAGCGGAATCGTAATTATAATATCTACGGAAAAAATTAAACTAATGTAGATAAAGTTTTGTGGGGAGCTTTAAGCATTTTGTTTGTCTAATTATAATAATTATATGAACTTGAATAAGAATACCAAACGTCCAAAGTTTTTATGCAAAACATGAACTAAGAACTAACAATTGTGAACAAGAAAGTCTTCAGATGAAACAGAATTTTACACACATAAGAGTACTATATTATATAGTACTATATACCGAGGAGCTGCAATCCGTTACTTGTGTGTATATATTCTAGAATATTTTGTGACACAGCATTAGGTGTTAAGTGAGGTTGTAATTGTAATTTTCGTGGCGCAATTATTTGAGACAAAACCAAGACGGGATGAGGAAAATTCTATTTTTTAAGAATGACATCGTATCGTACCAAAGACAATATAAAGAATGAGATGCTTAACGCATAAGCAGACATATAATTTATTGAGAGAGAGCGCAAGAGCCAGGATCCACCTCTAGAGTGCAATAAATTGCATGGCGTTACACATTTTACTCCTTATATTCCCTTTGGTTGTACAATATTTGGTCGTCTGTGTGTGTGTTCAGCAATTCAGTATTTCAATTAAGCCAATTTAATGAATAACCCCAAAGCAATGCTACAATGGTTTCCAACTGCGAACCACAGATAAAGAACTAATTATATAATCAATCGAATGTCTAATGCTCTAACTCTTTAATTAAAGAACCAGCGGGAACAACAACGAGGAAGAAGCAACTGTAATACCACAAACATAAAATTAATTACTTACTTCATACAGTAAATATATGTATAAATATATATTTGACAAAATGCATAAGCAGAAGAAATAAATCAAATTGTTAACGGATAATGGTTAATGGATATTTTGTTAAATGCGAAACTTTGAACGAATTACTAACCAACATTAGCGAATAGTTAATGAGAAACCGAACCCAAGTGTGCTTCATGTATGAATTTATGTTAGATATTTACAACAACAATACGCGTATACATATTCCTAAAATAAACCAAGCCACATACAGAATTTGCATATTACTCTTAACGATTAACAACTATTGGTGTCTACATTATATATACTATACTATATATAACTATACTTACTCTATATATATTACCTTTGTATATGTAAATCGAGTACAGACTTTTGAGAACTGTGAAACGTATCGTCAAATATCCGGAAACCGAAACCGAAACCGAAACAGACATATTTGTCAATGCTACAAGTTGCTAATAATGATTATTACATACGTTAAGTGCTCAAGGTGATAGCTGCACACTGGGGTGGACACTAGTGGTATTTTATTAAATCTCTCATTATCTCTTTTACTGGGAGAAGTCAGTTAAACTCTGTTTGTTGCAAGTTTAAAGTGATTTGAATGCCTAAGAAGGGTTTCAATGGAAACATCCATTTAGGCAGGGCCCACGTGGCGTATTAGTAATGTGGAAATGTGGCGCCGCCTTTAAGTTCTATTTTATTTGTCATCAAAACTTTTTGTTGTAATTTTATTTAAACTTTAATAACAGAACCTTTTAAAAGTTTAGTTTCTGTGAGATTAATCATCTTTTAAATAAGAGAGAGAGAGAGCGTACACTTTATAGTACATTTAATGGGAGTTAGGGTCTATAAATTCAACAGGTCCACCCCACTGCACCCACACACACACACACACACGAACAGAAACACACCCACACACAAAAACTCGCCGCTTCGCTTGCCACACATTGTTTTGGTCGAAACGAGGGAATACTTTAAAGGAAATTACTAAAACCCCAAAGGGACACTCTAGAATCGCGTTTTCTTGAGTAAGTGCCTTAAAAATGACAGAGAATGTATGGGAAAACTGGAGAAAACTTCGAGGATGATTTGTTTAGGGAGCTAAAAAATGGGAAGTGGAAAAATGAAAACAGAAAGTGAGAAAGTATAGACGATGGATGACCTTTGTTCAAAAACTTTACTAAGTGTTAGCCCCCGGCAAACCAAACTAAATGTAGTTCCAGAAATCAAACAAACATAATAGTTAACTCTACGCTCCGATCTATACTACAATAAGTGCATATACATACATATATACGTATTTAGTGTATATCTTTACCTTAACTGTCGCATTTCTACACACAGGCATAGGCATTAATTAAGATTTGTATTTGTGAGTGTTTTAAGGTCCGTCTACGTTTTGCTCAACGCACACACCACTCACACCACACACCACACACCACAAACACCAAACAGAGACAGACACCCGCTTTACCCCAAGTTGAAGACAATTTGTGATTGTTTTGCATGTACCCTAACATTAAGCGAGTATACACGATTATATAAGGATCAAGATTCCGCAGAAAGCGGAAACGGAAGCGGAAGCGAAAGCGAGAGCTAAGGCGAAATTGTAAGCGTAAACTGTACGAGTAATAGCATTAATTGTCTAACAATAAGATTTGTGCATTATACGATAGAAATTCACTTTGAATTCGTATTGAAATTTATCAATAAAGCGATACTATTTGATTCATAAATGTTTGTATTTTTAACAAAGGGAACCCTATTATTTTTCTATTTAAATAAAATTGTATTTAATGTCTTTTACCCAAGCAATGACATTGAAATTCAATATCTAAGATCCTTTCTACCAATCCGTTTTAAACCATATTAAGTTTATAGTTTAATAATTAGTTTATTAGTTTATTAATTAAACTTAAAATGAAATTTAAAAACTTTGCGTTAGTCTGTACAATTTTCTTTTAGATGTTCCCAGTTTTCTTTAGTTTCCTATCACAGCAGTGCCCCAAAAAGAGTGCTACAATCCAGGGATCAGCTCGATTTGGAAGTGGAGGCAGTGGTTGGCCTAGAGCCCGTCATCGTAGTGGTAGTACTGGTGCTGCTTGCTGAGCTAGACTGACTGGATCCACCGTGTCGGGTCTCCATGTGCCGCTGCAGATCCCGTCTCCGTGGAAAGGACTTGTTACAGATATGACACTGGTAGCCGGCATCCGCTTCCCCCTCAATGTCTATATCGCTTCCAGCTCCACTCGCACCTCCGCCGTCTCCGGCTCCCGTCGCACTGCCAGGATGAGTTTGTAAATGGAGGCGCACATGCTTGTTGAGATTACTCGGATCGCCGAAAGGTCGTAGGCAGAACTTGCACTTTAGCGGCTTGAATCCTGTGTGGGTGCGTATGTGGATCTTAAGGCCGTACTTCCTGGAGTACACCTTTCCGCAGTAGATGCAGAGGTGGCCCTGCTTGGAGGCCCCCATGTTGCTGACTATGGCCTCGATCTGGGCAGCCGCGTTCATTGGATGCCCGGCCAGCGGAGTGGCACTGGCCATCGAAATGGAGGGAAGGTAGGATAGCGGTCCCGCTGTACTAGTTGCCGTCGTTATGGGCAATCCTTGGGCCAGGGCTGCGATTGGTCGAAAGGCGGAGAAGCGGGGCGTCATCTGAGGAGGTGGTGGCGGAGGCGAATGCGAGGGCGAAGCCGAAGAGGTGGACGATGCTGCCGGTGTGGGTGACCCCTGGGTGACTGTCTGACTCCTGGCTGCCGCCTTTAAGGCGTAGTGCAGGCGCATCCACAGGATATCCATGGCACTGCGTCCACAGCCAAGGGCAAGGTGGATCTTCAGGGGATGCGGAGTCTCAAAGGTAAGATGGCAAAGGTGGCAGGTGTAACGACTGTTTCCTGGAAGGATCAGAGAGAGAGAGCAAGAGAAATGTAAAGATTCGGTTGATATATTAATCTTAGAAAAAAATTCTATATACCTTGTATATTTAGGGGCGTCAGGAAGGGTATGCCCATGAGGAGCACTAGCTCCTCCCCAAACCAGGCCACGATCTCGTCCTCCCGCGCCACATCCCTCACCAGGCGCACTCGCACCTGTCCGCCCTGCAGCTCGAAGATGGCATTGAAGCTGTACACATCCTCGGATAACTTGATCTGTCGCAGCAGCGAGGCGGAAACGATCAGTTCGCCATTGGCCATCTGACAGTGGCTACGTCCGCCATCCGTGGGCGTGGCCGTGGAGCTCAGCAGGGCGGAAGTGGGCACGGGAATAGAGCAGGTATCCTTGGGCGTATATTGTGCTGTGTAGACTCCAGGCCGGGGATTACTCCTGACCCTCTTGGCGGGACTCGGTGCTGTGCTTGTCGTCGGCGTACTTGGCGTGGCCGCCAAGGAGGAGGAGGCGGTGCTTATGGTTGTGCTCGGCGAGAGGCTGGTGCTGGGTAGCAACTGCTCAATCCGGAAGATCAGGCTGGCCGATGAGCGCTTCTGCTCCAGACTGTCCAGTTGAGCCGTCGTGTGCATCGTGCGCGTTCGAATTCGATTCTGCGTCCCAATTGGAAGCGACCACCCGTTTTTATACCATCCGGTGTCGTCGCATCCTGCTCCCTTATTTCGGATTTGCCACGGCCTTGCACGGCTGGCGGCAAGTGCAAGAATTCCCAGCCCAGAATTCAGTCCACCGGCACCGGCTATAGCCTCGACATAGCTACGCACTTTGCCGGCTCGGGCAGCGGCAGCGGCAGCTTCAACAGCAGAATCATCCCATTCCATCCCCCGGCTCATTGGGCATCCCTTTTTCTGGCGAGGTCCTGCCTGGTGCGTCGTCCTGGTGGTTGCTCGGCAAGTGCAACATCATGTCCTCGCAATCACCAGAGCACTAAGCCAAGCTAAGCGTCCTGTAGCAGCAAGTGTGCGTATTCCGGCGCCGAAAAGTATACCCATCCTCCCCCTGGAACCCAGCAAGTCCTTTATTTTTTGGCTTTTGGGCTGTGCCCAAGGAAAATGTTTTTAATTGAAATTAAACGATCGTTTGTTGTTACCCCTCGCCTCCCCTGTAGCTATTGTTGTTGTAATGCCACCATATACAAATCGCATTCGCTATCGTCAATGTCATTCTCGAGAAACTCCCTCCTTTGCTCTACTGTGAAGTTCCCCTTTTCTATGAGGCTAATGCCATAATATATTGGCGTGTATCGTTTCACTATTTGCGGTTTGGGGTGGGTCGTGATTTCCGGGCTCTACGGGATTAAGGAGCGGAGTTAGGGTAGCTAAGGGCAAAACGAATATACATATAAGAAAATTCCTTAAAAAGATATAATATTTTCTAGTAAATCAAAGTTTAAAATATCCATAACTAGGTCAAAAATGTATTTATTCCAATTCTGACAGCGGTCCGGTGTAAGTTTTTGTTAGGTTAAAAAAGGTGCATACTCAATTTACAATCTTAAAAAATAAAAATTTTTGGGAATTTTTGACAATTTTAACGATGTAACCCCTTATAAAAATTTGGAAAAATCGAAAAAAATGTTTTTCTCCAGAAGATGGCTAGAAAGATTCAGCTGAAAGTGCTGATTAAGAATATATATGATTTATAGAGTCGGAAATGACTCCTTGGCTGCGTTTTGTGCCTCTGACTAAAATTGTAATACCATTATTTGAGTCGATATTCATCAATATTTTTATATGAAAATTATTTATAGGTTCAAAAATGACTTCTATATTATTACGATATTAAATATTAATAAAATATTGTGTATAAAATAATTGATTTATTTTCTTATATACATTTATTTTATATTTAAAACGCTTCTAAATTGAGAAACCCTCATCGTTCCCTGCTGCGCTCCTGGCTGGCTGACAAATATGCTAGGAGGCTAATGTTTTCATTATTGCGACACAATCGCTGTGGCAGCCCCTTCCCTTCCCCTCCCAACGAATCCTGGCCAGCCCTCTCCGCGAGCGATCAACAGGATAAAGCTGGGCAGGGAGCAGGGAAAAAACATGTGTTGCCAGTCACACAGCCGTCGCTCCGTTCCGCTCAAGGGGTTGGAATGGTCAGGAAGGAGGGGGTGTGGATGATGCCTGCTGCGGTACTGGCAACACCATCCCGGGCCAGGAGCAAGGTGTACCAGGCCAGGACCAATTCCGGCTTGGTGTTTGCTAGTCCTCCATAAGTAGGCCGTCGAGGGGATTTCATTTAAAGCATTTTAATTAGGAATTGCAAGTGCAGGGAGTACAAGCAGTATAAATTTAAGCTTAAATTTAATAAAAATAGCAATAATTGATTTAAAAAATGATGAGCAAAATATTTTAAAAATTGTTTAAGTGAAAAGTAACATTTCCTTAAACCTTTTGTGATTAAAAACTCTTTACTTTCGGTAGTTATAGCCACCGCCGCCTCCTTCCTCATCATTGCCACCCGTCTCATTGTCATCGCAGCCATGACAGCCTCCTCCGGCAGCCAGCTTGTCCAGCGCCTCCTGAATCTCAATGGGAATGGGTGGCGGTGTGGGCAGGTGATCGCCCTGCGGCTGGAAACCGTTCTCATCCGCAATGTAGGTCAGCATGATTTCATCTCCCTCGGGACTTGTGTAGGAGAAGGAACCTTCGGCAGTCTGTGCCTCAGAACCCTTGACTCCGGCATTCTTTAGGTAACCCATTTCCTCGGCCTTTATGCCGTTTCCGGTTTCATATTCATACTGGAAATGGGAGTTGAATACATTCTTTTTCTTTTTCAAAAATATCTCTCACCTTATAGGAGCCATCAGTGTTGACCTTGGACTCTAGTTTAATAATGGGAATCACCTCGCCGCCGCCACCATCGCCTCCTCCTCCTCCTCCTGATCCTCCATTTCCATTTCCATTTCCATTACCATTTCCAGGGGGCAGATATCCATTGCTTGGCGGCGGCTTTCCATTGCCATTCTTGGGAGGAGGCCCATAGCTATTATTCGGCTTGGGCGGAGCTGGTGGCGGCTTGCCATTGCCATTTTTGGGAGGAGGCCCATAGCTCTTGGGTGGCGCTGGACGAGGAGGAGGAGCTGGTGGCTTGGCGGGCAGATAAGTGGTCGGAGGAGGACGTGCACTGGGATAACCCGCCGGCTGGGCCCAGCTCCAACCCAAAGAGGCACAAGCCAGAATCACACAAGTGGTGGTCAGCTTCATTTCGAACGCCGAACTGTGGTCGGTGGTCAAGAGCTCCTGGGTTTTATACAGAGAGCATCAGGTGGTTTTGACCGCGAACTCTGGCCCCCCTCAGCGGGTCAGGTAAAGTCACGTGCCAAATGCAGCGAATTTGGAATCCAAAACGGAGACCAAAAACTGGGCCAACGCAAGTGCAGTGGCAAATGCCGAAATCCCCACACATTTAGCCATCGGATTAGTTAGAGAGAGACTGACAAAGCGCTAATAAATCGAGTGTGCAATCTCAGGAGGCTACCCCTTCCTTCCTGCCTTCTTTCCTTCCCCTGGCTAATCGCTAAAAACAACAAAACCCGCCCGGCCACAAGCAAAAACTTTTAATTCAAAAGCAATTTTCAACAGGATCGGGCAACACCTGCATGACCAACCCGAATGAAACCCAAAAACCGAACGGCACCCCGCCCAAAACCCTGGGCTAATGCACTTTGCCTGTTGCCAAGGGGTGCTAAGTCCTGGAATCAGGACGAAGGACGAAGGACGGAGGACTGAGGACAACAACGGCAGGGATGTCGGCTTTAGTCAATCGTCTATTAACTTTTTGCCAGGCCAAGGACAGTGGTTCGAAGTAACTTAAAAAGTGAGTATAAAACTAAGAGAATAATTAAAGGATAAGTAGTATAATTTAATGAGAAAAATTATATAGAAAGATGAATCGGATTTGAAATTGTATTAAGTTTTAAGACTAAATTGAAATGAAAATTATATGGGTTTGTTGTAGGAAAGCATATTGAAAGGATATTATAGATAGATAGATATAGATATATATATATATATAGATAGATATAGATATATATAAAACTGATTTTACCCACTGTGCTCCCCCTGTTGTGGCTGCTGTGTTGTGTGTGTTTATCATTTGGTGGCTCAGCTTGTGCCCGTCATGTGGAGGATGCCGCTAATATATAGAACCTTACCCCTGTGGAATGGCCCAGCTAATGGCGATGTCGTTTGCAGCTTGTCCTACTTGTAACGTGCTGGCGTCCAGCTGACGCGCTCCCAGGATACGGGACTCGGAGTGAACCTGTTCCTCTTGGCAGCGGCCGTCAGCTGTGGGCTGCCACCAGGATATTCCACGGATGCGAAGGACCTTTAGCCACCAAGCAACCACCAGTGGGGTGGACCAGGCAGAGCCGGCTGCTGCACCGGCTGCATAAACCAACAATTGTCGGTCTCTGGGTTTTTGATTCTTGGTCCTTGGTCCTCGGTCCTGGGTGGTGCGTGGATTTTGGTCCTCGTTTAGCCACGCACCGATGGCACATATTCCACGCCCGCATTCGCATTCGCAATCGCATTCGCATTTGCGTTTCATAAAGCGAATTCTGACGGCGCGGAACGATCTGATTGCTATTTGGCATTAATTTCGCCGAGGGTTGGTCTGATTAAGTTCCTCCGATCGGATCGGATCGCTTAAATAAACACATTTTCGGATGAGGTCCGTTGATAAATTGGCCGCTGGCCCTCGATGACAGCCAGAGGTGGGAGATGTGGCGCGGGAATCTGTGCAACTGTTGCTTAAAATTATTTATTAAATATTTAAATAATAATGGAAGTATGCTGACTCATCGGCATGGTTTTTAAATTCGTTTATTCTCATAGATATATTTATAAACATCAAGACTGAGTCACAAATAAACATCCATTAAAAGAATGTTTTCAAAACATTGATTACCTTGTTTGTAAGCCTTTAAGTGAAGCGTTAAATTAAATCACAGAAATATTTAAAATACTCAGCATATCAAGTTGGGCTGATAGAGGTTTTCATTAAGTTTGATATATATAATAATAGACTACACTATATATATTATTTAGTGATTTATAAACATTTATAGAGAGATCATTCAAGCACAAATTATATAAACTTATTATTATTATTATTAAAGATTTATTTATATGATTTTGAAGAGTACGCTGTAGTCGTTATAGTTCCCATTTTACGATCATAATCACCTTTCTTCTTTGCCTGCTTAGAACAAAAGTTGAGCCATAAACAATGACGTAATCTTATTCTGGCTGCGACTCAATGTTAAATAGCTAGCGGCGCAGATATTTGTTTTCATTATATTCCCAACTCTTTGACTTATTTTTGCTGCTTGGCTCATCTCGATTCGCAGAATAATTTCAGTTGAAATCGGCCAACGAAACGGACAAGAACGAAGCTCTAGAGTGTTTAATAATAATTAAATTAAGCAAATTAAAAACAATGAAATTGGTAAATATATTTACAGAGGATTTATTTGCAAAAATCTAGAATTTAAATATATTTTTCCCCTGCCAAGTTGAACCACATTTTGTTGATATTCGCGATGTCGGCTTTGGTTTCGTCGGCGTCTCTGGAGAAAGGCGAGCGGGAAGAGGCGCTCCACTTCGGGTAAGAGTTCACTCAACTTTACATTGTATCAAAATCATTTATAATCATAAATATTCCACCATTTAGTTTCCACACCGAGAACGGACATCAGCGGAACGAGGACATCACCTACACAGTCCGGCCGGAGACGGATGTGGACCCCAAGGAGCTGACAACGCCAAAGCCCGTGGAGTATCGCGGTGGCTACAGTTTCATCTCCGCAGATGGCTACCAGTACCAGGTCCTCTACAAGGCCAATAAAAACGGCTTCCAGCCCTATGTGACGGCCCACAAAATCAAACCGGATAAGAGTTAAGCAAACATTTTCGCTGCCTTCTTTTTGTGATAGATCATTAAAAAATCCGCATAATTTATCAGTGTATTAAGCGTGGCTCGAAAGCTCTTCTTCTCGGTGGCTAACTTGGCTGAAATGAAGCTTTGCAAAGAGCTGGGCTCAGCTCGTTAATCGTTAATCACTTCGAGATACACAGATTGCAACATGAACAGCATAAAAATGAGTTAGTGTTTCTCCTGAAACCGGCTTTGGGTAGCTTGGACTATTTCGATACGTTTGATTTTGAAGAGAAATCAAGGGAAATTTAAAGAAATTGTAATATTTGAATTTGTATTCTTTTTAAAACCATTTCTCATTTAAAATCTCTGAAAAAATAAAGAATATTCTGGCAGGCCATTATACTTTTAGTCAGAAGCTTAAAACTTAGTGAAGGAGTCATTTCCGACCCCATAAATCATATATATTCTTGATCAGCATCAAAAGGCAAATCGATCTAGACATGTTTTGGGAATTTTTTTTTTTTTAATTTTTTCAAAATTGTATAAGGGTAATGTTGCATCATTAAAATTGTCAAAAATTGGACAAAAACTGTATTTTTTAAAATTATAAATTGAGTATGCAGATTTATAAACCTAACAAAAACTAACACAGGACCGTTTTCCGATTTCAAATCAATGCTTTTTTGGCTTAGTTATGAGTTTTTTAAACTTTGATTTGTAAAAAAAAAATTACATAAAAATATTGATAAATAATTAATAAAATAATGGTATTAGAGCTGTAGTCAGAAGCTTAGAACTCCGAAAGTAGGCATTTCCGACCCCATAAATCATATATATTCTTGATCAGCATCATCAGCTGAATCTTTCTAGCCATCTTCGGGAAAACAAAAATATTTGTCTATTTTTTCAAATTTTTATAAGGGGTTACATCATAAAAATGTTCAAAAATTGGCAAAAAAATTTATTTTTTAAATTTTTAAACTGAGTATGCAGATTTTTAACGGAATCAAAACTAACATAGGAAAGCTTTCCGAATTAAAATTATTGTTTTTTTGGCTTAGTTATGCGTTTTTTAAATATCGACTTTTCGAAAAAAACTGCATATAAAATTGATATATTTTTCCAGGTTATTTATATCAAAAGGTAAGTTTAAATTAAAAATGAAATGAAAATAACTCTCAAGTAAGGGTGTAAAATATTCGCTACGAGGTGAAGGCAAGACTTTCTTTCTTTCCGTGTGCTTGGGCGATTAGTTTTCCAATTTAATGGCATTTAAAATGTAATGCACATTTATTTTTTGAGCCGCTTGCTGACGCCCCATTGAAGCCACTCGTGGAACTCTTTCGGCTTTCGTTATGCAAATCCCATTTCCAATTCCAATTCCTCATCCAAATCAAAATCGTGGATTGGGCAACCGCAGCGCGGCGTCTCCACGAAAAGCTTACTCAGCAGTTTGTTTTGGACCAACCACCAACTCATTATGGTCCGGAGCCATGTGTCTTATGCCAGTGGCCTCGAAGCAGACGCTTCATTGTGCTCCCAGCCGCCTTGGCAGCAAGTTGTATTTGTCTCAAATCGCGCCACCGCCATCCGCCACCACCTAATCCGCAATGGGTCTCAATCCGCTGGCAGGCATCGGTCGTGGAAATGGCCAAAAGGAGTCCGGGCTCAATCTCAAGAGCACGCTAGTCCAGGCCATCATCCTGCTCGTCGCCTGTGTCCTCTTTGGAGCCAATCTGAACTATGCCTCCTTTCCTCCCAGCACCGTGATCGACATCAAGCTGGGCGATGTCACCCTGGAGCAGTTCAGCTATGTGCCAACACCCGATGGATACGAGTTCAAGTAGGTGTAGTTTTTAGAGGGGAAATTTAGGGGGGAAATGAGGGAAATTTACTGAATTTAATATAATAAATTACATTGAATAAAAAATTAAATAAATAGTATTTATAAACTATATAAAAGATACTTTCAAACATCAATATATGTGGTTGTTTATTCTTATTACTTTTATATAGTTTATTATGTATTTCAAATATATATTATGCTCTTTAATCTGTAATTATATTATAAATATGTATCTTAACTAATTGTTCATACTTTTTCTTTGTATAATCAAATTATTAATCCCTACGATTTTCCACCTCCAGCTACACTCTTCCCGATGGCACTTTCCGCGATGAGATTGGCAAGGTACTGACCGGGTCCTCGGCTGCCCAGGATCTGGAGAATGCCAACAACTTGGCCAGGAACCATCGGCCGTCGCGTGAACAGGGCCTGAAGGTGCGCAAGCTCTCGGGAAAATCGCTTTCCTCTCTGGCTGGTTAAGGGAATGTTTTCTATTAGCTAACTTTCCATCACGAATTTATTACAACAGTCTGCCAACTGTTTTAGGCTAGTGTTTAAGATGAGCTGTTGACCAAGCTGTAAGCAATAATAAAAAAAACAATCGATACAAACAAAAATCGTCTCTCTGAAAAAACTAGTTTGTTGTGCAAGGGAATTGGTGTTGATAATATGCAAGCGAAATTACATAAATTCATGGTGATTAAGGAAATGATGGGCAAATGTATCTTCAAGTGGGTATGGCATTGTTTTTATGACTATTAATGCGTATGAAAGGAGGCCATAAACCTCTTTGCACTCAAGATAAGATTTAAAAATTCTATGTAAGTTGAGGTAAAATCTTGCTAAAGATTTATTGATCTTTTTTCAGCAATAGCTGCATAGATTACTGTTTTGTTCACATGCAAACCTTAAATAAATAATACAGATTAGCAAATTTCCTTAAGAGTCTTTTAATAAACATGATCGATAGCCGGGCGGAAAGCAGCATAAATATCGAGAGCTTTTTGAAATATTTTATCGATATCTATGAGTTATAATAAACATAGCTAGTATGTTTAAAAAAAAAATCTAAAAAGTGAATGCATATTTCACAATTAAATCAAATCATTTGCTTTTTGCACAGCCGTCATAAAAACAACGACTTATATGTTTTTATTTTTTAATTTATCAATAAATAAATATAAAAATTTTATAAATTTAAGTAAATGATAAAATATTTTTGCAACTATGTAATTTCGATTATTTTTGGTTTTTTTTAATCTGAAGCGATAGAGTGCCACTTCAAATTTAATTTACTTTACCTAATAAATTAACCAAGAAAAGGTCAATAAATTTCCATGTTTCATATAATAAATAAATTATATTTATTTTCAAACTCTTAAAAGTATGTTTACCATTAGCTTTTAAAATTAATATTAATTTTAAAACCACCTAAAAGTATGTGGAAATAAGAGCTTCACAAAATCAAAATCAAGTTTGTTGCCTAAGTCATTCGTTTTGCTGCCTGAAAGAGTTGAAAACTATGAACTTTTTTTCTTAGAATTGTCAGTTCATAAATGCAAGAACATGTGATTCCCCTGGGAAAATGGCTTCATTATATAAATTTTAAACACTGTCAGTCCTCAAAACTTAAAGAAATATTTATTATTATTGTGTTTAGTATATTTTAAACGTATCGAAAAGACTCTTCCGCCTAAGAGGAATTCTAAAGTTATTTCATTGGCAATATTCTGGTTATTTAATGACACAAAAAAACCTGCTGTGCTAAACAAAAACACACTTTAATGGCTATTCACGGCAATCAATCGTTTTGTCAGAGTTTTGGGTCCCAAGATGCGTTGCATTCAGGCCAGAAATAATCAAGCAAATATAGCCAATGCCTGCAATAAAATTAAATTATACGCACGATTCTGAATGTCAGGTGTCAGCCGAAGAATTTCTGAATCCGTTTGTGTTTTTTTGCTAAATGCAAATATTACGAAACGACCAGTGGTCATAGTGATAAAAAAGAAATGAAAAAACAACAGCAATGTGACATTTACATACTTAAAGGGGGGCTGGCGGGGGTTGAGGCGCCGAGGGACCGGCTATTAAAACATTGCCATTAACGTTCAAGTGCTAATTTCGCAGACCCAGTTGAAGAGGAGACGAGCTGAACGTGAAAACGGGCAAAAACCCGAAACGGAATCTTCGATTTCAGCTGAAGACTACACTGAGAAAATTGTTTTTTTTTTATCATTTTAGAAATTTATTTGGTATTATACAATTAGTTAGAAGCACATATCGCTATGAAAGAGTCATTTCCGACCCTATAGACCTTATATATTCTTGATCACCAACAAGAGGCGAATCGATTTAGCCAACTTTTGGAAAAAATTATTTCTTTTCAATTTTTCAAAAATTTTTTAAGGGGTTACATCGTTAAAATTGCCAAAAATTGGCAAAAATTATATTTTTTAAGATTGTAAATTGAGCATGTAGATTTATTAAACTAGCAAAAACTAATACAGGACAGCTTCTAAAATTAGAATTAGTGCCTTATTGGCTTAGTTATGTGTAATTAAAGATTTGATTTTTTGACTAAATTTTCATTCAAAAATATTGATAAAAATAGATAAAAAATTGGAATTTTAATTTTAGTCAGAAGCATAAAACGCAGTGAAGGAGTTATTTCCGACCCCATAAGTCATATATATTCTTGATCAGCATTAACAGGCGAATCGAATAAGCCATCTTCTGAAGAAAAATTTTTTTAATCGATTTTTCCAAAATTTTATAAGGGGTTACATCATTAAAAATGTCAAAAATTGGCAAAAAATAGTATTTTTTAAGATTATAAATTGAGTACGTAGATTTACTAACCTAATAAAAACTAACACAAGACAGCTTTCCGATTCAAAATTAATTGATTTTTGGCTTAATTATGAGTTATTTAAGCTTTGATTTGTTGGAAAAATTTTCACTTTAAAATATCGCTTAAAATCGCCTCAAAAAATGTGTCCAACTCTTCAAGGCCAAGATTTTATATATTATATATACCAAATCAATCTTAATTTTGTCAAAACAGTAAATATATATATTTTTCTCGGTGTTTCGAGTCCCCAAAAACCAAACTGAAGCCGGTCTGACCAAGTTCGGTGAGGTGCGTGCGCGCGTTGGCAACGCTCGAAAGTCAGGCCGAAACGGCAGCTGAATGGCCAGATGGACCGATGGACCGATGGACAGATGGAGGGACAGATGGCTGGGCAGAGAGCGAGAGATGGACAGCTGGACAGACGATGGAGCAGCATCTGGCGATGACCTTGAAGACGTAAATGTGAAGACGCATCTACATAAATATCTATTGTATCGAGCGGAGTCTGGTCTGCGGGCATATTGAATTTGTGTATTGAAAGCGACAGTCTGCCTGCGGCTGAAAGAAGCTGAAAAACCTGTCGATTGTGTCTTGATTAGAACAGTTATGTAAATGATTTTATATATATTTTGCAGAGAAATAAACGTATATTTCGATAAGGAAGAACTTCGCTCGTCCGCTCATCCGTCTGTGTGTGAAATGTGTGAATGACAACGCCCCCCCGAAGCCAATGATTAGCACTAACAGCGATCGATCAAAGCCAGATTAATTATGCAAATCCAGCATGATAAATGCAGCAGCCGCTGCAGATGCCCTCCAAAAGCCACGCCACGGAACGAGAGACCCAAATGCGAGTAATAAATATTATGCAGTCACGAAATGAATGGATTCAGATCCATTTTCAAGGGCCCCCTCGTGCTTCTCAAGTTCAACTCGTAGGCGGCCTAACCCAATTAATTAAGTCTTTAATTTATTAGTTCATTTCGGGGGAGGACCCACATTAATTATTAACTTACATGTTTCTCTTCCAAATTTATATATATTATGTGTACTTGGAAGATTTTGTTTATGACATTTTGCAATGCAAAACCCCTACTGCTCTTCCTCTATTTCTGCATTAATTGAATTATTCACCTGCTAATGATGGTCGAGAAAAAGTATATGTATAAGGAATGAAATCAAGTAAAAAATGGTCAAAATGTCAAAGGCGCAGCTGTTAGAAGAATTGAGCTCTCGAAAGGCATTTGAGGAAATGCCAAAATAGCCATGTACAACACCCATTCGATAGGATCCGAGATGAAGATGTTGATGGCACAGTTCGCGGGCAACTCGTGGGTCATCGATAGGCTGGAGGAGGAGGATGGTACTCAACACAGAACAACCGTGGTCAATCAGAGGCCGAAAACCCGAATGACCGGATCGGAGCTTCTTCATCTTTTTCAGCCGGCCTGTAGCGGTCAACGAAGGTGGCATAAATTGGCAAACAGAAACAGAAACAGAAACCGAGAGTCAGAGTCGCAGACAGACTCTGAAAAAAATAAAAATAACAACAAAAGTCGAATCCGAGATTTAAATTGCATGCGAGAGTAGTAGTTGTAGGTTATTCGATGTATTTTTTATTTTTATTTCCAGCTGCTTTTGGCGCTTGTTACCGGGCAGGCACATCAATCTGTAAAGGCCGTTGCATATGCCAAAAGTCAACTTGCGGTTCCACTATGTATGCACTTTGGCCATCACACATGGCTCTCCTCATCTTGCTACCAACTTCGCCTCCCTCCCCGTCTCCGTCTCCATGTTCATGTCTTGAACTTGCTGCCCTGCAAATTGCCGTTGACAGCACTTGAACTTAGTTCCGTCGATTCCTAACTGGGATTTAAAGTTTATGAATTGGTTGCTGGAAGGCAGATCTGGTTCTGGTTTGGTTCTGGCTTCCCAGGGTTCTCGCCGAGATATTCCCCCGGTGGCTGGCCAATTCGGTGTGCAACCTTTTCCCCAATACATCATCTTGAATCATCTTGAACTTTTTGGAGTCCGTCACTGGAAGAAAATATGGAGAATTGTGCAGTTTCGACCTACTTCTGATTATTATATATTGAATTAATGGGAGCTAGATCTTTTAAATCAAATTTTATATAAATATATATAAATACTTATAAATATACAAATAAATAATATGTATTCAAAATGGAGACCAAAGTTTAAAAATTTCATAACTAAGTCAAAACAGCATTATTTTTTATTCGAAAAGCTTTCCCATGTTAGTTTTTATTAGGTTAATAAATCTGCATACTCAATTTAAAATTAAAAAAGTTAAATTTTTGCTAATTTTTGAACATTTTAACGATGTAACCCCTTATAAAAATTTGTAAAATTCTAAAAAAATTTCTTTCTCCAGAGGATGGCTAGAAAGATTAAGCTGATGATGCTGATCAAGAATATAAATGATTTATAGGGTCGGAAATGCCTCCTTGCAGAGTTATAAGCTTCTAATTCAAATTACAATATCAATTTTTGAGTCGATATTTATCAATATTTTTTTATGAAAATTTGGTTTAAAAATCAAATCTTAAAAAACACATAACTAAGCCAAAAAGGCATACATTTTAATTTAGAAAACGGTCCTGTGTTAGTTTTTGTTAGGTCATTAAATCTGCATACTCGATTTACAATATAAAGAAATACAATTTTTTGCAAATTTTTGACAATTTTAATGATGTAACCCCTTACAAAATTTTGAAAAAATTTAAGAAAATGTTTTTCTCCCGAAGATGGCTAGAAAGATTCAGCTGAAAGTGCTGGTTAAGAATATATATGATTTATAGGGTCGGAAATAACTCCTTCACTATGTTATTATACCCAGCAAGGGTTAAATAAACTGAAAATATAACAGAAAATGTATTTTCATGAATTTATTCAGTCTTTACACTCATTAATTTTCTTTACATTTCCAGTTTTAAAATCTCTCTTTAAATATCTTTAGACAGCTTCCTGGCAAGAACAATTAATGCCTATTTGAAATGTAAGTGAGAAGGGCAATTAAAATGATAGTTAAATTACACGGAGAACACTTACCTGAAAAGCGTGTTGTTTTCGAAACTTTCCTATATCGAATCAGGCTTTTTTCGAGTGTGGGTGCAGAGCGATAATAGTAATACCTTCGGATGAGTATGCCGCGGCACAAAGCCGCTTTAAATGTTACTTGTCGCAGCGACTTTGGCGACTCCGGTGCATCGCTGGCAATTGAAAAAGTGCAATGAAAAAACAAAAAACAAAATGAAAATACTTGTAGAGAAAAACATTTAGCCGGCACTGGCACTGGCTTCTTCGACAATTGTGCAAATTTATGACGTTTGCAAATGCGGCTGCGCGGTGCAGTATAAAATGCAGTGGCCAGCGATGCAGAGCCACCATTAGACAGCCGCCAGTTAGTGTGCCAGCAATCCCCGAGAACTCGAACCGAACACCAACATGATGAAATTGGTAGGACCGCAGTACTGTGGATTTATCGATGCCCTCGCAGGACATTCAGATCAGGATAACATCTAACCTCGCCTCCTTCCAGATGCTAGTCGTTGGCTCGATGGCCCTGCTTCTGGCCCTGGCCAGTGCCCGGCCCCAGGGCGACGTGGAGGTGGTGGAGTACGAGTCGGAGAACATCGGCCTCGGCGGCTACAAGTTCAGCTACAAGCTCAGCGACGGCACCAGCCGCACGGAGGAGGGTGTGGTCAACAATGCGGGCACCGAGAACGAATCCATCTCCATCCGCGGCTCCGTCAGTTGGATTGCTCCCGACGGTCAGACGTACACCATCAACTTTGTGGCCGACGAGAATGGCTTCCAGCCGGAGGGCGCCCATCTGCCCAAGTAGAAGTAAAAACACCCATCCCCGGCCATAGAGTGAGGTGCTGAGGTCCTGGCCCCTGCCAGCTGTCTCTCGTCCCGTGGCAGCCGGGCAAGTCGGTCAGTTGGCCTTTAAGGTTAGTTAGTGATCAGTCAGTCAGTCAGTCAGTCAGTCAAGTCAGTGTCGTGCATTGTTTCTCTATTCCTTGTTACTCGCATTAAAGCCGATCTTTTGATTCTCGAAATAAAGTCGTTTTTCTTGTGGAACCAGAAAGGATATTCTATTTTCAGGGAGCAGAATAGTGGGATTCTTAATAGCAGGTAAGCTATTTAGTATATCTTTTAGGTGTACTAATTTTTATAATATTCTTTATTTAATATTCCAATACCAGATCTAATTACAGTGATTTCTTTTAATGTTCATGTTCATTAGCTATTACACTCCCACTCTAGTTTATTTACAAGGATCTAAGGACTAACACCCAGCTTAGGGGCCCTGGGGAATGTGCGCTCCCTGGGGCTGGAATCCATTCTCGTCGGCCACATAGGTGATGGAGTAGGTCTGTCCGTCGTCGCCCACATAGCTAAAGGAGCCGGCCACCTGGAGGGCATCCTCCTCGGGACCCAGGTTCTTCAGGCTGCCGTGCTGCTCCTGCTTGGTGCCATCGCTGGTCTCGAAGTTGTAGTTGTAGCTATCCGCATTGACCTCGGAGGCCAGGTTCACGATCTCGGCTTCCGGGGCGGGAGCGGCCAGGCAGAGGGCCATCGAAAGGCAGGCGAAAACGAGGATGCACTTCATCTTGATAGTTTTGGGTGGCTTTAGAGAGGTTTCAAAGTTTGGCTTATGACTCTTACTGCCGTATCGGAGGCCAGCGGAATGGCTTTTATAGGTCTAAAAAAGGGGACTAATGCAATTAGCACATTAAGCCATTTCGCCTGGTGTTAATTATAAATATAGTCGAGATTACCAAACAGGCAATCGAATCAGTCGAGTTCCAGAACCATTTAAGTTAAAATCAGTCAACTCTCATTCAAGATAAACTAAGCTGAAACTCTTTTCTTCTAACCCTACGACTTTTTTGGCTTTCGGTTTCTATAGACATCGAGATAATTTCTATGCATATATTTAATCAGTCAAAATTATGAACCACTTTATGTTGAAGACAGTCTGCGCTTAGCCATTAAAATCAAACTAGTTTGTAGGCCTATGTTCAATCTAAAAAAGCTCGGACTATAAATAGGCGGGCTATAGGCCTAGATACTTTAGTAATCTTTGAGTCTTCAACGATCAACGCCTAAACCTTCAACATGAAATTCGCCGTCGTCCTCGCCTTCGCTGCCCTCTTCGCCGTGACCCTGGCTGCTCCTGCTGATCAGGACGTTACCGTCCTCCGTTCGGACTCTGATGTCGGACCCGAGAGCTTCAAATACGAGTAAGTAATCTGAAAACCGGTCTTGAAAGGATGCACCACTGACTCCCGACCTCCTTTTTAGCTGGGAGACTAGCGATGGCTCTTCTGCTCAGGCTCAGGGACAGCTGAACAACGCTGGATCCGAGAATGAGGCCATCTCCGTCCGGGGCTCCTACCGCTACGTTGCCCCTGATGGTGTCACCTATGAGGTCACCTACGTCGCCGATGAGAACGGTTTCCAGCCCCAGGGTGCTCATCTGCCCGTTGCCCCCGAGGCCTAAGTTTTAGAAGTTAATAAAATTGTTTATAAAAAAAATTCTAATCTTTTCATTGGAAAATGGAGGAAGGGGTGATAGAGCAAAGGAATTACTCTTCTGAATCTATTTATAAAATAAAGTTGGAAGCCCAGTTTGCAATTGAAGCTTAAAATATTCGCATTCTTTGAATCTATATTTATCTATATTTTAATATGATAATTTTTAGACAAATCAAAGTTTAAAAGGCGCACAACTTTGCCAAAATAGCATTAAAGCTTTTCTATGTTAGTTTTTTGTAGACAAATAAATATGCATACTAAATATAACGTTTTAAAAGATTCAAGATTTTTCCAATTTTTGACAACTTTATAAAATTTTGAACAAATTGAGCAATTTTGTTTTCCCTCAAAAATGGTTAGACAGATTCTGCTTTCTATGCTGATCAAGAATATATATGATTTATAGGGTCGGAAATAACTCCTTCACTGCGTTTTATGCTTCTGACTAAAATTGTAATACCGTTTTTTAATCGATTTGTATCAATAGTTTTATATAAAAATTTTGTCTAAAAATCAAAGTTTTAAAAACTCATAACTAAGTCAAAAAGGCATTAATTTTAATTCGGAAAGCTGTCTTGTGCTAGTTTTTGTTAGGTTAAGTTATTAATAACCTTATGAAATTGAACTTAAACTATTTTTAAATTGATTAGGACAATTGTTATTCTAACAAAAAAACCCTCCAATGGCATAAAAATAATTTCGATATGTGTAGATTCAATTTAAGCTCACGATACCAAATCAAGACCAATTTTAAGACACTCATATGATTAATTCAACTTGCTGATGCAAATTTACGTTCAAGTTATTTGTGATATTCTTTTAGTTAAAGTGTTTTGGTAATTTCTAGATTTTTAGGTTATTGGGAAAGTTACTGAATGTTAAATTAGATAAATCATTGTCCCCCATATGCAATTCAAAAGATAGGTAACTTAATTTTTTATAAACAATTTATTTAAATCCTAAAACTTAGGCCGCGGGGGCAACGGGCAGATGGGCACCCTGGGGCTGGAATCCGTTCTCGTCGGCGATGTACTTGACCTCGTAGGTGACGCCATCATCGGCAACGAAGCGGTAGGAGCCCTGGACGGAGATGGCCTCATTCTCGGATCCAATGTTCTTCAGCTGTCCCTGAGCATTGGCAGCCTGGCCATCGCTAGTCTCCCAGCTGGTAAGGAAGTCGGGAGTCAGTGGTGCATCCTTTCAAGACCAGTTCTCAGTTTACTTACTCGTATTTGAAGCTCTCGGGTCCGACATCAGAGTCCGAACGGAGGACGGTAACGTCCTGATCAGCAGGAGCGGCCAGGGTCACGGCGAAGAGGGCAGCGAAGGCGAGGACGACGGCGAATTTCATGGTGAGGGCTTAGATGTTGATCGTTGAAGACTCAAAGATTACTATATTGATAGGTTCGGCCAGACGCCCATTTATAGTCAGAGGGATTTTGTGCTGGGCTCAGCATAGTCGGAGACACACGGCAGTCGAAACTTGTTTAAGGCGAGGCAAATTTTTGAAACTATCAAAGAAAAAAGAAGAAACCGTACTGAATGTGATTAACAAATATGGTTTTGTTTGTGGACCAAACATTAACTGGTTGTAGCAATAAAAATGGTATACAATATATAGGATTTATGTTCTCGATTGTATGGAAAGATTAACAAATGCATAAGGCACTGCTGTATATGTTTATACATATATAAATAGTTTAGTTTATAGTTTAAATAAAAAAAATTTCTAAAAATATGTCAATTTTTCTGCTATTTTGGGAGTCTAAAGTAAACTCAAGGGGTGGGTTCGAAAATGTTAGGGAAATGAAAATTGTCCTTTGGACATAGTTTCTACGAAAGAGGTAAGTACTTTTAAGATTGAAATAATCCTTGTCGATTTGTAATGATGCTTTGGGTTCTCTGGGGTTCTAGATTTATCTCTCTAGAAATATCACAAATAAAATGCAAAGTAATTTGTTCGGTTTAAGCAACTTGAATTTTATTTATCGGTGATGGGGAGAGACAACTTAGGCAACAGGCAGATGGGCGCCCTGGGGCTGGAATCCGTTCTCATCGGCCACATAGGTGACGGTGAACTTCTCGCCGGTCTTCTCATCGACCCAGGAGTAAGAGCCGTGGACAACGGCGGCCTCGTGCTCGGTGCCGACATCCTTGAGGACACCATCCTGGTTGATGCTGGTTCCGTCGCTGGTCTCCAGGTTGGAGCTCCACTTATCGGGCTGGACATCGGAGTCCAGGCGCACGATCTGGGCGTCGTTGGGGCGGGCCACGGCCATGGCGAAGAGGGCGACGAAGACGATGAGGAACTTCATGGTGGTGCTGGAGTTGGTGGATAGAGAGCTGCGAACTGTCTGATGCTCCACTGCAGCTGGGCGGGGGCTTTTATACTCGCTTTTCGCAATGCAAAAGTCAGAGCCGAGGTAGCATTGAGCGAATTTGCCAAAATTTGCCAAAATTCGCACAGATTCGCCAACCAAAATTTGTCAAAATTGGCAAAAATTATGCCAATCTATTTGCATTTGTTCCGGTTTAACTGGAAACTAAAGCAGCGACTGCACTACAAAACCCAAAGCCGGCAGCCGAGTCGGATCCAAGCCATTGTCGCCGAACCAGCTGGGGCAGTGCATCCGCCATGGTAACAGCGAGTGGCTAAGGCCAAGATCAAGCCCATGTTTTGCATTTTAAGTTGTGCACATTTAAGTCATGTCAGAGCTTGGATAAATGCGTCTAAATGAATGCAAGATAATTGGATACTCTAATTGGACAGTTGTTGAATTTATTTATTGAATATTAAAGAGGGTTTTGGTGCCTGCATTGTTTAAGTATTTATTTGTATAATTTTTAATTTTAAAGAATAATATTTTTGGATTATTTATTATATTGAATTAGATTTCGCATTGAATTTTAATTACTATATTTTATAATATGTGTACATATTTCGCACAAGTTGTAATTAACTTTAGATAACTATTTTATTCTGTATTTCATAATGAATTTTTGTTGGTCTCTTAATAATAGCTTTTAACAAAATGTAATATTACCTATATTTAGTTTTATAATTATATTTCTAGTTTTAACATATTTATAAGACTCAACGTAAAAATATACTTATTCTAAAATGGTAATGGGTCAGAAAATGTACTCGACATTTATTATAAGTGAAATTAATGCGTTTTAAAATATTTAAGAATATTTAAACAATATATTATAAATGCAAAAAGAGCCAAAATAATTAGTATTGTTAAAATATTTATTACAAGTACATTAAGATGAAATTGAAGTTCACAATAAATAGCAATTGCTAAATATCTATAAGATGCGTGGAGTATGAAGACACTATATATCAAAGGTAAATGATATAATATGATAAATAGAAAGATCAATAATGCTTTGTAGAATTTAATATAATTTGTAGATTTATTAATAAGAAACCTTTTCTATTAATAAACTAAATACCATTACACTAAAAGAGTATGCAATATTCGCAGCAAGAGGAGTACCAACCAATCTATTGTTAATAAACCAAAAATATAAAGATAACATTGACCAGTTGGTGTCACAACAAACTTTCAAGGCATGCTCTTTGTTGCTCCTTAGAGAAATTACATACAGGATGTATCCTTTTTTGTGCATTAAATCAAAGAAAACCAGTGCCATGTTATTTGCAATTAACAATCATTTATTTTAGTCTCTGAATGAACAAATTTCGGGAAAGGATCGACAGTTGATTTAAGCAACTGGGGCAACGGGCAGATGGGCGCCCTGGGGCTGGTATCCGTTCTCATCGGCCACATAGGTGACGGTGAACTTCTCGCCGGTCTTCTCATCGACCCAGGAGAAGGAGCCGTGGACAACGGCGGCCTCGTGCTCGGTGCCGACATCCTTGAGGACACCATCTTGGTTGATGCTGGTTCCGTCGCTGGTCTCCAGGTTGGAGCTCCACTTATCGGGCTGGACATCGGAGTCCAGGCGCACGATCTGGGCGTCGTTGGGGCGGGCCACGGCCATGGCGAAGAGGGCGACGAAGACGATGAGGAACTTCATGGTGGTGCTGGAGTTGGTGGATAGAGAGCTGCGAACTGTCTGATGCTCCACTGCAGCTGGGCGGGGGCTTTTATACGCGCCGAAAGTTGCCAAAATTCGCTGAAATCGCTCAACTCGCGAATTTCGCGAAATGCAAAAGTCAAAGGTGGCGCGGATTCATTCAAATGAGTTCTGCTAATATTTATGTAGATCTGTGGATCTGTGCGCTCGGATAATGAGCGCATCGTTATTTCAGCATTGTTTCCGGTCAAACTGGACTGGCGCTTCAAACTATTGTCACCGAAAACCTGAGCGAGATGAGCTGCATCTGGGATGAGATGCGGCGGGGGACCCGCCACCGGTCGCTGATCTTTTCAGAGCCAAAACCATTGGACGAAATCAAATCAAAATCAAATCGTTTCATTTAACACATTCACACACATTCCCCATTCAACATACGAATGCTGCACAAGACGACGCTCTGGCATACTCAAATAAAAACGTTTTTATTTATTCGCGAACATGTTATATCATTTAATTACCAAAGGTGTTATATATTTCCTTAACGTTTCATGTTGAACTAAAAAACTGGCGAGGAAAGTCTATAAATGTTTAGGTTTTTTTTTTTTGTAATTTTTGTAAATGTAAATGTAAGTAGAAAGCTTTCAGGAATCACACTCATAAACCATTAATCATTATTATTGATAACAAGAAAGGAAAGTAACTTCGGGAAATCGAAATTACTATACCCTCTCAGAGAAAATCCTTCATAACTTAGTCAAAAATCCATTAATTTACAATCGGAGAGCTTTCCTATGTTTATTTTTATTATGTTAATAAATCTGCATACTCAACTTAAATTTTTAAAAATTTAACATTTTTGATAATTTTAACAATGTAACCCCTTATAAAATTTTGAAAAATATTGAAAAAAATTTTATTTTTCAGAAGATGGCTAGAAAGATTCAGCTAATGATGCTGATCAAGAATATTTATAATTTATAGGGTCGGAAATGACTCCTTTCAAAGTTATAAGCTTCTGACTAAAATTATAGTACAATTATTTTAGTAGATATTTTTTATATTTTTATGACACTTTTTTCTACCAATCAAAGTTTCAAAAACTCATAACTATGTCAAAAAGGCACTAATTTAAATTCGGAAAGCTTTCCTATCTTGGTTTTCTTTATGTTAACAAATCTGCATACTCTATTTTAAATGTAGAAAAATTCAAATTTTTATCAATTTTTGAAATTATTATCGATGAAATCGTTTATAAAATTTGAAAAAAAGGCAAACAAATTTTTCCCTATTCTGGAGTCCTAGAAAGATTCGCCTGTTGATGCTGATTATGAATATATATGGATTATAGGGCCGGAAATGGCTTCTTCACAGTGTTTGGATCTGCTGACTACATTTAAAAAACCCTGAAGCATTACATGAAAATGATAATGAAAATGAAATGAATACTTTAGAATTTCGTGGGAAATAAATAGTCCAAGTATGTTTAGATTTTCTTGCCGCGTTTATTTAATAATCAACTAGAAACCATTATAGAATAGAACAGCTCTCGGTTAGCACATCCGCTTCAGTTGCTGATGGGCACATTGGGCAGATGAGCGCCCTCGGGCTGGAATCCGTTCTCATCGGCGACGTAGTTGACGGTGTAGGTCTGGCCGTCATCGGCCACGAAGGAGTAGGAGCCGCGGACGACGATGGCCTCCTGCTCGGTTCCAACGTTCTTCAGCTGACCCTGCTCCTCGTGCTTCTTGCCATCGCTGGTCTCCAAACTGTGAGAGAAGGAAATGAGGGTTTCATTAGGAATGTAATACATATCGGGAATATCGAGCACACTTTTAACTATTAATTTGATTTTCAATACAATTACTAATTGGCATTGCTTTGATACTTTTATGCATCCAATTATGTGCAAAGTAGTTTTCATAGTTTTTCAATCCATAGTTCGATATCGAAAATATATCAATATTTATGAGCAATTCCTAGGGGCTTAATCCTTGTGAGCGCCGGAACACAGATGTGGGAACTTACGCAAAGTTGTATCCCTCGGGCTGGACATCGGACTCCAGGCGCAGGATCTGGGCATCCGCATCGGGAGCGGGGGCGGCCAGGACGACGGCGAAGAGGGCGGCGAAGACGAGGACGATGGCGCACTTCATGGCTGATTTATTTTGGATTTTTTATTGGGGAATTCGATGGGAACCTGCGACCGAACGGCTAGTCAACGTTACTTGATTTGTGATGTTTATGGCCATGTCCAGGCGTTTATATAGTCGCATCCGCGGCCATCAATCGAAGAAAAGTTAGTCGAAAATAAAAATGACTAATTACACGCCGAGCACAGGCACCGCGAAGCCAACAAATTGGCTTGAAAAACGCACCAACAACAACAGGTAGCAAACGATGAAAAAACCAAAAGCAACCATACAACAACCACACCAAGGCACAAATAATAACGTAAAACAAAAACTTCTAAGGCAAACAAATCGACGCCGTTTTTAGGAAATACACCTCATCATCATCATTTGCATTTTTCGTGAATCAATCAATCCAATCGCTTCCAAGTCGAAGACAACGAGCCCCAAACAATTTTGATAATCCATGGAGCTATATATTCATATTTATTCCGCAGAGTGGGGGCCCCCGGTTTACGTGCCCTGCAGCAACAGAAGCATCATGGATCCACTTGGAAGCGGAGGAGAAGTTGCTACTGGAGGGAAGGCATTTCCGTTACATTTTAAATAAAAATACAGGGGAACAGTACTTAAGTTCTATATCGAATCATTACCCATTATATACAGTAAACCCTTAAATACTTTGAGAAAACTCTTGAGTAAATTATAGGAAAATAATTTCCTTAATTATTTTATGATTTTGCAAAGCAAAAATGTTTTATCTGCAACAATTCGTTAATTATCAAATTCAATATACTAAACATTAATATTATAACAGAACAATTTCATATTTAAAAAAAAAACTAATAATCATATCCTATCAAAAAAGAAAACGTCAGTTTATTAAAATCAAGCAAGCCACAAAAATAAAATTTTTGTAAATTACCTTTCTCAATATAATCAAATAATTATTAAGTGACTTTTTAGACAAGCCCTAAGTTGCGGTTTTTGTACACTCGATTTGCAATGGACTTACTTTATTTTATATTGCAAAACCTTAGAGACCATTTCCTCATAAGAACCTACTAACAGATGTATGAAAAAATTAAGGAATCATAGAATATTTATCATTATTTACCAATGATTAATACTAATTCTATTTTTTAATACTTTTCCTGATTGATAACTATCACCTGCCATCTTAAGTATTTATGCAATTAAAAGAAATAATTGGTTTACGGAATGAATGAATGTATATTTTATATTACGATTTTTTTTCAGACGAAACTTAAACATAGTTAACACATTTATGCTGGACTGGAACTAGAAATGATGTTGAATGACTGACAAGGATTCACCGCCTTATTGGACGGCCCTGGGCAGATGGGCGCCCTCCGGCTGGAAACCGTTCTCATCGGCCAGGTAGTTGATGGTGTAGGTCTGGCCATCGTCACCGACATAGGTGTAAGAGCCGCGCACCACGATGGCCTCGTGGTCAGTGCCCACGTCCTTCAGCTGGCCCTCCTCCTGGTGCGACTTGCCGTCGCTGGTCTCCACGCTGCGGAGAAGCGAAAGAGTTAGCCTTGGCACAGTTCGGTTGGAGGTTGGGATGGAGGAGATGTAGAGGAGATGTAGAGGAGAGACTTACGCAAACTTGTAGCCCTCGGGCTGGACGTCGCTGTCGAAGCGCAGCACCTGGGCATCGGAGGCTGGAGGAGCAGCCAGGACGCTGGCGAGCAGGCAGGAAAGGACGATGACGGCGGCGAACTTCATGTTGGATTCTCTTGGGAACTGACTCAAGTGCGCTGGTCTGGAGGAGCTGGCAGGTAATGCTTGCTGCTCCCTCGGCGAGTGTCCCATTTATACTCCTTTCGGCCATGTGCTACGTACAATGCAGGGCGTGTAAGTCAATCGCCGGCAATTACCGGTGCAAAAGAAACCACTGTCGGCGCAGAAAAAAGAGTGGGAGCCAGAGAAACTGGTTTCTCGCCGGGTTTCCTTTGACCCACACTGCTTACCCGGTTACCTAACCAGTCGCTGGATGCTGAATGCTGACTGCTGGATGGATGGATGGAGGGAGGTCTGCCGTTTTGCGATTGATTGATTGCCAGCGACAAGATACTCTCGTTGGTACACACACTTCATTTGTCTCGAACAAATTAACTGCAAAGTGCGCCCTGCCCAGCAATGAATTGCGTTAGCTTCCAAAGAAACCCAAAGAAATAGTCAATAAACTGGGGAATTGGGTCACCTTTGTGGGTTGATGATTGGACCCAATAAAAAAGAGTGTTTGCCATTTCACATTTCAATGTCAAGAAAGGTGTTAATATACCTGAGAGGAATATGAATACAGATTACAGATATTACAGATTATTTTAATTAAATGAAGGCCAAGTTTATGATCGATTTTCATTACGAACATTTATTGTATATATTTTTCGTAACTTAAATATATTACAAGATTTCAAGACATTAATCGTAGACACAGTCTAATATTCAAAACAATAAATAACAATACAATAAGTATTGTTGTTTAATAAAAATAAGTACAAGACTTACAAGTCAAAAATATATTTGAAAATATAAATATTCTAACTGTGATTTAGAAACAAAAAATATAGTTTTGTCTCTATAAAATTTAGTGTTTCATTAATTCAAATACATATTTCTTTATATTTCTGTAAGAATTTGTACGTACCATTGCCATTTCTATATCAATGACAAACTTTACTTTTATAATAATATCTAATACCTATTTTAATATTTATCAAAGTAAGATCAAACTTTACAATATCCATTAATATATCATATTTTCAACCCAATCATCATTTACTGTAATTTTTCCAGCTCATCATGAACCTTCGATAGCTATATATACTTTTCGTTACTTCGATGTCAATCAGCGCCTAAAGGTCTGCGGTGATTTTAGAGGGTTAAGGCAACACCATTTGAACTTTTTCGGAGCATCTTCGTTTGCTTTCAATTTCATTTGGACTTGATTTGCCTGCTTTTTCGGCTGCTTGGCTGCCGCTCGGAGTCATTTGGATATATTCATTCGCATTTTATTACACAAATTTTGAACGTTAATTAGCCGGAGTACGGATATATTGCACGGCCTTTGCGCAATCGGAGTTAGTCGCTAGCGCGGATCGGTGCAGGACAGATGATGATAGATGGCCGCCGGTTTAATGCTGATCCTGCTCCTGGCCAGCTGCTGTCTGGAGCCTAGCTATGCCGCTGCTCCCGATTCCGCCCAGATACTGAGATACGAGAATGCCAACACCAACAGCGATGGCTATGCCTTCTCGTAAGTACAAATGTTAATGACCTTTAAGGTCTATAATAACCTCAAGAAAACGATGTGATAAATTTGATGTTGCCATAAATTTTACCATCAAACCTCAGCTTTGAGCTTTATTTGTCACTGTGTAGGCGGCTCAGGGTCAAGGTCGTAATGGAAATATTTCATTTTCACTGTGCTAATACGGATTAATTAATTTCCCCCGACAGATTTGAGACCAGCGACGGCATCTCGCGCGAAGAGTCGGCCACGCTGAAGAACCCGGGAACCCCCGAGGAGGCCATCTCTGTCCAGGGAAGCGTCGACTGGGTGGGACCCGATGGTGTCCACTACAAGCTCAACTACCTGGCCGATGAGAATGGCTTCCAGGCCCAGGGCGAGCATCTGCCACAGGCAGAGCACTGATCACGTGATAGCTTTGGACTTTGCTAAAAGAAAAATATCAAAAGTATAAATATATACAAAACGCGAAACCACCAAATAGCAGACAGTAGACAATAGAAGTTAAATACGTAATAATAAAATATAGACACATATGGATATACACTGCCGCGAGCACATATATATGGGCATAAATTTTCACCCATCGAAATTGAATTGTATTCTAGGCGGGGAATTAGCATATACATTTGTATCTCATCTCCAGCCGAAACCCGTTTGCTCTGGAGATGCCGTAACCGAGTAGCAGCGATCTTCGATCTCCAATCTCCGGTGTACGCTATCTGCGATCCGCGGGAGCTGGCTAACCAAACCGGTTCAATAAACGCCGAAAAGCACCCCAAACAAAGGTTGCCAAAAAACAGAAGACAAAGGAAAATAAATATAAAAAAAAAACAAAACAACAATTAAAGAAGCCCATCACCATGCTGGCAACGAAAGTGAGAATTTCGGGGAAAAAGGGCATTTTTTCGGGCAATTAACCCGAGCTTCTGTCATTTATCAATCGTAAAGTGCCAAATAATCGGTCCTGTCTCAGCCTAGACATGTCACAAGGCACTCGGAAAAATTTGTGATACTTAAGATATTTTTAATTGGATTTTAAATAAATAAATAAAGATTATAAGCATTTTAATAACTTAAATTCAATTTGCAAACAAACATTTAATTTAGATCCTTACAAATGTTAATACATACGCTTCGAAATAAAGCAATATTCAAGTGCTTAGAATAAATCAAATGTAGAAGCTCTATAACTAACTATATAGTGAAAAATGTCAAGAAATATGTATTTTTACTTATTTATCTATTAGATTACATGATAGTTTGTAGTTTTTCTCCTCTGTGCATCGCATTTATAGCTCATGGCATGATTTATGCTGGCAAATGACCTGCAATGGCATTACGCATACGCCCCGTTGCCTTCCCTGTGTATTGTAGGGCATAGCCCAGGTTCAGCCACAGCCTGACTGAGCCGATCTGTGCTTGGCTTTGGCTTTTGTTGTCTTGCTGCTGCTTAGGTTGCTGGTGGTAAAAAATCGTTTTTATTTTATTGACTAAGGTCATCAACAAGCACTCAAAGCGAAACCTCAGCCGCTGACGATGAGCTGTGGATGGGTTAATGTGTAGACGATGATGAGCCGAGTAATCTTGAATCTCTCGTGCTGAGCCCCAGCATCATCTTCACTTGAACGGCAAATGCAGCTGACAAGCACATGCGGCTGTGGAGGTTTTCGTTTCGTTTTCAGATTCAGATTCGAATTCGGATTCGATACAAGACTTTTGGAGGCTAAATCGCCCAGCCTTAATCGGAAATTGTGTCAGCAGGCGGAAATGCTGGACAAGTCGCAAGATAAGTATAAAATTACTCACTAGGAAAACCCGAATTAAAAAACAGCAGGTAAATTAAAGAAGCTACGATGAGTATCAAAGATATATCGAATATATATCAAAAGTATGCCTGATCTTCTAGAAGAAATCAAGTTTGTTTAAAATACTTTAACTATATGAATTTCTTAAGAAAAACATTGATAGAGATATTTCTTGGCCATCTCTAAAACCCATCTAATATTAAAAAAAAAAAAGTATATATTTAATGCAAATAAAAACTATATTTAATGAGCAATTATGAACTTTTTTTGGTGGATAACTTTACCTCTTCCTTCAGTTCTTGCCACTTCCTGAACATATTTCGTGCAGTTAACTTGTTGAGCAGTGAGGAAGCTCTTTTTGGGAATTTTATGGCCAATCTCTTGCTGCCATCACAAATTGTTGGTAAGTGCAAACACAGCCATAGTCATAGCCATTGACCTATTGCCACAGATCCAAATGCGTGGTGTCTATATAGTATGTATTGTGTGTCTGTGTACTTATAGCCAAACACGCGCATTGGCCAAATATTTATTTGCCAAGAGGCCCAAACACATTTCATTATCACTTGCCCCATCATCTTCAGCTCGATCTCGGATCTCAGATTTTACTTTCAGCTCCCGTGGCGAGGCAATTGAGATGAGATGAGTCGCCCATCAAACGCTTAATGGTCTTCAGCTTTATTTGTTTTTTGTTGTATTTTCCTTGTATTTTTTTGGCTTGTTCAATTAAAAGCTTAACACACTCGGCTCACACGCATTTGCCTTCAATTACCTGCGTATGCGTGGGACAATTGTGTGAGCATTTAAGGTGTTTGTTATGGTTCGCTGGCCAAGTCTGACTGTGTGTGTTTGCTTTGGCCTGGCCAGTTATAAATAGCTCAGCACTCATTGCAGGGCGCCATATATCGAGTTAGTGCCTAATTGTGATAACTACCGGAGCGTGCCGTGCCAAGTCGAAAACCGAAACCGAAACTCCACTCCAAGGAAGCCTAAAAAACGCATAGATTCAAATTTAATAGAGAAATGCAGTCCTCCAGCCTGTGTGTCCTGGCCGTGTGTGCCTTTGTCCTGATTTCCTCCCTGAATGCTGCTCCTTTGGATGACTCGCAACATGCCACAATCCTGCGTTATGACAACGACAACATTGGAACTGATGGCTATAACTTTGGGTGAGTTAAAAGAAGGGAAAAAGAGATAAACTTTAATAGAAACAATTAGGGAAAAATCCTGAAAATTAAAAAAATATGTAAATAACAGAAGTAAGGAGAAAATTAACTAAATAAAGAACATATAAAATATATATAAATGGATGTTAAAGAAGTAGAAAATGTAAAGTAACATCACATATATCTCAAAATATGAACTCTAAGCTTTACAAATTTAAAGTAAATTACTAATCATTTATAAATAACATATTAGCAAATATTAATAATAACTTTTATCTTTAATTCCGTTCAGTTACGAGACCAGTGATGGCATCACCCGCCAGGAGCAGGCTGAACTCAAGAACGCTGGCACGGATCAGGAGGCCCTCAGCGTTCGCGGCTCCGTCAGCTGGGTGGCTCCCGATGGCCAGACCTACACCCTGCACTACATTGCCGATGAGAATGGCTTCCAGCCCCAGGGCGATCATCTGCCCCACAACTGAATGTGTGATTGCCCAAGAGCCTTAGAGCCAGTATTAATCAGTATTTGTTCATTTTGTAAAATATAAATCAATGTACTAACACTCAAATCATATTTCCTGGTTAATATAATCATTAAATCAAGTCGAAGCAATAGATTATTTATTTTGGTAGAAATATTTCCATATATCCATCCATAATTATTTCTAGAAAGTCTTTTGCGAAAGTAAGATCGCTTCTTGAACCCGGATAACTTGCTAACAAAGGTATTTATATGCATGTATATTTGGTAGGGTCTCAAATAACCATAAACATAACGTGTTTCTTTGAGAGGGCGAAATGAAAAGAAAAGTACATGACGCAACAGAAGAACAGGCTTCAGATTCAAGGGGCTTCAAGAGGTTCTCTTCATAGCCATATCGCGCATACGCACCGTTGGACGTCGCAATGCGGTGTGTCTCGTTTTGTTTGGGCGACTTCGCCCGGATGGCCTTCGGCAAGGCAGAAATTTGCAAATTTTTGGCACGTTGAAACTTGTTTGCGTTTTTGTTGGCTTTGTAATTAATACATAATTAAAGAGTGGCGGGCGCATAGTGAAATATGTGCGAGCGAGCGATCGAAACCGAAGTTTTTGAAGGTTAATTTCAGGCGTTGATTTAAATTTCATGCGATGCTAATGAAATTTGGAAGATGCCTCTGCCTCTGCCTCTGTCTCTGCGAAAAACAACAACCACGGCCGCACAGGGCATATATTGTAGTAATATATGCATGGAATAAAAGGCGACACTGATCAAACTAGTTTCCCCTAAGCCGATAGCTCTCATCAGCGATCATCTTCTTGCTGCTGACGTAGTTGCCATGCCCATGCCCAATTGTGGGTTGAACACACTTTAATAATGTCTGCCCGATTTACATATCTATTATTGGCCAGAAGAAGTGCTTGAAGAATAAATAAAACATAATGTTTTCCCTATTTTCTGGAAGTCATTTCCGGTTCTAAAAAGGGAGGCAAAGAAGCCTCCTGGTTTTAAAAGGTTCTTCTTTTTATAAATTATAAAGAAAATATTCTATATTTTTCATTGATCTTAATCTGTACTTTAATATCTTTAAATTAATCAATGTTTATTTGCGGAAAAAAACATAACTTGCAAGGGCCATAAAAATAACTTGCTAAATGGCTATGTATAAAAGCCGCGGTTGATATAATTTAAATTTAATTTAATTAACAATATAATCGATGGTGAAGGTAAAGAAAACCAAAACCAAACCCAATTTCACACCATCACCATAATATTAAAGAGTTTTAAGAGCTCAGCTCCTCCTTCCTCGAGGAAATTGTTAAATCTTCTCATATAATATAAATACTATAATATCGAATAATCTCGATTAAAATCAATTTGCATTAAGTAATTAATTCTGTTTCTAAAAAGAGAACCTCCCTCAAAGCAAACAATAAATGTTAATGGGAAATTAGAGTCTCACATTAGTTAATAGCTACAACGGTTTCCCCAAGGGTTATTTCAATTGAGTTAGGAGTTCATAAATAAATTTACATTTCGATAATGGTTAGAATGCAATTATCCCGCAAACAGAAGTTAAATAAATAAATACAAAATATACGTTTCGGATTATTGAACTCGTGCTGAGACAATTTATTCATCAACGGGTTGAGTTATTGCTCATTAAATTGCATTATATCCGACGTCTTGAACAATTTTAATGTAATTCTTATTTAGTAGTTGTTTTAGGACATAATATACTAATTAAACAAGATGTTATCAGTTGCGCTGATAACTTCTTGTTCTACTACAAATAGATATATGTATCGATTTAATGCAAAGTCATTTTGTGAAAAAAAACAAAAATTTGCAACCAATTTGAGCCAATATAGATTTGCATTTAACGATCAAGCTTTAGCCTGAAACCAATTTGATTATGTTTCGACTAGTTTTGCATTAATTTCGCGATAGTGCACGCATTCCTCCATATAAAGGAGAGCAAATCATTGGAGAAAATCATTCGTTCGAGATCCACAGATCAAAGCAGTAACCAAAACTCACCATGAAGTTCCTCATCGTCTTCGTTGCCCTCTTCGCCCTGGCCGTGGCCGCTCCTGATGCTGAGATCCTCCGCCAGGATTCCGATGTCGGCCCCGAGAGCTTCAGTTACGGGTAAGTAAAGTGAGAACTGTTCTGGAAAGGATGCACGACTAACTTCGGACTTCCTTATCAGGGTGGAGACTAGCGATGGCTTTTCTGCCAATGCTGCGGGACAGCTGAACAACGTTGGATCCGATCACGAGTCCCTCGCCGTCCAGGGCTCCTACCGATATGTTGGCGATGATGGCGTCACCTACGAGGTCAAGTACGTCGCCGATGAGAACGGATTCCAGCCCCAGGGTGCCCATCTGCCCGTGGCCTAAGCTAACTGTTATTAAAATTAAAGTTATTAAAGAAAAAATGAGTAAATGAATGTACATCTGTTTCCAATGGGGGGGAATGCTCTATTACGATTGCAAATACAGTTTGGTAATATGTTTGAATAATATTTTAGACATGAGATTAAAGTACAGGTTGTTGTTGGGTCATGTAAACCTATATCTTAATATTAATTGCTATACCGTATGGCTTGCTTCAAAGCAATTACTTAAAAGGAGCTTAACGAAAATATAGAAAAGTTTTCCCCATTAAGATGAATGATATTTGGGCTTCATTACATTTTAATGTCAGCTTTCTTTGAGGTATTTGATGAATGAAATGTAAATAATTGCCATAAGTCAACTATATATTTAAATATAAATAAAGTCTGATTTTATAATAAAATTTTGCTAAGTTTTGTTTTCTTTTATAGAATTTTTCAACATCTTAAAAGAAGTTATATTATTAAAATGTTATGAAAAACAATTATTTAATTAAAACAATCGAATTCAGTAAGCAGATCTATTTATCTAATTAAAATAAATAGGAGATCTTTTATGCCAAAATTATAAGATAAATATTGAATAAAAGCCTTAGGGATGCGGATTTTTGACAATCCTGATAGCATCATATGATACCCAAGAACTGAATGCATATAATAATACCCAATTTTTATCAAGACGATGTTACTTCTTATTTCTAAAACTTTTATGTTTATCAACTGATACTGATAAGAAATGTTCGTTTTCATTCTACCTACACCAAAGTGTGATATATTCATTTTCCTAGAGCTTTTCATATTATGTTATTGTTTATTATATTTAAAACCGTATAATAATTGATTCTTCTGCATTTCTTTATGGTTTTGATATGCTATCTCTGCCTTATTGATAATAAAATACTCACCTTTTCCATTAATTCGACAGGTTAGTAAGGCAAGTGCTACCGATTCCGATGGAAAAGGTTGATTTGCATTTCGTATGGGTGCTTTAACGATTCATCTTTAACCTGAAACCAATTTCGAACATTTTTCGCATTATGCTTTGACATTATGTCTGGCTGCATTTGCATTGAAATCGCCCCAGTTTTTGCCTCCATATAAAGCAGGTCGCACCATCGGAAAGCATCATTCGTTCGAGATCCGCAGATCAAAGCAGCAACCAAAAAATCACCATGAAGTTCCTCATCGTCTTCGTTGCCCTCTTCGCCCTGGCCGTGGCCGCTCCTGCTGCTCCCGAGGCTCAGATCCTCCGTCAGGATTCCGATGTCGGACCCGAGAGCTTCAAATACGAGTAAGTTAACTGAAAACTGGTCCAGTAAGGATGCGAAACTAACACCCGACTTCCTCATCAGCTGGGAGACTAGCGATGGCCAGGCTGCCAATGCTCAGGGACATCTGAACAACGCTGGATCCGAGCACGAGTCTCTCGCCGTCCAGGGCTCCTACCGCTTCATTGGCGATGATGGCGTCACCTACGAGGTCAAGTACATCGCCGACGAGAACGGATTCCAGCCCCAGGGTGCCCATCTGCCCGTTGCCCCCGAGGCCTAAGGTCTTCTCCCAAGTTCTTCCTTGTTAATATCTGCCGCCTTCTTCGGCGGTTTGGAAAATCTAAGTCAAACAACCTGAACTGTTGAATATTAAAAAAAAATCGAAATAAGTATATCAACAAAATGTGTTTTCTTAAATGTGTGGGAGCTATAACAGAGTACATTCATCCATTGGCCATATGCTTTGGAGGATACTATTTGTGGCCTGCATTGCTGGTATTTAAATTTAATTTTGAAATGTACAAATTAAAATTAAGTTAATTTTGATATTTATTTTGATTATATTGGGATAATAATTATAAAACAAGAAACTATTGTTTCTATCTGATAGATTTTAAATTATATTTAAAATATAATTGTTGATGACAGACACATAAAATAGGACTTTTCCTGAACTCAGGTCTGCATTACTTAGTTAAAAGAGAAAGTTACAAGTTCGAGATTGATTATTATTACAACAAAATGTATACATTTCGATGAGTTAGGATAAATTATTTTGTAGTGTAGTGCTAAGATTGTTAATAATACTAGTAAACCTTTTTCCTTTGTAGGTCTAACTAAATGTAAGTTTCTATTTAAAGTTTTAGTTTAAGTATACATTTTATTATAACATTTGTTTGCTTTTAGGTTTGGAACATAAGTAAAGTGAGAAATAAAGGTTTATTAATTTCATTTAAATAATATTATAGAAGACATAAACACATTTTATTTAAATTACAACTGCATTTTGCTATGTTAAATAATAATTTAGTTAAATTCATGAGATAATTGGATATTAAATCTTCATTTTAATTTCAATTTGTATAACTGCTCTATGGTTTATTTGTAAAATAAATTAAGATATAAACAAAAATTTTGAGTTTGATTTACAACCATTGTTTAAATAATATAAAAATCATAATTTACTATTACAATTCAGTTTGGTTTAGGAGATTCATTCCCACATATATACATATATAGTGATTTATATATATTATTTTTCAACCTATATGTTTCTATATGCTGCATGGACAAACTTACTTATTTATTTGCATATTACGTACTAGAAGAAACCATATATTATATATAAATTAAGTGTAAGAATTTAGTGAAATAAAATTATATTATATACATATGTTTCTTCTCCCAGAGAAGACTGGTTACTAGTCCAAATACGAGCGGGAAGGCTGATTTACATTTCGCATTGGGCTTTTTAACGATTCGGCTTTAGCCCGAAATCAATATCACACATTTATCACATTATGCTTCGCACACGTTTGACTAGTTTGTCCGGCCTTTGGGCATTGGGCTTTGGGCTTGGGCTTTGGGCTTATGCCGCTGTCCAGCCATATAAAGGGTGGCCCCTTCACCGGAGAGCATCATTCGTCGCGAACTGTTCGAGAACCGCAGGTCAAAACACAGAAATCCAAAAATCACCATGAAGTTCCTCATCGTCTTCGTTGCCCTCTTCGCCCTGGCCGTGGCCGCTCCTGCTGCTCCCCAAAGTGAGGCTCAGATCCTCCGTTCGGACTCTGATGTCGGACCCGAGAGCTTCAAATACGAGTGAGTAAACTGAGAACTGGTCCAGAAAGGATGCACCACTGACTCTCGACTTCCTTACCAGCTGGGAGACTAGCGATGGCTCTTCTGCTCAGGCTCAGGGACAGCTGAAGAACATTGGATCCGAGAATGAGGCCATCTCCGTCCAGGGCTCCTACCGCTTCATTGGCGATGATGGCGTCACCTACGAGGTCACCTACATCGCCGACGAGAACGGATTCCAGCCCCAGGGTGCCCATCTGCCCGTTGCCCCCGAGGCCTAAGCCGGATTGTTCCATCAATCCACCTCAAATCCTTGTTAGTTCCACCAAACCGATGCTGTCCTTATTTTAAAAGGATGGCAACTAAGTCAACCCAATTTGTTAAATATTAAACGAAATAATGATTACCTGAAACTAATTGGTTTTTAATTGGTTCACATATTTGGTTTACATTTTCAGATGAGTTTTAAACAGATCTGCGCAGACAGCGGAAAAATACTGCTGACAATATGATATATATTAATTAAGAAATATCCAATAAAAGATTCTAAAAAATCTGTAAAGAAAAGTGAAGGGATTATTCAATAGAAATATATACTTTTTGGTTAGTTGCAATCTCTTTTATCTTAATGTTTTTAATCAACAATATCAATACTTAAACAGCCATATCATTAATTAACTATAATATAAGGAAAATAATATATTTACAGAAGCAACTGGTGGATTCTGGCTGATTTATGAATTAGCCAGAGAACGTAATATGCTTGATAGATTGGTTATTGATTTGTTAATTGATTCTAAAACAAATACATAAAAAAATGTACACAACAACACAATATGAGAAATGACAATGGCAAAATCACAATGCACAATGGCAGAATAACAACAGAAAGAGGCTGGAACCCATCTCGACTATGAGACATCTCCTATGCCACCTCAGCATCCCATTCGATTGGGACGAGCGAGTTTTACGGCACAACAAATGAGTGTGTGTTTAGTGTTCTTATGTAATTACGTTATTTAGCTTTGAAAACACGATATTTGAAATTGGAAACTGGCAAGGCGAGGCCGGTGGACAAGGTAATTGCATACATTATATGCCTGCAAGCACGATTAGTGCAGGGTATTTAGAGTGTGTTAATCTGTAATTAAAATGTGTTTTATTGAATGTTTCCATTACTGCCTTCTGCTGATTTTGTTATTTTTCATTTGTTTTTATTATCATTATGCATTTTCCCCGATGATTTGTATAAAAGGGCCTCCGTCGCCCACAGCGCAGCTCAGTGAAGTGCAGCAGCATCACCTGTGATCTCACCTGTTTCGCGATGCATTCGACTTCCAAGTCGTCGTTGTGGCTAGCTGTCCTCCTGGCAGTCGGTGTATCCGTGGTCCTGGCCAGGCCCGCCGGCGAGGATGCCCAGGCCGAGACCCTCAAGCTGGAGAGCGAGAACACCGGCGACAAGTACTCTTTCTCGTGCGTATAAAGCCAATGAAAGCAATTAAACGGAAATAATCCTTTTTTAAAAATTTGAAATGACAAACAATATTAACTTTGCTAAAAAAACAATCTGTGATAAAATAGATTTCTTTTTATAATCAAACCATTTCTTAAATCATTTAAGAGAAAGTATTTTTCAAGTAGAATGAAAATATAGTGAACCAGGACTTAATATATATTTAAAAAATAAATGATTAAACCTAGCAAGTTATGAAGCTAACTTCGGGAAGCCTTAATTTGTATACCCTTTCAGTTAGCGAAAGGATCCTAGGTTCGAATGTACAATCGATCACAAATAATCCAAAAATTCATTCATCTCATTTTTCAATATTTTTATATTTCTAATTTTTTGCATTGGTCAAGTCTTTCAAATAGCATCACTATGCCAAAAATATATTAATTTTAATTCGGAAAGTTTTTCTATGCTAGTTTTTATAGGGTTAACAAGTCTGCTTACTGAATTTATAAATTTAATTTTTTGTTATAGGGTCGGAAATGATTCCTTCATTTAGTTTCAAACTTCTGACTTAAATTTAGTATACCCTGGAAGGGTATAAAAAATAAGAAACAAAAGAAACCCATATTTTTGTGGTTTTTCTCTTTGTGCAATAAATGAAGACTGCATTGTTTGTTGTATAAATATAATTCAAATGTCCAAGAAACAACACAGAAACCACATATTAATCATATATACAAATAATTCTCTTAAAAAGAAACCACATACTAATATTCTTCAGCTGTTTCCACTTTATAAAAAAATTATTTCAAAATATTATCTAAATAATCTTTAATTTCCTCTTAACAGCTTTGATACCAGCAATGGTATCTCGCGCACAGAGACGGGCGAGGTGAAACCAGGTGCCGGCGAGGATGACGGCTCCCTCTCGGTTCAGGGCTCCACCAGTTGGTCCGCTCCAGATGGCAAAAAGTACGAGATCAGCTTCACGGCCGACGAGACTGGGTATCATCCCAAGTTCCGGCTGGTGACCTAGGAGTAGCTCCTATATGTTATATATAGAATTTATAGAACTAATATATACCCCATTATCCATGTTAGAACTTTTATGTTTGACAAATAAAATAGAAGCCATTTAAAAGTGGCTTAACGCAGACGTCACAGAAAATATAAATAAAGGATTTAAATTAATAAAACCAATAAAACTTTTTGATTTGGAAAACAAAAAAAAAGATTACCATTTAAATGGTAAGAACCTCCATGCTGCAGACGCTATAATAAACTTGAACCACATCTTGGTTGACGTCACTGAAAGATATATATAATGCTGGCCAAATTCAAAGTCAAATAATTTGAATAATGAAATATTTATGGCTGCGATTCTTTTGCGGCCTAAAACATGAATTTACATTTTGTATTAGGCCTTTTAGTGCTCCATCTGCGAACGAAAACGAAACCAAGACCCAGGCCCAGGCAAGTATAAGCCCAAAACCCGACATGTCGCATTAACATTGACTTTGCCGATTAGCTCTTCCACACGTTTGACTAGTTTTGGCCGCGCTTTGAATAATCGATGGCTTGCCCTCTATAAAAGGGTTCCGCTGGCCATCCATCCGCACCATTCGTCGTGACCTGTCCGAGAACCGCAGATCCAAGCACCAACCAGCAATCACCATGAAGTTCCTCATCGTCTTCGTTGCCCTCTTCGCCCTGGCCGTGGCCGCTCCTGCCGCTCCCCAAGCTGAGGTTCAGATCCTCCGTTCGGACTCTGATGTCGGACCCGAGAGCTTCAAATACAAGTAAGTAAACTGAGAACAGGTCCAGAAAGGATGCACCACTGACTCCCGACTTCCTTATCAGCTGGGAGACTAGCGATGGCCAGGCTGCTCAGGCTCAGGGAGAGCTGAAGAACATTGGATCCGAGAATGAGGCCATCTCCGTCCAGGGCTCCTACCGCTTCGTTGCCGATGATGGCGTCACCTACGAGGTCACCTACATCGCCGACGAGAACGGATTCCAGCCCCAGGGTGCCCATCTGCCCGTTGCCCCCGAGGCCTAAGTTCGGTTGCTTTCATCTAGAGCAGCTTTAAATCCACCCAAATCCTACTCAATTCCTTGTTATTTTCCCGAACTTCCCCGTATCCGGTTTCCCTTTTCTTTTGCCAAGGGAACAAACTCCTAAGTCAAAGAACATTTGTTGAATATTAAAAAAAAAAATGAAGAATTTATACAAATTTGTTTTATTTTGGATATGATATTAGCTTATGTTTATATTTATAAGAAATAGGTATCCACTTGATCTTTTTCTCAAGTGTTCAAAATATTTATTTTACAAGAGATTAGTTTCTACTGCAATTTACCTTTGCTTTACCAATTATCTTGTTTAGATTTAATATGCAGCCATTGTTTTTTTTGTTTAAGATGCTTTTTTCAAGTTTTTAAACCGTAAAAAATTGCATTGAATACTTGAATATTTTAAAATCTACATTAATTTTATTACAGTCATTGCTATGTCACAACTGAGCACTCATAATAGAACTAGTTAAATAGTTCATTATAAAATGCAAACGAAATAAGCTTCTTAATTTAATCTATTTTTAAAACTACTGGTAAAAGAATTTAATGATAGATTAATACAATTTATTTAGTTGTATAATTAATTCATTAAATCAATCAAAATTCAATTTAATTGTAAGTATGATAAAATATTTTTGGTAAATGCAAATAAGTCTAGTACATTAAATCATCAGACTTAAGAGGATAACTCAAATATATTTTTTAAAGAAAAAAAAACAAAAATAGAGTGTATATTTACTTTGAACAAGTTTTATAAATCATAAATGTAATTTTTGAATATTATTTTAATGTTAAATCAATGGTTTATTGAAGACTTGGGATTTTCACAAGCATTTACCACCAGAGACTACACTAAATACAAATTTAACGTAACGTCTTACCCCTTGCTATTGGCATTTTTTTAAGCCCTCTTTGGGGCCATCAAGATAAGTGTAAAAAAACGACAAAAACCCCGGCTTACTTTGGGGCTTCGATTTGAACAAATCAAAAGACTTAGGCAACGAACTTGATGCCTTCCATTGCATACTTTTTGGCGTGCGGCTGTTGGTCGACTGACGATGATTAGCCATCAGTTCCGTGCCTGTTCGATTCGCATTACTTATGCTCGCAACGGCAACAGTCAACAGTTATTGCAATTAATATGCAAATTTGCACACTCAACATCAGTCATTGCCGAACTCGACAGCAATATTTCAATTACAATTGAGGCTGCCAGCATCCGGCAGAAGACACTCCATTCCGCGCGACTGCTGATTGGTAATCGATAAGGTGACCGCCGAAGTGCAAACATCTTCCTCATTGCATCGCTATTCGCTCATCGAACAGGTCAAGTGCCTCTCCACTGATTGGACCCAACAAGTTGAGTGGCAAATATAGATGGGAATCGGTTAATTGCCAACAAATACTCGAGATAATTGATTACGGCTCAAGCGCATCCACGGAATAAATATCAAATTAGGCTGAGTACATAATAAAAAGACAACATTGTCTTACAAAATAATAAAGTGTTGTTTACTTAAATTATAATTTTGAAAAGGAAATGGAATATATAGGGAAATATATCGTTGTAAAGATCATCGATCATTATCAGAAAGTTGGTTTTGTTTCCTAATAATTAATTTAAATAGCATGCCTTTTTATACCCTTGCAGAGTATTATAATTAGAGTTTTTTTTACCCTTGCAGGGTATTTTATAGTCAGCAGCTGAAAACTAACTGAAGGAGTCATTTCCGACCCTATAAATTATATATAATTATGATCAGAATCAACAGCGGAATCGATCTAGCCATCTCTGAAAGAAAACAAAATTTAAGCAATTTTTTCCAAATTTTATAAGGGGTTACATCATTAAAATATTAAAAAATCGACAAAAAATTGAATTTTTTTATGTTTTAAATTGAGTATGCAGATTTATTAACATAATATAAACTAGCATAGGAACGCTTTCCGAATCAAAATTAATGCTTTTTTGGCAAAGTTATGAGCTTTTTAAACTTTGATTTGTTGAAAAAATAGCTTATTTAATTATAGATAAATATCTACTAAAAAATGGTATTATAATTTAAGTCAAAAGCTTATAACTCTGTGAAGGAATCATTTCCGACCCTATAATCCATATATATTCTTGATCAGCATCAATTGGCGATTCTTTCTAGGCATGTCAGAAAGGAAAAATTTTTTGATTTTTTTTTTTTAATTTTTGCATCGTTAAAATGGCAAAAAAATCGACAAAATTTTTAATTTTTTTATGTTTTAAATTGACTATGCAAATTTATTTATCTACTAAAAACTAACATAGAACAGCTTTCCGAATCAAAATTAATGCATTTTTGGCTGAGATATGAGTTTTTAAAAACTTGATTTTTCGAAAAAATTGTCATATAAAAATCATAATTAAAATACCTCATGAATGAACATCTTATTTTCTATAATTATTCCTAATTATAGGATTATAGGCAGGATCAATAACTATCTCAAACATAATTCTGATTATAATTTCTTCCTCCATTAAGTTGCTAAAAATAAACCATTGCTCAAGCACGAAAACTAGAATAAAATAAATAATGAATGAAAATGAAACCTGCTAATTAACTGATTTATGCCATAATTAGAGTTGTGAATAATATAAATGCACTGCCAACGACTTTTGGATGCACTTTAATTAATATTCATGCTGCAAATTGATCCAAAAGCGGATCAAAGGCAGCCAGGAAGTATGATATATGCGAACCACAAGCATTATTTAAGCAAATCAAAGAGCCAGTTGGCTTTGTTTGGACATTCCGAGGATGCAAATGATGCTCTCGAACTAGCTGACGGGTTGTTTAAATAATCAAATAAATAACCTCTGCAGCAGCGGTGCATGAAATTGAAAATTATGAGCACAGGTACAGGCTTTGGGCCAAGTCCAGAGGAGTGATGCCGTTGCCGTTCTGGCCAATGCTACCAGCTTCGCGGCTCGAGATACACACAGACACCGCCCGGGCTCACACAGATACGCACGCACACCTGTGCGGGGCCAGAGCGTCCGCTTCTAATGTTTTATAATGTTTACCTAATATTATTAACATTGTCAATTCGCTGGCGAACATCGTGGGGTGTGTTTCATTCTGAGGCGCTTGCTCCGAACTCCGTGAGAAACGCGTCGCCGCCGTCGTCCGATCGAAATCGAATTATCGAAATTCAAATATCTAGACACATTTATTTGTATTTTAAAATATAAATGCGCGATTATTTATGGTTCTTCGTGTGAGATATCAAGCGGTTTGTTAATAGGCGTGAAAATAAAAATCAAATTTGTGACCCATTAAGAAACGAATTATAGCCACAGAATATGAGTCTCAAACTGCTGGCGATTGTTAGTGCTGTAAGTGTTTTGCATTGCCAATTTCTGGCTTCTTGGATTTCTCACCGCCTCATCGACTTCCTTTTTAAGCTGCTCCTGGTGGCGTTGTCCTGGAGCCAAGTCCTGGGCGCGGCGACCACAGTGCGTCCCTACAAGTTCGGCTTCACCATCGACGAGCAGATGCATCGGCAGGAGAAGAGGGGTGAGTCGCGGGTTCTACTTGAAATTATCACTTTTATTAGGAATTAAAGGAGTACAAAAGTAATTAAGAACACGACCGATATTTTAAGATTTCAGTGGGCGTCTGTCTTTCTTTTAGCCTCCTAAAACCCTCTTTATTCCGCCAGTCTCACTGACAACCTGGCAGTTGGCTAATGACGCTAATTAAACCATTAGCATATCTCGACTACTGTGCGTCGATTTATTGACACCAAAACCGAAATATGTAAATAGAGATGCGTCATCTTGGGCATCGTTAGAGAGGCATCTGCTGCAGCATGGGTGAGCTGGTGGCCAGTGTAACCAGTACCAAAAAAAGCCATAACTTTTGACTTTTGTGCCAAAGCGATGGCTTTGCGGCTTGTGCAATGCCACACAATACACGTTTGATGCACCTGAGCGACAGGTCAGCGGCGGCAATTGAAATACCAGCGCCGGCAATTAGCTAAGTCTTCAGCAGAACTCAGTCTGATCTCCGGCCAGATTCGATTCTCCATTGTCCACAGGGTCGTTATGATTTTTATTTCCATGCTGAATCGGTGATAAAGTTTTTCGAGAAAAACGAAACTGAAACGCGACTGATTTGCATAACATGTAGCTGCCGCAGTCGCAGACGCAGCACCCGATGTCCGAATACAAAAATCGCTGCCTTATTTATGGTTTTTCTTTCTTCGGCTCCTAATGCTAATTCCGAAAAAGAACAGAGCCAGAGCCACATTTCAATATTTATAAGTATAATTCTGGCATATGAAATGCCAGAGTTGAGGCCAAAATTCGGATTACGTTCATAATTCAACTGATCCAATCCGCACGCAAATTCAGGAACTTGTTGTGCATGCAAAGGCAAATATTTGTTTGTTCTAAAAATCACTCGAACTGGATTATAGAAGGTGTCCCAAACAAAAGCTTTCAAATCTTTTTACGGCTGTATAGTTTTTATTTAATTTTTATTATTTGAAATTCGAGCTGCTTGCCAATAACTGGATCACTTTTTTGGTGCCTAGTTTGCGGGGCATTACATCATCTGCATTGTTTTTAAATAAAAGAGATATATTTATTCTTTTGAATTTATGCTAATTACTTCCTATGATTATATGATTTATGAGGATTAGGGTCTAGAGATAAGTAGTTCCTTATTTAAAGGGGAAAAGTTATAGAGCACCAAATTCTTTATAGCTTATATTTTAAAAGGAATTATGTTTAAATTCCAATAGTTTTATATCAGTAAATTTAAATGTATGCTTCTTACTTTTTATAAATTCATGATTTATAGGAGTTCTGTTGCTAAAGAAATATACTTCCTTATTTCAAGATGATAAAGGAATGTATAATTTATTTATAGTTCGTAGTACTGTTTTATAGATTAATGTTATTTCATTAGAATTTGTATAAATTATTCGTATAATCTCATGATTTATGTGGACTTGAACCTGGTATTATTTATTTTCTAACCCAAATATGATAAACGAATATAATGTATCATTTTAACACAAGTATTAGATAATTAGAGTTTAAGTATGGTAAAGACATGATATGGTTTTTATAGTATTCCACATATCAGAACAGCAAGTCAATCCTAGTTTTTATTTACATTTAAACAATGTATATTTTTCACTTATAAATTTAATTTTTATTGTTTTAGGCATCCAAATTTGTATATTTTTGAAAATTATTCTTCTTGTTATTGATTTTTTAACGCTTTCATGTTATTTTCCTTATAAAAATCAAAGATTTTCATTAAAATTCAATATATTTATAGACTATGCTCGATTTTTTATAACACCACTAAAAAATATGCTAATTTTATTGTTACTTTTTTATTACTTTGCCTTTTTAAAGCCAGAAAAAACCTTAACTAATTTTTATTGATTTGTATTTAAGAGTTTTTTCCAAGTCACTGAACAATTTGAACCTGCAAATTGATCACGACAAAGGAATAAATTTTAATAAAGAATTATTTTCGCAACTAATGACAAATGTCAGCATTATATTCCCGAATTAAACATAAAACAAACAAGCTAAAGCCAATTGATGCAAACCGTTAAAACGAGTATTGGCAAGGAAACCTGTTTACAAAGGCCACCAAATGCAAAAAAAAAATAAATCCAGAATTTGTGGAGCACTCCCGTAAAATCTGGTGGGTGGTTGCCAGACAGGATGCTCTCTTTAAGATCGTTAAAATTTCTACCAATAAGATTATAAGTAATTATCAATAAGATGCTGGGATGCGAGCATAGGAATGTCGTGTGCGTAGGCAGGTGGCGGAGGTGGCATTCGGATTGATATTTGCCTAAGAAACCAGCTCACAAGTTATGAGCGTCATTATCGATACAGTTTATTAGATCTTAATCTTTATGGGGCTCGGGTCTGGCTGGGCAGGTTATGAGGCGAATTTTAATATTCACAAATTCGCATTCATATTCGAAAAGAACATAAAATTCAGTGTTTTTCGTTTTTGTTTGCTTTTGGTTCATCTCATCTCGTTTCCCGATCCGCAGATGAACGCGGCATTGTTATGGGCGAGTTTGGGTTCATCACCGCCGATGGAATCTACCATGTGACGGTCTATGCCACCGATGAGGAGGGCAAGTTCCGGATAATTTCCATGAAGAGTTACCCCTACAATGGACCCATCGGAGCGAGTGAGTATTATGACTTACATATGGAAAATAGAAGCAAAGGTTGATTAAAGTTCCTGTATTATAACATAAAAATTACCACTTTATACCTTCAACTTTCCCTTCTCCTTAGAGAGTGTCCCTGCGGTCACAACGCCAAAGGCCCTGCCTGCTCCTGCTGCTCCTGCTGCTCCACCACCACGTTATAATTTCAACACGGAGGCCTGCTCCGGCTGCTTCCTCAAGAAGACCCCCGTCAAGACAGGCATTCGCACTCTCTCACAGCCTCTTGCTCCAGGTAAGCCAACGGATAGGGGCCTCAATGTCCAGTTGCCCTTCCGGGAGTCCATTGCCCAGACAGTGGCCACACAACTCGGCTTGGGACAGGTCACACAGCACTCCACGCACACTTACACGAACCCCAGTGCCAAGATCCCCACGAAGGACATCGAGATGGGCCTGCAGCTGGCCATGACCACCTATTACGACTCCAAGGCCGCCGTCACCGGACACGTGAGCACTCAGACCCAAAAATCGGGTTCCCCGAGTAGCACCAAGGTGGACTATAATGTGGGCGTGACCCGGAAGGCGGGACCGGTGACATATTCATCTCTCAATACCCGTCTAAGCGAGGATGCCATCCGATCGGCCAGCTCTTATTCGGGTCAGGTAACAGTTCCTCGGCCCTTGGGACAGCAGCCTCTGGTGGCCCCTTCCAGTGGTCAACCGGCAGCCCTTTTCAGCAATTCCCGTCCAGGTGTTAATAGTGGCCACGCCCTTCGAGGGGGAGTGGCTTCCGCCAAGACGGTTTCCGGTTTGAAGGCACCACACACTACACTCGCACACACACCTCTTTTGAGTAAGCAAATTGGCTAAGAAATGTATACCAAAATTCAAAAGTAGTTATTAATTATAAGTATTTATCAAACGTTTCGTATAATAATTAATTTTTTGTTTATTTTTTTTTATTTTAAAGTTTCACACAGTATAAATTGAGTAAAAATTTTTGTTAACTTCTTCGAAATTTTTTTTATATTAATTTTTACTGTTTTATTTAATTTTTTAGCAAATAACTTAATAATTATATTTAAAACTTACCGCTGCCATCTATGAGTAATTGTTAGAACTAGACTATTTTACCTACTTGAAACGTAGAATGGCTCAAGTCCTTACTAAATATCCTTTGGGAATTTTTTATTTTTAACAGATTCAGCAACCACAACGGGTGTTTCGGGAGTGGCAGCCCATACACCAACCGGAAGTACACCCTGTAAGTGGTTTGAGTAATGACTAAAAATGGAGAAAATTTTTTAAAATTTTGTTTCCTTTTCTTTTGAAATTGATAAAAAAAAGCGTATAATAATGGTGGAGCTGGAGTTGGAGGAGGATCAGGAGCTGGCGTGGGAGGAGGAGCTGGCGCTGGATTAGGCGGCGTCACTGGTGGAAGTTTCCCGCTTGGCAAGTCACCAGCTGGAGGCGTTTCCGGCAAGCCGCAGTTTGGTTCCACGGGTAAGGGAGGTGTTTCCGGTGGTGTAGGACCCTCTGGAGGATTTGGTGCCTCCGGAAATGCTGGAGGATCTCGAGGAGCTGGAGCCTCTGGAGGAGCTGGAGGATTTGGAGCCTCTGGAGGAGCTGGAGGATCTGGTAAATCTAGCGGATCTGGCTCTGGAGTCGGAGGAGGCAGTGGCAGTGGGACAGGCACCATTTCCCGCGGCGACACCGGCGACCTGTACAAGTTCAAGTACGTGCTGGACTACAACGGGCACGAGGAGACTGGCAGCCGGAACGGCGACAAGCAGGGCAGCTACTTTGCCATCGGCGATGATGCAGTCGAGCGGACCATCGAGTACATAGCCAATGAGTATGGATTCCAGCCGCACATCAGCTGGAAGAAGCTGGACGGGAAGGCTGCCCTGCCGGAAGAGAACTCCCTGAAGCACTACGAGTTCAAGTGGTTTAATTAGTCGAATTTCGAATTCTCCCCCTTTCGATGTACATAAAAACATAATAAAATCTGTTAATTTTCTCGAAAAATAAATAAAGTTAGTAACGGAATCGGTTTTGAATTGGGTTTTATTTGTTTTTTGTTGTTGAAATTTCTTGCCTTAAATTAACTAAATTCTTAGAGGGTTTCGGTTTCGTTTTTTGGTTGTTTTTTTTTCGGGGCTTCCATTTTCGGTGATGTCTGTTCTATATTTTATATTTTAGGTTACTCGATTTTTTGTTCGTAGAGTTTACATTCAGAATTTAAAAATTGTATACACTTAGATCGTTATTTCTGGCTCTTAGTTTGCCTCTTTTGGTTTTTGTTTTCAATTTTCTTTGCTTTTTCTTTTTGTTTGTTGTAAATACACACACAAATCGAAGTAGTTACACACAATTAAATGTTTATTCTCGTATATATATATTATTAAATATATTATTATAGTTAAACTTTGACTTAGGACCTAGAGAGTTCTGCGTTCACACGCAAATATATATTTGTTTATATATAAAGTATGTCTAGACTCGGGATTAATGCGTACTCGCAGTTTATGTCTCAATATTAATTCGATTTTAATTCAATTCGTTTTGGTTTTTAAAAAATATGTAAGAGTTTTAACTGTACAATCAACTATCACAGTCAACCATCTTGAAACAATAAGCGATAAATCAGGTAAAACTCAGAGGGGAACGTGGGGGAATTCTATCATTAAACGCTAAACATTTTTACACATAGTTCAATGGTATTATTTATTATGTACAAATCGTAAGTCGAAGCAAGAAATGTGGCAAAACTCTCTATAACTAGACATTCACTGGGCTACGTTTTTTGATATTTACAATTGCTTTTACACACACGAAATGCTAACAACAATTGGAAGTCTCTATATAGAACTAGCTTTGAATTTTGTTAGGAAAGAGAGATTTAAGTGGCAATGGATTTCCTCTAGAGAAACACTGAGAGTTCGGTTCTATTTCGTTAGCTCTTGCTCCTTGCTTAATCGCAAACACACGTAAAATATTTGTAGCCGACTTTAGGGCTTTCGTCCTTCCATCCCCTAATTATAACTACGAATAAAATCCTCGCCAAATCTACTCCACTCTATACTCTTTAATCCTCGTTATCCTTGGTGGTCTTGGTTGCAAGTTTTACAGTAAAAACGTGGCCTGCTCGCCGCTCTTCATGTCCAAATAATCGTATAGCGCCCGCTCATTGGCCCCATAGTTCCCGGTGGGCAGAACGGCCGAGTGTCCGGAATGTCCTGGGTGACCGGGATGATGGTACGGCGACGGCAGATTGTCCAGGCCAACGGAGGCGGCAGGCGTGGCGGCCGGCGGTGATGGCCCCGCGCCCATCGTCAGCCCGAACTTCTCCAAGTGGCATCATTTGAGCAGCGTGGGCAAGCTGCTGTTCATCAGGCGATTGCCCACGACCAGGGAGTTCAGCGTGGAATTGCCACTGCCCACACCCACGCCCATGCCGGCCACACTGAGTCCTCCAATGGTGCCAAATCCCGCACTGGCGTGAGCCGGTGCCGCCGTCAAGGTGGCCGTGGCTATGTTAAGGTTATTGCTAACACTGGCTGAGCCTCCGCCACCGCCACTGGACACATGTGATCCGTTGAGGTTGCCATTGCTGCTGAAGCCACTCATGCCAGAGCCACCTCCTCCTCCTGCTCCGCCTCCTCCTGAGCCGCCTGCTCCTGCTCCGCCGCCGCCGCTGCTGGTGGTGCTACTCGAGGTTGATCCCAGGCCGGTGGTCGCACCTCCGCCACCGGCAGCGCTCAGCCCGCCACTAAGGCCAGTGGAACCAGCCGCTACGCCCGCCGTCGAGGAGGCACTGCCGCCGCCAATGCCCGAGGCACTGGCGATGGCATTGCTCTCATATTAGAAGGCGCCACCGGACGATGATGGTCATGCGTAGTGGGGATAGCTGCTCAGATGGGGCGCCACATGCGAGGGAGTCACGTGGCTCATCGAGTGCGGCTGGTAGAGGTTCGTGGCGGGGCTGCCCCAGTTGCCCCACGAGGCGGCCGACGGGAAGATCGAAGCTGTGGGGGAGGAGAGGGAATAATTTAGAATCTAGTTTCTTTGCTTTTCCTAAATTCAACTATTTAACAGCTCGAAGTTTGATTTAGAGAATCACAAATGGACTCTTACCGGACGATGAGGTCATGCCATGATGCGGACTCATGAACGAGCTGAGCTTGGCGCTGTGGTGATATGGTGTCATGAACAAGTCGCTCTGGTACTTGTAGGTGGGATCGCTGGCCGCCGGCTGTGTGGCAGCTGCCAGTCCTTGGAAATCGAATTTGTACGCATAACGCTTGCCGTGCACCTTGGTCATTATGTTCTTGTCGTAGTAATACCTGAAAAAGAATGATAGAATGGATTTTACTAAAAGTTTTCTTAGAGTTTTCACCCCCAAGAACTATGAGTAAGGGGGTACAAATAGATTAAGGATATGCTAAAATGTTTAATCCTTTGAAACACTGCATGTTTCTACTTAAAACATACTTTAAATCTGTATTTCAAATACCATTTACTAGTGTTAATCTTAATTTCAAACTGAAACCATAAAGTTGACTTGCAAGTGTAAATCAACCCTCAGTAAATGTACTCCGACTGCCCATTTCCCTCAATCTGAATGTGGGAAAGTCAAACAAAGGCTGAGATGAGCTCAGATCCAGCTTTCAGTCCTCCCCTTGCCCCCAAAAGGACAATAAATAATTACAAAATAATGCTCGCTTTATGCGTTTTAAGTTAATTTGCTGACATTAAGCGATTTTAGTGCCGCTCCCTCAGGAGCAATTAAATGGCAACGCCTTGTGCACAAACGCAAATAGAAATTGGCCAAGACAAGGGGGCGGAAAGAGAGATGGAAAATTATGTGGGCGTTCATTTCAGGCCAAAAGAAACTCGAGAGAAATTTGTTTGCATTCGAGGGGTTAGCAGCGATTTCTTTTCATTAAGTTGGACAGGCTTTTGGCACAGCAGACAGGACTCTAGGCCTTTAAAATATATCCTTTAAATAAGCAGCAGGGATAGCTCCCTCTCCTCCATATTGTCCGCTTATTGTTACGCTTTAAAATGTCCACAACTTCCGCTTGACAAGTGAACGGCGGCATAAAAAATGCACAAATAAATTACAAAAATAAAAAACGAATTGCAAACATTTCAATGCATCAATGCAAATTGGCATAATGTGTGCAGTTGAGTTGGCTTTTATTTATTTTTTGACCAACTCTCCTCCATAAATTATGCCAATTAAGGCCATAAATTAAAAGCAGCAAAAACAAAGGCCTGAAAAAGCAGAGGGAAAGGGGAGAAGGAGGTCCTCTTTGCACAGACAATCAAAGCCAATCAATGACTGATGAGGTCGGTGGCTAAGGACAAAGGCGCTCAATCAGGAGGAAGGACAACGGAGAGCGAGACAACGAAAGGATTAAAGTAAACCCATTTCGAGGATTGGCCTGGCCCGTGGAGAGACCAACAAAAGGCCAGCTGGCTGTGAATAAACATGTCAAATGAAGCATTAAAGCACTTGTCCTTGTTGTGGGTCCTGCGTGGGTGTAAGCTGAGTGTTAATTTACACACACACAGACACTTGCACTCGCATTTCTGAGCAAACATGAAAGCCAGCGGCGTTGATGTCTCTTCTCGTGTTCAATTGACTTGAAAAAAAATATATAAAATGGAAAGAAAAAAGAGAACAGACATGTTGAGGCTTCCTGCACATCAAAAAGGATTCCTCGTGTGATTTTCTAGACTTTTTACATTTTATTTACATGTGTGTGTGCGGAGGAGCATGTTGCAAATTGGCTGCCAGGACTTTTCCACTTCAATTCGCATCATTGGCACTCGTCCTCGTCCTCGTCCTCTCTGATTGCAAGTGACAGCTTCAAGGAGATGGCTAAAAGGGTTCGTCCTGGTCTCAGGCCATGTTTACTTAGCAAATTGACCGTTGCACAAATAGTTTTTTGTGCATATGTTTCTCTACCCAAATCAGAGATATATTCTAGAGAAATTCTAGAGAGATTTTGGGAGGGAATCCCATATTTGGCAATCGAATTATGCTGCCCTGCAATTAGATTGCGATTTTATTGGATTTTTGATTACATTCCCGTTCGATTTGTGATTCAATTTCTGTCCAGGCTTTCCTCGGCCACGCCCACACACAATCAAGTGGGCCAAGTCTTGGGTCAGCAAGTGGATTAGCTGTTTTTCCTTCTTTTACGTATTTTTATTTATTTTTTTCTGGGCAATTTTCCGACTGTTTTGGCATCAAAGCGGCGGCTAATCAGTGCAGCAGCAGGCACAAATCAGTTACTGATGATGAACCCATCGGCAAATTGCACACATGCTCGCATTTCGATGGCAGAGATACATCTAGAAATATCTGCTAATTAGGGAATGCTCGATTGCACAGGGTAAAAAAAAGAAAAACAACCCCATTAGTTAAGAGGGAAACTCATTAGAAAACGAAATCGAATGTTGGTTTTATGTCTCTTAAGTTAGCAATACTATATTGGAAAATCAACATCCAAAGTTTCCCTGGACATAGAAATATAAAAATAAGAAAGAAAGCTAAGTTCCTCCCAACATGGCTAGAAATATTCGCCTGTTCATGCTGATCAAGAATATATATGGTTTATGGGGTCGCAAATGACTCCTTCACTGACTAACATTAAAAAACCCTTTGCAAGGGTATAAAAATAGCTACATATAACAATATACAATATAAATTTATTTTATTAATATATTTATTAGCATTGAGGAAATGTTCTGGAAGAACTGCGCTTTACTTGAAATCAATTATGAAAAGCTTCATAGATATAATCAGCAGTTATTAAAACAAAAGCTAACTTCCGCAAGCCGAAGCTTTTATGCACCTGCAGCTTGGATCATATGATCGAGTTGAAAAAAAAAACATACCACAACAAAGCTAAGCTTTTCCGTGCTAGTTTTTATTAGGTCAATAAATCTGCAGGCTGAATTTAAAATAAAAATGTTCGTGAATATTTTAAAAATATAGAAATTTAATCATTAAATGTGTATTTAATTAATATTCCCTTCAATTTCAGATTCCCTTTATCCACGCTCTCTTGGCTCTCAAAGCTCTCTCGGCTCTCTTGGCTCTCTGGGATCTCTTGGATCCCGTTGCCAGCTTTGCCAAGCCAAATGAACGGTTTTCAATGGCGAAAAAAAGTGAAAGAAGAAAAACTAAACTGCGGCGTGCTCCTGCTAAAAAACGTTTTTACTCGGTAAAAAATGTTTAAAAATACCAACAAAACAATTAAATCTATTAAACTAAGTGCCCTTTATACGGGGACACTCGAAAATTCATCAAACAAGTGAATTATCAAAGTATTTAAAGGAATTAAAAATTTGCAGTGAGTGCTGTCTCCTTTTCCAACGGGGATTGTGCGAGCGCACAACGGAATGTGAAAAAATCATAGATTTTGCAAGTGACGAAGTGAAATAACATAATAAATAGGTGTGTGTTAACTAAAATAAGACATTTTTAACACAGTTAGCTAGTGAATATCAAAATTAAGCCACTAAAACTGCAATTAAATCACGTGAGACTCCCGTGGACAACGGCAGGCAGCGGAACACCCGCCAATATGTATGCATGTACATATGTGTGCGTTGGAGTATACATATTTTTTGGGAGTGCATGCCACTCGCTCTCCCTCTCTCAAAGCAAGATGCAAACTAACTGTTTTCTTGCGCTGTTTTGTGCGTTTGAAAGAAAGAAAGAAATGTAAACATAAAGCGCTGAAAGAGTGCGTACATAAACCAAGTGAAAAGACAAGTGAAACATTTCTGATTAAATATGTCAGAGATAATCGGTGTAATTCGTGTGCGTTTTTTAAAGTGTTTTCCATTCCTTTCCATATATTTTTATACCCTTGCAGGGTATTATAATTTCAGTCAGAAGTTTGCAACGCAGTGAAGGAGGCACCTCCGACTATATAAAGTATATATATTCTTGATCAGGATCAACAGCCGAGTCGATCTAGCCATGTCCGTCTGTCCGTCTGTCCGTCTGTCCGTCTGTCCTTCTGTCCGTCTGTCCGTCTGTCCGTCTGTCCGTTTCTACGCAAACTAGTCTCTCAGTTTTGAAGCTATCTGAATGAAACTTTGTAGTTAGCCTTCTATATACTCTCACTCGTATATATGTCGGAACGGGCCGGATCGGACGACTATATCATATAGCTGCCATAGGAATGATCGGAAAATTTTTACAAAAAAATTTTTAACTTTTTCAGTTTTCAATAGAATTGGATCAAATTTGAGATATAGCCATTTTACTATACTCTACAATTTTGCATAAAATTTTATGAAAATCGGACTACTATATCATATAGCTCCCATAGGAACGATCGAGAAATTAATACAATTAAATTTATAACCTTTTCAGTTTTCAACTGATTTTCATCAAATTTTAGGTATAGGCATTAAATTTAAGTCTTAAATTTTGTGGTACATTTCATGAAAATCGGACGACTATATCATATAGGTGCCATACAAACGATCGTTTGATGTGGAGGAAAAATGCAAATCAGTGAATGTAAAACTGCAAATATAATATGTATAGGTGAATGAAATGAAAGCAGGTATTACTTCATTGTTTTTTAACACAAAGATATATAATTTGTATTGTATGGTTTTTTATTCATAGATGTTCTATCTGCAAGGGTATATAAACTTCGGCGTGCTGAAGTTAGCTTCCTTTCTTGTTTTTAATATTTTTTTTCAGTGCTTTAATAATTGAAAAGAAATAATTTTAATTCAGTGTGAGTGTTTTTTTGTTTTGTCTTTTGAAGTGTTTTAATAATTTTAACATAAAATGTTTTTAATTCTGTGTTTTTTGTTTTTTTTTTTTTAAAGTGCTAATATAATGTGTTACATAAAATGTTTTGATTATGTGCGATTTCTTTTATTTTTTTTTTCAGTGTTTATATAAATTATCTAGAAAATTCTTTAAATTCAGTGTGTTAAAAAAAGGAAAGGATGGAAAGAGTGTCGCGAGTGTCGGACTTAAAAGTGCATTGCGTGCAATGTAATTGACAATTAAAGAAGATGAACAATTAATAAGATGAAGAAAATGCAAAAAAAAGAAACTAAAATAAGAAAATCGGTGAGTGGAAAATTAATTTATTTTTTATATTGAATGTATTCTTATTTCATATTACTCAAATTGCAAAAATTATGTTCTTTGGCCTACGGGATTTGGATATTATGATAGTTTTTCACAGGTTTTATGACGCTCGATTTTCTTATTTTCTTTGGTTCCCTTTTAAGAAAAGTTTGTTATGGTTTTGGTAAATAATTTTAAGTAAAGCGTCTTTCTTTTTCCGAAAGGTGTCCACCTATGCTGGTACACTTATGTAATAACTTATTGTAATACCAAACTTTTGATTTTGACTATTGAACTTGCTGGTTTTTACCATTTTTAAGTTCCTATGTTTTGGGTTGTCTTTATCCTTATATCCTTAAAGATTTATTTTCTTTTCTATTTGTATAACAAAAAGCTTACATTTACTTTATATCAATGGGTATCCGTTGAATTTTAATTGTTTTTATTATATTAAATCCTTAAAATGTTCTTAAAAATCATGTAAACTCACCTTAAAGCCCGGCTCAGCTTGTCATAGTTCATATTGGGCTTGGACTTGCGCTCGCCCCAGCGTCGGGCCACCTCGTCGGGATCGGTGAGCTTGAATTCGCCATTGGTGCCCTCCCAGGTGATGCAGCTGGCATTGTTGGAGTCCGAGAGGAGCTCGAGCAGGAACTGCCACAGCTGGATCTGGCCAGAGCCTATAATAATAGGGGGGAGAAAGGGAAAGGAACATGAGAAATGACCTCCTTGATTGCTCTGTATAGAGACATTTAATGTGGGTATTTTTGGCCTGCCTAAATGTCCATCAAAAGAGCATATCCTTTTGGCGTTTCGGGCTTAAATTAACGGCTGCGGCTGCGGGGATGTGTGTGTGTGTGTGTATGTGTGTAGTCAAAATGTAAGCATTTTGTGGCATGCAAAAACCCCATAAAGCATTTCCTGCCCAAAGCCAAGACCCCCGGGCAGTAGTAGGCTCTGATCCAAGCTCCAAGCTCCCGGGGCTTCCCCCTTCAATAAATAACTAAGACCAACGCTCGGCTCGAATTATTGTAAGAGAAGTGTAGCGCAACGGAAATGGCATTGCATGTAAGTGTAATGGACTGGGATAGAGCAGCTCCTTCGGGAAATCTAGAGAGAATTTCCCAATTGCACTTTCATTGGAAGAAAGAGATTCGGCAAAAAATGAGAGTTATCCAACTATCTGAACTGTAAAAAAGAGGTCTAACCTAAGGCCTGGATTTAGTGTTAGGAAAAATTTTATACTTTGTAGTTAAGCAATGCATTTACATATTTTTATTTATGGATTCCATATAACTCTAAAATATATATATATAACTCTAAATATATCTTATAATACTTCCTTTTCTAGCTTAACCCATGAGCTAATCTCATCGCTTTCGACCTTCTTTTGTTACTGGCTGGCAGCAAAAACATTATTATTTATTCCAGCAATATGTATTGTGTCCATATCATGGCATTTCTCCATTTGAACTTTGACTTTCTCCCCCGCGACACTCTGAACTTTTTCCCCCCAAAATAGCTTTTCAAATTTTCTTTGTGCGTGCTAAAACATTTACAGAATTATGATTGTATATTGTGCTCGGAATTCGCTACGCATTCGACGCAGACATCATAAATCGCTTAATCATTTGGCAATTAGGCCGTGGACGTCATAGGACGTACAATCGCTCCCTGCTCCCTGCTCCCTGCTCTCGTCCTCCTCTGTTTTCCGTCAGACAAAATCCGAAATGGAGAGAGAAAAAAAAGGACACGGGGTGGTTGGGAAAACTTGAGTGGGAAATAAAGGGAAACGAGTCTCTGCTCCTTTTGGTGGTGGCTTAGCGACTGCTCATGTGTGAGAACGTCATGAATATTGCGTTAATTGCAAATCATGGCCAAGTGAATGTGTTAAGTGCCAACACGACGACTGAATGATGACGATGATGAATGACAAAGCCGAAGAAGACACCGCACTGGAGTTAGTTTGAAAAAAAGAGGGCGTAATTGACACGCTATTAACAGCCCAACAAGACAACTAAAAGCCAAATAGTTGGCCCTTTAAGGAGTGTCTCTCCATTTAGCAGAAAGGCGTCAAAGTTTTTTTTAAGGCCCGAAAAAATGTTAATTTAATAATTCCGCCGTCGGCGGAAAAGTATGTGCAAAACAGGAAGCAATTAGCCCGACCAGTTCTTTGATGTGAGGCTGCAGTAGTGGCTATATTTTTCTTGCTTTTTCGTTCGTTTTCATAATTAAGAAAAGTTATGTTTGGTCTTGGCTTAGGCTTATTTAATTATACAGTATGTACACTGGGAAAATATATATTTATGGAATATAGCAAGGACTAAACGTTTTTTGTTTTAACAGCCAAAAATTGTTCCACAAAGTTGTGAAGGGATGACACAAAATATTAATGTTTGAAACGATTAAAAGGAAAATTTTGAAATATAATTGTTTGTAATTTTAAAAGGAATAATGGGAACGATATTTAGCTGGATTAAATATTCTTTTACCTCAATAAACATTCTTCTTAGGGATTTTTCAAAGTTTCAATATTATAATATTCTTTGGTAATATAATTTTCTGGGTGCATCTGAGGCGGTTTCATGTTTTAATTCTTTCCTTTTTATACATTTTTTTATCACTCCTGCGAGGTGCATGCAACTTGCAGATACACACACGTATGCAAATGAGGTGGCATGTCAAGTGTGTGGGCCAGCTTGGTCTGAGCTGGCTAGTGAGACCGGACCTGGCTAACAAAGCGGTTCCGTGTCGAGAGGAAGCCATAATTAATCAAAAACAGCATTTTTGCCACCCAAAAAGCGAAAGCGCAGTATGTACCCAAGGAAACTCGGGTGTGGGTTTTTCTCAGTGAGCTTTTGCGTTCAAGTTGAAGAGCCAAGTTTAGAGCCCAAACTCTTGGCAACGGGCCTCTAAAAACCAAAAACCGCAAAACAAACAATCGGAAAGAGAAGGAAACAATCAGCCAGAGAGGGATAGAAAGAGAGAGTCCGTCCGATTCGTGTAAATGTCGCGCCGGAAAATGTTGGGCGTCTGGGTTTTTATGCTAATTCCGTTCGAGCGCCATGTTTCGATGGTGTCCCCCAGAGGAGGTGGAGTCCACACCCTCGTCCTCCCCATCCTCGGCATTGCCAGCGTAATGGCGGCGGCGTCAAAAGCTCGCCCCCAGCGCCGGATCAATGGGGAATTATTGATTTTGTCCTGGCAACCGGTCGTCGGTCAGAGGCAATGAGCACCATTTTGAAATTGACTTTCATTTTGATTTTTTAGCTATATTTTTTTGGGTATTAATGGAAATTCAAGAACTTATATCAAGTTAAGTTTATATTTTTCACTTGGCTTATGGATTGCTAAATGGAGACCTATATTGTGTTTTGAGTTTAGTAATTGCTTTTGTTTATCTTTTAAGCTTTGTCAATATTCTACATTTTTTAAATGCAATTTAAAAGGATTAGGGAGTGCTTGTGATTTTTTAAGCCTTTTTAAGATCCTTTATATAGCATAAAAATGATTAAATTGTGTTTTTATTCCTGCGAGCACTACATTGATAATATTTCATGTCTAAAAAACAAGACAAAACGATCTCTAATGAAACTATAGTTCCCAAGTCTCAATTATTATGAATCCAATCATTTTTTCCCAAGCCCATTTATGTATCTCCCAGGCTTTGTGAGAAAAAGAGCACATCCATTGACCAATTTATCAAATCCATACAGGACATTAAGGACACGCCCACCGTCGAAACCCTTTGACGGCGCCTTTTTCTCTGACTCTGCAAACTCTTAAACTCTTTTTTAATGGATTTTCGCGTCCGAATGGCGGGGCAGGGCGCGTGCCCAGAAACCGTACACAATTCCCGGGAAAGTCCGAAAAGTCAGAGCTGCAAAAACAATTGCCCAGCCACGCCACCCAGTAATAAATTTAGGAAAAAACACCTTTCGCATAAATTAGAAAACTGCACCCCGAAACAGAGCTCTAGGCGCGAGAGGGTTAAACTCGCATGCAACGGGTTAATTTGTTAGGGTCGCCCGAAAGTCCGGGCAATGACTAAGTCGAATCTCGGCCAGAAATTGATATGATAATGAAATGCAGGACTCCCGGCCAGGCAGGCTTAGTCACGTGGACTTGGCCTAATCGCGGCACCTGCATCTTTATGCTTTTGTGATTTCCACTCACCTGAGCTGGCCAGCCTGCTGCTGGTGGGTCCGAACATTTGATATGGATCTGCAACGAGGGGGTGGAAATAGAGAAAAGGTATAGCAATAAGTACAAATGGAATAGAGACTGGGGTCCTTTTATGCAAATGTCTTAATGAAGGGTGCGAGGCAAAGAAATACAAAGGCAAGTTCTAGTTTCCGTTGACGAAATGAAATGCATTACCAGAAAACTGTGAAAAGTCTATACTATATAACATAGAATATATAGTATATATGTATATATATGCAGATGCTTCATTTGCGCGCATTTGTCAAGTGCACTTGCAACACACACACACACACTCGCACTCGCACTCGCACTCCAAATATCCATTTCACTTATTATCCGGCGAGCGTTTCCTGCGCGTTGTTCTTGTTGTTGTTGTTACTGCCACAGCCTGCCATTCTTGAGGGTACACTCAAAATAAATATTATAAGAGGGGGCAGAAAATCTAGAGACCACAGAAAATGTGTTCCTACAATTAATAGCCTCCACAATGATTTCTGTTGGTTAAATCGTATTCTTAATTGAAAGGAAAAAGTATATTCTTCAAACTTCTAAATTATTAAGCTTTTCTTTTGAAAATAAATATTTGATTCTATTAAAATCGTATTTTAAATGCATATAAATATACAAATGTTAGTTTGAACACAACAAAAATTATTTTAAAAGTGAAACTAAAGTATCTATTGAAATTTATTTCTATAAAAAAGGGCTAAAAAGGTTCTTTTTTTTCCCAGTGCTTAACTTGCAGTCTTGACAACAAAAAGGTTACTCTGATTGCAGCGAGACCGACACCAGACATTCAAACAAAATTGTCCATAATTCGCATCATCTAGAGTCCTCCGCCGCTCCTTGGCTTGTCGGCTCGCTCCTGCCTGAGTCCCGTGTCCAATGTCCCATGTCCTATATGTCCTGGCCATTGTTTCGTACACAGTTGCTTGGTCGTTGGTCCGTTGTTCTTTCAACAGCTTTAATGCCCCGAAAAAAAAAACGAATGTGGAAAAAACTGCCCCCGACTTTGGCACGCGTCGTCTTATTCAACCACGGCCGTCAAATTTGACAGCAACAAAAGCCCCGTCCAAGTGCGTCTGGGTCTGGATCTGGGTCTGGGTCTGGTGGCCCTGCTTCATCCTCATCCTCATCCTTCCCCTCTAATTGAGAATCCTTTATGGCCGTTTCAATTGTTTCCATTACGCTTCAATTCAGCGGCTCGGCACTTTTGTTTCCATTACCATTTCCAATGCTCAAGTGACGTATTTAAGGTTTTGATTCTGCGACAGTATTTGCTCGATTTCTGTTGCTGTCTCGGTCTCGGTTTCAAAAGTCCCCCCCTTACATTCGAAATGAATTTTTTGAAGCTCAACGAGGGTAGTGCAAAAAAAAAAAAAAAAAGGAACCGAAACTCGAACTCAAGTGGCACTTGCAACGTGCGCTCGATACAAAAACCGAAACTTTATTAGTGTTGGCCAACACAGGATTCGATTCGAATTCGCTTTTTTTGAGATCTCTCCTGGATACTGTTTATGTTTATGTTGGTTTTTAGGCTCAACAAAGGGGGCACGTGTGCTGAAGCATCTGTCCTTGATAGCTTCAAGTTTGATGAAGTTTTTAAGGGGAAATAAGGTATACATTTGCGTTTTTATTAAAGGATTAAAATTCATTTAAAGGTTTTAAGTCATGTTAAATGCAAATTCTTTTTAATATAACTTATACAACAAACTCTTAAGCTTGATAATGATAATTTGTCATTAAGTAAATTATTATTATATTTGTAGAATGCTGCTCTGTTAGACAAACCACACCAATCATAATATTTAAATACATAAGTATTTAAACTCATATTAAGATTAGATAAATCTACCCCTGTATTTCTTTGCCTTTTCCTTTCAAAAAAATGAAATAGTATAAGAAAACACTCACCAGGTTGCCGTAGTTGTGAGTGCGGATCATGTTTAATGCTCAGGGCGTTCGAGCTGTAACCTGCAAGACATAAACATTTAAGAGCTTAATATAAAATATATTCAAATTGGTAAATCAGAAAACTGTCAAGTGTTAACACTCTCGCTCTCTCTCTGTCTCGGGTGGGAAATCAAAGGCAATCATCAACTCAACCGCAACACAAACATTATCTCGGCGCTGTCATCAAAGAACGCATCCATCCCATCTGGATCTGAATGGAGCAGCGTGTGCCCGTGGGCAGGACAACTGTGACATGAGCAGCGCAGGATCTCTGCATCTCTCTTGGCTGGGCCGTAATGGAATATGATTGCAAAGAGCCAAAACAATGCCGCTGGCAATTCAATTTACAATCTCAGGCGCGCTCAAGTTGTGTGGCAAACTTCACGCTTCAAACTCGAATAAAATTAAAGCCGCAGGCTGATAAACACAGAATGGGATGTACACAGGGAGAAATAACTCCAGAATGGCCAATGATAGTTGGTAAATCAAGAAAAAATGTGAGAAATGAAGGGTATATAATGATCATGGAGAGATCATAAAGTTGTTTAGCTATCTATAAGTCTTGAAGAATATCTTATTTTATTTATTGTGCAATTTTGAAAGATTTTATTATTTTTATAAATGCACAAAAACCCCTTTACACTAGTTACTATTTAATCTATAATTACTTCTTGATAAACCTTTAAAAAATTCATAAAAACTAACACAATGTTATGTTTTACACTCGATTAAATCTCATAGTTTCCCTTAATTTTCCGCAGTGCAAAAAGGGAGGCCATGAATGGGTGGTTTCATGCACCGCCCGCTGTTGTTTTCGTTGTCACTTATTGTGCGAAAAAAAAAAATAACAGAAAAGCAGCAACAGCAGCAACAAAGACAGCTTTTCATATGACATTTTTTGGTTTTTGCGCTTTGCGTGGCCACTCAACTGCGAAGAGCACAAAAGGCGACCGATTGCAGCAGCAGCCGCCGAAGGATACTGGGGAGGAGAAGGGGTGGGTGGTGCTGCAGGTCCTTTGGCTGTGAACAATTTTGATGTCATCAATGGCCAGCAGCTAAATGCGATCAGCGAAGCTGAAATTTTGTCTCTCTCTCTCTCGGAGTGTGAAAAATATTTTAGGAAAAATATTTTGTCCAGATTCGGATGAACATGTCCTGCGGCAGTGTCAAAAGCCTATTATAATTTCAATTAGTTGAGGCCATAACTAGCCTAATAGAGCTTAACCCCTCGTCTCTGCGCTTCGTTGGCCACAGCCCCGAGGAACACGTGTATTCCACACCTTTTTCCAAAGCCTTTTATCTTTTGTCTAGTCTACTCGAATATATATAAAGGAAAAATTATGTATAAAGGATGTGGAAACCCCCTGTCAATACTCAGTCGATGGCTTGTTGATTTGCTTGAATACATCTATCAGGCACACACATTTTGCACGCTTCACTGGCTTCGATTGGGAATTTCGTGTGAACATTCATCACTTTCGGTGTGTGTCCTGTGTGTGTGTTTTGCATATTTAATGCTTATTTCGGGTTGCCTTTCCTTGAGTGCCTCGCAATTTGATGTAATTTCGGGCTTGTCTCCCAACTTTTTGAGTATTTTTTATTGCAATTTGTGATCATTGAAACTTTGCAAATTAGTCATGTTTCTTTTGGGGATTTTACTGGGAGTTAGGATGGGATTTCAGGAAAAGGGAAAGATATGTGTACAAAGATACTTTTACTGTAGGAAATATTGATTAAGTTGGTATTACAACTATTTCTGGAACCATACAACACACTGACCTTTTAATATTTTTTAAGTATTTGAATGGTTTTTCTGATATATTTTAATATTTCAGCGAGTTTCACAAACTATAGTTTTACCACCTTGAATTGTTTAATTGTTTCATTTACACTTTGATATAAAATTCACTTTTAATTATAAATCAAACTCACCTTGCGATTGTGTCGAACTGTGGGAGCCCCACGACGATTTGTACGAGGAATCTGCAAGAGAAGGAAAAACAGACATTTAAATACAATTTATAAAACTCGAAAACAAAATCAAAGATATACAAGTTTGTATAGTAAACCGACGGCTGTTTCTTAGGAGTCTAGACTTTTTTTTTTGGGGGGGGTTTTCTTGGTAATTACTTGGATTCCAGGTGGCATTTGTGAGGACCGCCGCGGCCGACGGTCTTGGGATGGCTGGCTCACACACCGCCCACTCACCTGCGAAGAGCATTGAGAAGTTGCTGAAGCTGCCCGTGGAGCGTGACAAGTAATCGGCGGAGGACTTGATGTCCAGCATTGTGGCCGCCGTCGGTAGCGAGTTCCGACGCAATTAGTTTTTGAATTTGAAATTCAAATTGGATTTCTTGTTCGTATTTCGATTTTTGTTTGTTTTTGTATTTGGCAAGCGGTAAATTGGTCGCCGGAGTCCGGAAACTAATAACACGGAGACGGAGACGTCGCCAAGTGGTGTCCACAATTGAGTTTTATTTTCTCTTTTTTTTTGTATTTTAAGAAAAGGGCAAACGTTGGGCAAACGCGCAGCGGAAAAAGGACCGGCAATGGGAATGGGAACCGGTACGGGAACAGGAACAGGAACAGGAACGGGAACGGGAAAAGTGACGATCGGAACTGGTTACCGTTCACCGGACACCTCGACTTCCGGCCGAACTTTCCAATGCACTTTGCGACCTGGCCTGCCAGCCGTGCTCGCGTGTCCAACTGATTTATATGTGTCAATGTCCCACGGCACGTATACGTGATATTCGCGTTAGTCCTTTTGCCTTTTTTTGTTATATTCGCATTGGTATTTGTGGGTAGGCCCAGGCCAAATCGCGTAAATCACTTGGGCTAAGAAAGGATGCTCCTGGCGGAGGCGAGGCGAGGACGAGTACGAATACGAGGACGTGGTCTATCGGGCTTGAGCACTGACACCGGATTGCGTCCGATCTGTGGCACGGCAGCGTAACAATTGATTTCATTCCGTCGTCAAATCGCGCATATCCTGCCAACGTCCTGCCTCCAACCCTTAGCTCGATACCGTGGCAGCGTGGCAGAGCGGCAGCGGGGGTGGCCAGCGGTTGGTTGGCGGTTGTTCCACCCTCCTCCTGGTGGGTGGGTGGTGGTGGGCGCTTCTCTTATGTGTCTGTGTGTGTGTGTATCTATCTGTCTGGTTCGCTGCTGTTGCTGCTGCTTCTGTTGCTGGCTCTGTCGCTGTCGAGCTCCTGCTGCAGGATATACTTAGGGTTTATAATCCTTAACCACCCCCCTGAGAGCTGCCAGTGTCCGCCAATCAGCGGTGAGGAGAGGTGTGGCCTAGTCACAGAGAGCTTTTCCCCCAGCAAGCTTTTTGCAAATGGTTGTTCCTGGGAGTTGCCGGGAGCTCCAAGGCTCCACATTGTAACGATCTGCCGGGCTTGGTGGTTCTGGTGAAATCCTAGAATATTTGTGAGCTTTTCAAGCTCTCTCTCGCTCTTGTTCTCTCGGGTTTGGTAGGAGGATACCATTTCCACTTGACTGAGGACCACGCACGGTCCGTGCTGCTAGTAGTGCCGTCTCTTTTGCGGGCCACTCAATGGTGGCGCTGCCGCCGCCGTGCTGCTCCAGCGGCAGAGCTTCCAGAAGTGGCATCGCCTTTTTAGTGGGTGACACGAAGCAACAAGGACGGATGTATTATCCACTTCCTTTTTCCTTCCACCAAACACAAGGATATTACCGTTTCGTCGTTCGCCTACAACGCGCCACCCCACCACCCTACCACCGGGTTGGGTTCACGAGAAGTTGGAGCCGTTGGAGAAATCAACAATAGTTGATTGTGAAAGGCTTTGACTGCTCCCAGCGGTTGGGGGTCAGGTGGGTTAAGAGTGGGTGGTGCAAGGTAGCATGGGTTTCAAGGGAAGGCGCTGCACATGCGTTGGCGTCAACGTCGACTTCGCTGCAGCTGCTCAAGTGCATCGGTGTGGAGCTCCCTCCTTGTCCCGTATTTCATCTAGCCCCTTGAAGCAGGCAACAGAAAATGACAGACCCGCACAAATACATAGAGAACACACTTTAATACACCCACACCCACACACACTCACACACACACACACTTTTTCGGGCTCTGGCTTAATTAATTTTTGAATTCCCATTGAAATTGTTTTTGCTCAGTCTTTGCCGCTGGCCATGCCAGGCCACCGTCCTTGTGTATCCTTGTTCAGCAGCGAGTGGGTGGTTTCGGGCTAATTCATAGGCGTCAACGAACAAATAGTAGTTCCTCACACACACTCACGCAAAAAACACCTAACAAACACTCACTCTAACACAAATAGAAGAAAAGCTTAGCTTGATTCCTTTTTTATATTGTGCTTCATGTTTTTCTTAATTGCAATCCTTAAATACTCTACAAAAAAAAAAGATTGATTAAGATTGCTTTTTAATTGCTAAGAAGCTGGTTTGTTTGAGGATATTTACTATATATTTTTACTACTTTATTCTTTAATTATAGATAGAAAGAAGGAGTTCTAAATTTTGTATTTAAAAGGCTTTTTTAAGATTTTAGAGAACTCTTAAATCTTCAATTTAATTTGACTTATGATTTATTTTAATATTTTATAATTTATAAGTCATATATAGTATGTTAAGGTAACTTTAAATTGTAATAAATAAATTCTAGGATAATTAAACACATAGAAAAAAATCATTATAACTGCATTTTCTGTACTAAATGTATGGTGTTCATTTCTTTAAAAGATTCAATAAGCTAAACTTCAAGGAAACCGATTATTCAATTTAAAATTAAAGTTATTTCTTGAAAGAATAATTGAAATCTATTAATACAAATAAATTAATATTGCAATATTACAAATAAATTAATATTGCTCTCTAGTTGTATATGCTTTATCTGTGCAATTTTGATTTAGGTAAAAACAAATTTCGCTTTTCACCCACGCAATAAACTAATACCAACACAAACACAGTGAAAACTTTAGCAAGTCAAGGCAAGTCCTTTCGAGTGTGTGTGTGTATATGTATTTGTGTGCTAGTTTGTGATCCTGGAAGTGTGTCTGTGTGGGTGTGTGTTTGTGGCTGTGAGTTCCTTTGACACGCAGTTATTTAATAAACGTGGCTGGAAGGCAAAAGGCCCTCCGACACTCCCACCTACTTCCCAACACCAGCTCTTGCTCTCAAGTTGTGTGTACGGGTTTGTGTGTGTGTGTGTGTGTTAATGGCATCTAAAATGGCTAAAATGACTAAAATGGCTAAATAGCAATTTGCTGTTCTTAGCCGGAGGAAAAGAGCCACAAACTCAAATTGTTTGCTCTCCTTTGCCAAAGTGAAGGAAAAAGGAAAAGCTCTTTTTTTCGTACACTAGCATGTGTGTGTGTGTGTGTGTGTGTCTCTGTGTCTTAGCTTGGCTTAACATTTTAATTGCATTCATTATGTAATTTCATTTTCACGCTTATGGGGGGCGAGAAACTTTAAATTAATTTCTTTTGTTGTGCGATTTCCGCCATTTTGCGTTTGCCGTAACACTTCCGCTGCCTGTACCTCCCCCGAACATGAGGTTACCACCCACAGCACCGCCCACAAGTCAAGTGTTTTAAGTCGACTTTAAGCCATTGCCTTATTGGCCTGAATCATCTGTCTATATAAGAATATTCTTCATCAAAGGACTCCTTGCTCCCGCAGGACAATCAATGCATCAGCCGCCTGTCCATTTGTTTTTGCTGTGTGTGAGTGTGTGTGTCCAGCCAAAATATTCAGCGGAGCGTCAAGCCAAACATGACAACACCACATGCACTGGGAGAAATATAAGTTCAAGGAACTCTTCATTATAGTAAAGAATATATAAAACAATCTGGTAAAGAATATATTGAACAATCTGGTAAAGAATATATAAAACAATCAAAAGTAGTGTAGCAACGTAAAGTAAACAAGCAAAAGCATATATTTTTATCTATGATTATACTAAATTATTAGCAAATTTCTTCTTGTGTAGTGCAGACAGGGAGCATATTGTTATGGCCAACCACCCACGGCAGTTAATAAGAAACGCAATCAGCGCTGCGATTTGTTTTCTCAAGCCTGAACAGAGCGAAAAAGAGAGACAGGACCCACTGACAGACAGGGATAGTTGCTAATATTTGTGAGTCCTGCGCCGTGTCCTTGTGCAGCAGGAACATCGAAATGGCCCAGCCTACAATAACAGCCAAGCCAAACCAAGTCAAACCAAGCCAGGCCAGACACGTGGCCATTAATGACGTATGAATGATGTAACACGCGATGGAGACTTTGACGCGGCACGTGGCCAGCGAGGCCTGCGAGGCATGACAGGCCGATTTCCCCCATTGACTCCTTGCGGGTCTTTAATGTCCTGGTCCTGGGTTCTACTCCTCCTCCTCCTCTTTCTTGCTCCTCGAAGGATTGCTCACTTCGCCCAAGGCACAGTATGGCAAGGCGCAGTGCTGTGCATTTTGTTATTGCCAAAATGCGTATTGTTATAATCGGGCATAAAAATAATAAAAATACAATGCCCATGAATACACCCATTTCTATATATGTTCTTCGTTGGTTCAATATTTTGTTAATCAAATGGGCGGCAACGGCGGCGCATAAATCACTTGCCAATTGGCAGTTTTATAAACTTTTTATTTGAAAAGCGTCAAGAGGGTTAAGTGTGGAAAAATTTGTGTTTTTCATAGATAGGTTAGGGGTTATATAAAGATGGGACTTGTATCGGGAATAAGAGTTAGTTAAGGACTTTGAAACATATTTCAACCTAATTTAAACCAGTAAATCTTTAAAAAAAATTCCATGTTTGACTGATTAATATTAAGTCTACTCTTTCCTGGAAATGATGTTATAATTTGCTTCCAGAAAACCTAAAATACATCATACAATACTTTATAATACTTTATAGATTTTAAACCCATTTAAAATCGGTGTGAAAGAATGCAATAAATTATTGCAAACTAAAATTCAAAGTGAATTTATGTATAAAACAAGAAAAATAT